AAATCTAATGTTCTGAACTTTTCGGGTTTAGCGCGGCCGGTTAGCGACTAGCTTTCATGCTAGAGGTCGAGCGTTCCATCCCTCGCAGCTTCAGATTGTTGCTTTTCTCTAAACGTGAAGGGTCTGGATTGCCAATGCCATTTTTCGGCTTGCTCGGCTCTAAAAAACCCGTTTTTAGTTTTAAATCTCGAACTTTCGACTTTAGCGCAGTCGCTTAGTGTTTAGCCTAAAAGTTGGAGGCCAGGGTTCAATTCCTCGCAGCACACAACCTTTGTTTTTCCTATAAAAATTGTTTGTATAATTTTTCGTGTAATTCTAGGCATTGTTTTTCACATTCATTGATGACAAACCCTATTGACGATTTGCTGAATCACGAAAATCAAGCAAACATTGGGTTCCCACCCTGGCAACAAGACGCTTTCTAAAAAGTGCGCCATTCCCTCAAAGCTCTTAGAGGCTTTGTGGCGAAATCGGGCCTGGCTACCTTTTTTTGAAGTTTGAAATGCGGTGTCCCTGTGCCCCCTGCTGTGGATGACCTCGATAAAAAGGAGGAAAAAGAAGGAGCGAAAGAAGAAGAAGAAGGTGTGTTTGCCTCAATCCACCTCCCAAAAAGGGGGTTGAGGCCATCCTCAGAAAAAAAGAGAAAAAGATCCCCCCAATCCGGCTCCACCGCCCATTTTTCGACAGCCCGGGCCCATCTTTCGCATCTTTTCCAACTTTCGCTAGCTTTTTCGGATTTTAGGGAGAAGCTCGCGTGTGTTTGGCCCATCCAAAGCCATTTAGCAGCGCCCTCTCCACTCGAAACATACCCCCCAGGGACTTTTTTGCGCTGTTTTCCAGTGTCATCTTGACCCTCACGATTGAGTTGCTAAAAAACGCCAAACCGGTCTCCTTTTTAATTTCTAAACTTTGAAAGATGTTGCAAAAAGTAATTTAGGCCTTGGCCGAACTTTGGATCAAAAAGCAAAAGAGAAAAACAGACGGAACTTTTCTTTCGCTGCTTTTTTTGCCAAAAAAGCTATAATGAGCAATAAAAATTCCTGAAACCCTTCTCCTTTTCCCAGGAATCATATTACCATTCCCATAAACAACTATGAGTCACAGGGGTTCGAACTTTTCACATTTCCAACCTTCCCACTTTTCAAGGTCAAGCGCTATACTTCAAAAAGGGGGTTCTATTGGAATTTTTCTCTGTCAATACGTTTCAGATTTTGATTTTCAAGCTAATGCAGTGCAAAATATTTTTAAAAGCCGTAGCTGTTAATAAAATCGATTTTCGATGCTAAAAGAACGCCTTTGCTCGTTGTTTATGCCCAAAAAGGATTTCGGTTGCTATTTTTCTATTTTTATACTCTTACATTTCAATTTTACTTGCAAAATCTATAGCTTTTAATAAAATCGATTTCGATGCTGACCGAACGCTTTTTGGGTTTTTTTTAAAAGATTCTATTGCTTTTTTCTATTCTTATACTTCATCCAGATGATTGCTTTTAAATTCGATTTCGTGATAGTAAGACGCACTCCTCTCGATGTTTATGCAAAAAGGAGTTTTCTATTGCTATTTTTCTGTTTTTATACCTTTCAATTTTCCAACCCAGTCTATAGCTTTCTACAAAATCGATTTCCCGCTGTTGAAAACGAACGCTTTTCCCGTTGTTTGCACCGAAAAGAGGCTAGATTTCTTATTTATTTGTGCGCAGCGTTTCGTTTCGCTAGAGAGCAGGCAAAACCCTAACGATTCGAGGGTCAAAAAAGATCGAAAAGCAAGGGGGCGCTTTAAAAATTGGGTGACTCAACAAAGTCCCCCAGCCGTCAGCTGCCCACCTTCACAATCCCTTCAAGAGAGAAAAGAGCAATTGAGGTGAAAGGGGCTGTGTCACCCATGTCTAATTTTAGTCCAACCTCATTAAAAGTGTTTTTTGATGTCCCTCGCGGCGAAGTTCGTTATTTTCTGGTTCCGGTTTTGTTCTCGGAATTTCTAGAGTAATTTGGGTCCAATTTTGCAGGTCTTCGGGTCTGGGAAGTTGGATTTACTCGATTCTAAAAGTATCAAAACTTTAGAATTATGTTTATTAAGCTCTAGAGTTCTCAATTATGTCTATTTCCTGCTTCCGGCTTCATCTTGACCGATTCCCAGTGTCCCCGAGCCCAATTTTTCGGCCCTTCAAGTTCGTGAAGCTCGATTTCTTCGATTCTAAATCTTCTAAAATTTCTATTTAACTATAGTAAAGTATCTTTCTATCTAGATTTTCTTAATTATGTTTGTCACACAGTTCCGGTTTTCTCGCGTTTTCTAGCGGCCATTTGGGCCAATTTTGAAGTTTTTGAAGCATACAAAGCCCTATTTATACGATTCTAAATCAATTAAAACTTATATTCCTATTTATCCTCGTGCTTTTCAACCTACCTTTCTATAATTCTAGTTCCAGCTGCATACTGGCGTTTTCTATAGCACCTTCTAGTCCAAGTTGAAGGCTTAAAACGCCTAAAAACTCGATTTTTCGATTCCAACCCTCTAAAACTGCTGTATGACTTTTATTCCATCATTTTCGATGTAATCTTATTAATTCTTCACAAATCCGCTCGAATTTAGTCGTCAAAATGTTGTACAAACTCGCCGTGCTCGCGTCGATCGCGTTGGTGATGGGGGCAAATCTGGAGGATGATGTGAAGGGGGCTGTCAATGATGTTACCACAACAAAGGTTAGTCTAATGGAGTCCAATAACAAAAAGCTAGCTTTAAAAAGTTGAAAAAAACCGATAAAACACTCAAAAAACCTTCCAGGAAGGCGCCAAGTATTGCCCGGCAATCATCGCTGGTAAGCCATGCCCATCGGGGAGTTTCTTCCATTACTACAATTGCTGCGGAAACCTGAATATGGACTGCTGCTTTGCGCTGCAGGTATGTTTATCATTAAAAACTATTGAAAAGTTAGAAAAAAGTGAAAATCTATAGAAAACTATGAAATCTAGATAAAAACTATCAAAAGATACTCTAGAAAATTATAAAAACTATAGTAACCCTATAAAAATTATAGAAAGCTAATAAAAAACCCTAGAAAACTCTTGTAGCAACGTCATAAAAACTATACTAAATCGATCAGGACTATAAAAATTATAAAACCAATAGAAAAATGCTAAGGAGCAAATAAAAAACCTATAAGAACTCGATAAAGGTATTAAAGTGTATAAAAACTATAGAAACAATAGAAAACCATATAATAACCTATCGAAAACAATCTAAAACAATTCAACTGTAATCAATTATAAAAAACCTTTACAGACGTGGGTGATCGTCGTGCTGGCGGTGTTCGGTGTGATCCTCCTCGCCTCGTTCGTCCTCTCGCTCATCCGATGCGTTTTCTGCCGTCGTTAAGCCTAGAAAAACGAACAGCCCCCAAAACAGCCATTTTCACGCCTGGCCTTCGCTTTATCCCCCAACATTCCCCTGAATTTATGATTTTTCACAAAAAAAGACCAAACGCCCCCCGATTAGGTCGCTGCTGTCCCATTTTCATGGATGCTAAAAATTGCGCGGTTCTCTTAACGCCCTAATTTTTTTCTTTACACTCTACGCCCTCAATATGTGCTCATTTCTTTACAAGCTTTTCCACAGCTATTCCTCTTTCCTAACAACCACCCCGCCGACATGCATTTCTTCGCCAAAAGCCGCCACTGATCAACAACGACACCACCGCATTGCGTACAAAATCTAAAGACGTAAATCTAAATGTAAAGCCCGTTTGTGTAGCTTTTGCTGGAATAAATTTTGTAATCAAAAGAAAAATCTACAAGTCATTGTATGCGTTTTATGCCTCTTTCAACATACGTGGAAGTTAGCAAATAATTTAGGCCAAAAGATCACAATGATACCAGTACAACCGACGAAAAATTCGTAGCAAAAAACACGGTTTTCTCATTGGGCGGTGGGGGAGGGAGAAGGCGAGAGAAAGAAAGAGAGAGACAGCGAGAGGAAGAGAGCGACAGTGAGAGAAAGAGAGAGTCGGCGAGAGAGAGAGAAATGACGGGCGCGTCATTTCTTGTTGAGCGTTCGGTTCCTAACCGGGGGCGGGGTTTTTAAAATTGCAAAATTGAGAAAATGACAAAATGACGTTGACAAAGTGAAAAAGTGAAAAAGTGGCAAAATGAAAAAATGAAAATATGGGTGGGGAAGGGCGGGGAAATAGGGCAGTAATTAATTTGGGAGTTTGTAAGAGAGTGGTCAGTGAAAAGGCCTTCATGTATAGCACAATTTTCGGGGGAAATCAGCTTTAGAAAAGCCAAATTTTTAAGACTGTTTTTTTGGCATTATCGGGGGAGCACTTTTTTCTAGGGTTCAAATTTTTTACTAGAAATACAGTTTAAAAAACTTCTCCTTTTTCTTAGTATTTCCAAAAGCAGAACTTCACAAATTGTTACTAGAAAAATCCAACAACGATCGATTTTTCGATCAGTTCGCACTAAACATTTTTTCCATTTTTTAATTGTATTGCATTTCATAGATGATCAAATTTCATTGAAACCGATTGAAACGCTAGAATAGAAAAAAGGTGCTCCCCCGATAATGCCAAAGAACCAAAAAAACTAAACCGAACATTTTTAAAGGGCAGAATCGTAGTTAGAGGGGGGCACAACACAAACTTCAAGAAACCAACAAAAACGAGCCAGAAAAGTAAAGCCAGGGTTCCCAGATTTGCAAAAAGCTGGTGCTCAAAAACCAAACTGAACGTCAGGTAGGGGAATTTCGCACTTTTGCACGCAATCAAATTTCGCTCAAAATATTATGAGGAAATAGCGAGGAAAAGAGCAGAAAGAGAAAGGCTGTCAAGGAGGGATTCGCCCGAGAGAGTGTTCTATTTTCCTAATTTACACTACAAAATAAATAAAAAACGGACTACAAACGTTTTTGGGTGTAAATAGGCACTGTGGTTACCCGAATGGGGGAGTTTCTTCTTTTTTGGTGGGCAGCAGGGGACGGCTTCCGCTTCTCGTCGTCGCTACAACGGGACAGCTTTCGTCGAGGGTGACGTTAGTTGATCGTGTAGTCGGACGGCGTCGGTGAAGTTCAGGGGCCGACTGCGGTCACCATTCAGAATCTAAAATCGAAAATATAAGTGGTAAACCAATACAAACAAGGATTTGTTGCAGGGGAACTAATTCCGAACTTTTTGCCTACCATTTAATAAGATAAATGTATTTTATAGCGTTTTTAGTAGCTTTTCGTTGCTAGAAAGTAAAAAACACTTTTTTCAAATTCGAAAAATTGAAAATTTTTACATTTTCCGTCAGTTTTCAGCAACTTTTTAGCCAAAAGGGGGATTTTTTTGCCATCTTCAAATTTCTTATATGCTTTTTATATCGAAAAGGTGTAAAACCCTGTGGAAATGGCTAATAAATTTCTATTATCAAATATTATACCTTTGTCGAGTGCAATCTGGGCTCGTAGACGACGGAATGCGTGTGGTTGGTCGTCCGGGAATTCGAGACGCTGTCCGCATTTTGGAAGGAGTCGCTGCGACTTCCGTCGAACTTCGTCGCTAAAAAAACAATAATAAAAAAAAGAACTTGATTCTTACGCGAATTGACAGCTTCCGCTCCACGGAAGGCTTCTTCCAGGCTAGCTTCATAAGCCGTCTTTTCGGGTGATCGCACTAAAATAAGGGGGTTTAGGTATAAGATTTTTTACGTACCACTATTCATGTCATCATAGAGATTGCAGGTGCTTCCCCCTTGTACGGCCTTCTCTTTTCCGAGATGATTGTCCGAATCGCGTGTCAGCCCCTCCGTCAGCGATAGAGCCGTTCCCACACTCTCACTGTCGGCCAGCTTCAGTTTCTTCAGCTGAAATTTGAGAATATATACTTGGAAAAATACGAAAATAGGTGTTTAGGAAACTTTTCCGTCACGTGATTTTTTTGAAAACCGAGATTTTGGCATGCGAATTAGAACAAAAGGGGCAAAGCAACACTCGTCTATTCAAAAATAGTGTTTCCAAATCCCCCAAAAATAGCCAAAAGTGCAGAATTTTTGCAGTTTCATGCGGCCTAAAATCACAATAAGTTTTACAATCAAATTCAAGCCATTTCCCAGATTTTAATCGTTAATAATAACCCTCATTCCAACGGAAAAGCAGCCGTCGCGCAATTCACACAACAACACCAAATCCCGGCCGCATTACGTGCTGTGGCCCGAAACCGAATCTCACAAATTCCAGTACGTCACAGTACTATAGCCGAAAGTAACATATATCTAGCTATCCAATAATATCTAGGCAGCTGGAGGGACAGACTCCGTTTAGAAAGCCATTTTCTAACCGATCTAATAGTACTATTTGCCATGGGGGAAAAGCGCTACACTCTTCTGACTACATGAAAAGCCACATTGCCGAGCATTATAGAGGTGCCAATATATAGATATACACAAAACACGCGCTGCCAGAGGGAGGTTTACCTCGGAGCTTTTCAGCCGTTTTTGGGAGGGTACCTAATAAATACCATAATAAAGTTGATTTCAAATCACAACCAATTTATTACAATACAAACAGAATAAATGTTAATTTCATACCCGGATAGGCCCTCTTGTGTTCGATTCCATGGTGTGCTGATCGGGCACGTACATCACGGCGTCATCATCTTCGAGGAGAAGCGCCTTCTGAAGGAGTCATAAGTTGAGGCGATTAACAATACCTTTCCCTTTCTAGCTTGTTTATTCGCACCCAACACGACAAGTCTTGCTCTGTTAGACGCATAGATCTCATATCTGAAAAAAAAATATAAGATTGGAAGCTAATAAAAAACGTACGAAGGGAATTGACTTCCACAAAGCGTCGTCTTGATGTTGACACAACAGGAAGCGGTAAAAGGGTTATATCCCTTCTGGAATTTGCCAGTCACCTAAAAAACGTATTAAAAATGATTAAACTAATATAAAAACCTGTTCATTTGTCGTGCGACCTCGAGAAACCAGGACAATGTGGAAGATCGTCAGCCCGATCACTGGAAACGCGAGCAGAAAGCTGACGAGCAGCAGGACCACGGCGCACATGTTCGGTCGCGTCAACATCTCCTCTCTATAAATTCAAAATAAACTTTATTTGACCCAAAGAACCCTCTAACCCCGACTACAAACTACAATAACCACCTAGTGAAGAATTTAGCATCAGTAGGGGTGGAGGTGGGTAGACTGTTCAATTCCTTTGTATATCCCGGCACCGTTACAGCACCCGGGCTAGAAATTACCCGGTTTTCAGGGGAAGGGGAGGGGAAAGATACTTTGACACCATTCAGAAAGAAAATTTGAAACCAAAAATGATAAATAAAAGTGGGCGGTTTACGCAGGTGGTGGTGCTCTTTCACTTGTAAGCTAAAATAGACTACACGCTCGAAACATAAGCGCTTTAGCTTCATTATATAAATTATAATTCCATTTATAAATCTAAATTTGGGCACGCTATATCGATTTCATTAAAAACTACGAGAAATGCCATAAAAAGCTGCTATGGTGACGAGGAATAAGCTAAAAAATTTGGAATTACGTCTAAAAACGATATTTTGCATCTATTATCGTTTTTTTTTGCTCTATATTGTTAATTCTTACGACTAAAACATAGAAAACCAATTAGCGTAATTTTCTAGCAATTTTACACCTTCCTAGTCATTTAATATAACTCTAGGCACGTCTAAGAGCTTTTCCCTTACTAGTGAAACTACCACCTGCGCGTTGGCCCCCGTTAAAAAACTAATAAACTATCGAGGAACTAATAAACTAAAAAATCCACCGAAACAACAATGTAGACGCCACGAAAAATCGACTCACTTGACCAGTTTGGCCGCCAGAACGTAGGAGAGACACAACGAGAAGACGTGAAGCATGTGCAGCGAGAGGAACAGCAGAAAGTAGAAAAAGTAGCGGTAGTTTCGTCGGCCGACACAATTGTGTACCCATGGACAGTGATGATCGAACGCATCAATACATCTAAAAATTAATTTCCTTTTAAAAGCTGTTTTCTATTACCTGTTGCACACAGAACAATGGGAAGAGCGTGGCGGCCTATAGAACTTGCAAGTCACGCACCTAAAAAACGTTCAAAATCCAAATTAAAACAACGAACCATTTCATGCGCACTATGATCCCGTTGATTTCGACGTTCTTGTGTAGCGGCGATTTAAAATCGTCTAGCTGACTGTTGTCTTCAGAACTCACCGCTGAAAAAAAGGAGTGTTTTCTTTCTAAATAAAGCTTCAAACCTAGCGGCAATTTCCCGGGGTCCATGCACATGGCCATGATCAAATTAGAGACGACGAGCAGAAAGATGAGGAAGTCCGTCACACAAAATGTGCCTCCGACCCAACCTAAATTCATCAAAATAATTTTCTAAGGGCAAAACCAACCAAACTTTGTAATGATAGCCGGCGCCAGCATATAGTAGAAACAAGCCGAGCAAATCAGGATCAGGCCCCATGCCAGTGTCGCCGGCAGCAATTGTGATATCTTCTTACACATCTAAAACAAAAGTTTTCAATGATCAAAAAATGCCTACCAGGGCTATTGTGTTAGTAGCAATTGCCTGGGGGTTGAGGAGAGGCCGAGAGGCCTGATGCCTGAAAAAAAACGGGATTAAAAGGGTAAAACGCGAGGAGCTCAGAAAGGAAAACAAAAATAGCTGGGAAAAAGAAAGATAGAAGTGAAAGCACAGCCGAAACTTGAGTGTGGGTCTAGAAGGATGTTTATTTTCGGTGCGTCACCAAAATACGACCTGGCGGAAGAGGAATGGTGTAATAAAAGTGTCTAGCTTGAAAAGAGGGGTTGATTTTCGAGATAAAATGATGACTAACATCAGAAATCCTTTAGGAGCTGAAAAATTGGTGTCACAACATTGGCGAGCTGAAAATTTTGGCAGAAAAAGCACAATTCTGAGATTAGCGTTACTTCTTCTAACCAAACAGTTTCACAAGACCCTAATTAGCCAGAAATCAATCCTTTTGAACAACGTATAAAGACATTAACGACGTTTTAGGGTCTTAACTTTGCGGCGAGAAATTTCGGGCAGCTAAAAAAGCAATCTAAATTTGAAAAAATTGGGGCTAGAGGGATGTCGGACGACAGAAAAGCGCGAAAATCTTGCGAAATTCTCTAGCTTCAATAAAATTTTCAATTCCATTTAAAAAATACAAAAAATGCAGCGTCGAGGAATATCTACAAAAGGTGAAAACTATGCGTAATTTGAAAACCATCGAAAACCTAAAAGTTCCATTACAAACAAAAAATAAGCAGCTAAAGGAACGTCTGAAAAGCGTGAAAAACATGCGACGTTAAAAACCGGCCTAAACAAAGCTTTAATATCAATTAAAAATTTAAAAAATGGGCTAAAGGAATGCGAAGGAATGCTGCTTTGAGTAAAAGACGCTAATAGGCGTGTGGGCCCCTAGGGGGGTGGCCAGGCGGGAGCTAGGGGGCTAATTTCGAGGGCGCGGCCACCCAGAAAAAAAGGTGGTATATGGGTATTCGATGAGGGGTTGGAAAAGAGGTAGAAAAGATCCTAGAAAGGGGGAGACAGTGCGTGTCTGTGGCAGGCCATTCGTAAAAAAGCGGAAAAGGGGGCCAGGGGGTGGGTTTTCAGATACAAATGGGGCCAGTTAAAAGCGGCCACCCGCGTATCGATCGCTGCTAGTGGACCGAGCCGATGGGACGGACGGACGGAAGGGGGGAGGGGGAGGAGGGCACACAGCAAGAGCACCACCACACAGCCCACCACACTATAGACCAGGATACTCTACTCATCCAACACAATCCCAATCCTCTTGCCCCTCTACCCAAACCCTCATCAACCCCAACAATCCAACCTATCCCCAATTTCCAGCCTCACGCTAGCATCTACCTAAAAATGCATAGGAAATTCTTGAGCGTCTAGGGGAGCTAGAGGGGATGAAACCCTAAAAAAACTGTTCGGAAACGTCGCGCGTAAAGCTCGAATTTGCTCAACAACTTTGTAAAATGACAAACGCTACACTAATTAGCGATTTAAGATATTAGAGGCTACTTATAGGCAAAATTATGGGCTAGAGGAAATCGCAACCCTGAAAAAAACGGTTAGAGACGCGTTCGCTAGGCAGAATTTACTAAATAACTTTGTAAAATCTAAATAGCAAACGAATAGAAGTTCTAATACATCGTAATTAGAAATTTAGGGTATCAGAGGGGACGTTATAGGCAAAATTATGACCCCAGAGAAAGCAAAGCGCTGAGAATAAAGTTAGAAAAACTCGCGCGATCCGCAAAATCGTTGTATTTGGACCCTAAAGTAACTAATTTGACCTTTAAACTATACGCTGATACTTTAGAATAACAATAACGATGTTTTAACTTAAAAATTTAGCGCAAATTTGTTATTCTAGAAAGTTTACTTAGCAAATATCAGCCTGCGACATTCGCTAACGCGAAAAAAGCTCTGAAAAACCAAAAACACAAAAACCCCCCGATATATTTCTACCCGCCTACACACAAACACCAATAACAACCCGCCTAAATTGGCTATAACCCGCTAAAAAGGGCGGCTCATTAGCCTTGCGGGAAGAGGAGGCGATGGACGGGCGGGCCAGCGGTATCCCCGAGAATAATCTCCCTGCAATTAAGATAGATCTAGAGGAATGCCACGCAATCGGGGTTCGGAGATGAGGCTGAAATGGGCTTTTTGGAAGGAAATGGACCCTGGAAACCAAAGTTCAATGGAAAAAACGTCTGTTTGGGGTCTGGAAATAGTCATAAAATGAAAGGAATTTAACTAGCGGGTAAAGTTTTAAAAGGACAGTATAGTAAAGAGCGCTTAGAACAAGCTTATAGGCCTGAAAAACCAGAATCAAGGAAACATGGTCGAAAAACGGTTGCTAAAGAAGCTCTACACTAAAATTTTTTGGGCATTTTTAAGATTCTGATCTCGGCTACTCTTTCTGGGGGTGTCGCTGTCCCCTTAGTTTGCTCAAACGGCGAATCTGGAGCTAAAATTGGGAATAGCAAGGCAAGATCGGTTGATTCATTTTAGGGCGCTGATGCATAAAAAGCAATGTTGATAGGACTCGGCCGTTCAGAGGTCAGAGAGGCGCGGCGTCACCCCCAAATGACCATACGTCACTTTGCGAGCTACTTTTGGGATGATTCTAGCTAATTTACAAGTTTTTTTAGTAAAAAAAATAATTTTCTGAAGTTTTTCGAAGTTCGGCGACGATTTTCAAGCAACCTACGCGGCTTTCCAAATTACAGTAATCCGTCACTGTTGTCGGACGGAATCTCCGAATTTACAATTTACGGTAGTCCGTAAACTGTTGTCAAACGGAATCTCCGGCATAGCTTCTCGATTTTTCACAAAAACGTGAAAATGTTGAAGTCTTCTTCTAAAATTCCTCTTTTTTTTTCTCCCAGACAATTCTCTTTGTTCGTGTAACCCAATTAGGCCCTTCCCTTGCCTTTATTCGTTTAAATGAGATCCGCCAGATTCCCCCGGGTTCCTCAATCCAGAGAACGTGCGAAATTTGTTGAGAGAATTCACAGCAAACTTTATTTAGGGGTCTAATCGTTGAAAAATAGATAGATTAGTGAATTTACAATAGCTTTCAACAGTTTTGACTAGAAAAATTGGTAATAAAGCTAGAATTGGAGATCACGAATCGTTGGGAGATCACAGGGGGTTGTTTTGAGATCACAAATTTTTTTAGAGATATGTCGAATTGTCTATTCTAGAATCGATAAATTAAGTAATGAAATTGTTTAGGCCATCATTTTGTACATAATCCAGGAAATAATTCCCATAATGATGGAGACAAAGATAATGATGTAGAAACGGCGGTTGGAGGCTTTTTCGTGGATTGAGGTGATGAGGGGTAGATGATCGGGGACCACCTAAATAGAGTTTTCAGTTTTATATTTTTATAATTGCTCTTATTACTTATAGTTTAGCTTTGTGATCCATAGTTTTTTGATACTTACCCCAGGCGCACGAACTTGATCCAATTCTGCAGATTCCAAAGACCTCTCCCACCCATCGTCAACGTGTTCTAAACTTTTTTCTAGACTTTGTAGTTTGTACTTACCAATGCTAACATCAATATCCAGCATCTCCTTGATCTTTTTCTGCGAATCCTCGATAGAATCCGCCTCAAATAGCCAATCCGAGAATAGGATTGAAGAATGATAGGGTAGAGTAGTCGTAGCCGGTCTCGGCATTTGATAAACTTCCCCATTTTCGGCGATTGCCGAGATACTCACGACAAAGTGCTCCTGATCAGGTATTCCTCGTTTTTATTGGTTTTTACCTGCCCGTCTTCTACCGCTTTCTTTTGATTTCCGCTCATTAGGTCGCAGAGGAAGACTGAATTGGGTTGGAAGTTTTGATTTTCGGTTATTTTATGTTTTCTCTCACTGCTATAGCTTTTCCTAGCCTAGTTTTCCTTAGATGCTTTCATTTGCATTCATTAAATCGCATAGAAAAGCGAAATTGGGTTCTAATTTTCGATTTAGGTTATTTTCCGTTTTCTATCACGTCTCTAACGTTTTAATTTACCATTTCCTGCCCAAAATTTGCGATATATACGCTATTTATAACAATATTTAGTTTTTAGCGTATTTTTCCAGGCATGAAGTCACCTAGGAAAGCTGTATTCCTCTTTCGTTTTTAGTTCTAGCTTCTTTTTTTGAACCCTATCACGTCTATAAAGTTTTAATTTTCCACTTCTCGGCAAAAAAAAATGATTATTTGAGAATTTTTTTTAGTTTAGGTAATTTTTCAAGTCTATCACGCCCATAACCTTTAAATTTACCATTTCTCGCCCAAAAATTGCGATATATATGCTTCTTAATAGCGATAAAGGCGTCATCCACCTTGCTTTTTATCGGGATAGCGGCTCGAATCTAAAATTGATTTCCCTTGGGGAGTATAGAGATGGAAGGGCAGTGTCGCACCTCCACGTCAAACACATAGTCATGCCAATTAGATGCCGATTCGGGAGTGAGTGTTGTCTCGCAGTGGTCGTCACCTAGGGGGGAGAGCAGTAGACATTGTAATTGGTTAAGAATTGTATAGTCGCTCTGGGAATTGTATAGTTGTTGATTTTGAACTTGATGCGCTAGGTTTTAGCTACACTATCGCTTGAAGTTTGTGATTTCGAGACTGTATTTAGGCTACTTTGTACAGAATTTCGCGCTGATTCCGGGTATGTTGTTACTTTTTTTTTGTAAATTTGCTGTTTTTAAAAAGTTACTAGCAGTTTAGGCTTGTTGATTTTGACTTTGTCGCGCTGTTTTTTCACTAAAAATCGGTGTTTTCTCGCTTGTAATTTGTATTTTTCAGTTAGAACCACGTATATTTAGTACAGATTTTTACGCTGATTTCGAAGCTGCTTTCAGTTTTTGCAGATTTTCTAGTTTTAAAAAGTTATGGGGGGTTTGGGTCCAGGCGCCAGTATTGAGCTGGAAAATCGAAATTTCGCGTTTGTAATTTGCGCTTCGTGACCATAACGAGCCTATTTTGTACAGAATTTTATTCCTATTTCGAAACTGTTTTCAATTTTGTTAGAACACGTATTTTTGAAAGACTACAAGAATTTTAGTTTCAAAATTTGAAAAATTTTGGATTTTTTTGATAATAAACTCCCTGTAACTTTTCTAAAATCGCATTTTCCTCTAAATTTAATACACCTTCGGAATCAGCTTGAAATTCTGTGCACAATGCGTAGTTTGATTCGTCCTCCCGGACTCTCGATAATAGCTAGTTGCAATGATCGGCTTAGCTAACGGCTACCCAACTTACGCTCCTATTTACGCTCAGATTTCCATTAGATTCCTGTTGACGATGCAGTAACGATACCGTACTCACATTCCGACTTGACAACCAGCGCAATTTCAAACGACGTCTTCTTATTCTTCACCAAATCCGTGTTCAAATCATCAACACCCTTCCTTACGGCCCCATCCATCAGAATGAAATCACATTCTAGAAGGCGCTCCGCCTACAGTAATTAAATAATAGGTATTTCCGGTAGGTGGGGGACACACCCAAGGGATCATCATCTCAGATAGATCTTTTCCAAGGTCATCATTCTTCAGAGGCAAATGATCGCTAATACGACCGCCGACGCGCGATACTATTGACGCCCATTCTAGCTGAAAATAACATTTTAGAATCGGTTTTAATTATTTTTAAACTATAAAAAGGTACGGTATACCTTTTCGTACTGAAATTTCGTCGGTTCACACGATCCGGCTTTTTCGCCGATTTCGAAGAGGAAAGATTGGTCATTTCCGGTCAGCTCGTCGATTTGGATTAGGGCCTAAAGTTTGTAAAATTGGTTTTTATCAATTTTTATGAGTTTTTTATCGCCGTTTTAAATTTTAGAGCCGATATATTTGAATTAGTGCCTAAATTAAGCAACCAACAAGTTTTTAATAGAATTTTTGTTTACTTCGATTTTTTTAGATTGTAAATCGAATTTTGTGGCTTTTTATGGAGTATATATTTCAATTAGAGTCGAAATTCAATAAGCTAGATGTTTAATATATCTTATGATTTTTTTATCGAACTTTACAACTTTTTTGTGAGTTTTAATCAGGCCAAAAAATAAAATTTTCGATTTTTTTCGATTTTTCTAGCTTTTTAGAACTTTTGTGCTATATTACCATGTGTGTAATATACTCAAAAAGATCGTAAGTAGTAGCTGTAGTCGATAGACGAGCAATATGCTGGAGGCTGTCCAAAAGTAGACTTTTCAAGGGTGGAAAAGTGGTGTGTTCATCGGAGATTATCAGGATTCCTAAAGTTTTAGTGAGATTTTTTAATGATTTTGAAGTTTGTAGGCTCATTTTTAATAGTTCTATATATAGTTTAAATTCCCACCAACAATATCCACGCCTCCAGGCAACATTCTCAAGATCTGATTAGCATATGAGAGGATGAAGTTGGTCTCGAGGTGTCGGATAGCGAGAGAGTTCGTGTCTTTTGGGCCCTTGTTCTTTGGCAGTGGGCACCGGATGTAGTGAGCGACCTGTAAAAAGTTTATAAGTATTTATTTACAAATTGTAAGCTCAATATAAATTTTTAAATCGAGAAAATATAAAATTTTGAAGTTTTTAGTAGATTTTTCGTCGAATTTACGTCCAATTTGCAATTTTTTCTGATGAATTTAAATGGATTTTCCTTATTTTTAATTAATTATCTTTACAAACCTGTATATCATATTGCTCAAAGAAGCTGCCGACCATGAAATAGATCGAGACTGGGACTTCATAGGTATCCACTTCTTTCTTGTGCTTTTTGAGGTGTTCTTCGAGGGTTTTTTTGAGGCGCTCGTCGAGGATTATCATTCTAAAATTCGGTTTTATCTTTAAAAACTTTTTAGATTATATAGCAGAGATTTGAAACGATTTAAAGGGGCTGGAAAGGCAGGCGTTTTTCGTGCGTTGCGTATAGTGGCAAAATTCGTAATGAATCCATAGCCACTAATCGAAAATCCTGGCTTCCGAGCCCCTTGAAAACAACCTTAAATGCTTTTCTAGATTAGAAAAGATTCGTTTTTACTTTTAATTTTTCAAAACCTATTTCCTACTCAAAACTACGTTTTACACCTATGTACAGTAGTATCAAAGAGTGGGGGCGGCTCCAATTTCCCCACAGGAAATTATAGAGTTTCCCCCTACCTACAGACAACCAAATAGAAGAGCCATCTCACTGATGGGCAACCCGGGACGGGAGGAGGAGCGCTAATTAGCCATTCTAATGCCCCCTGGGAGGGCCATCAGGTTCTCTCTCTCTCTCTCTCTCACTCGCTCTCTCTCACTCGCTCTCTCTCTCTCTCACTTGCCTCCCTCTAGGTACCCATTTTCACATTAGTTTATTACTTCCCACCCTCCCCTCCTCCTCTCTTTCTGAGTGAATTCTAGAAATTCTGGAAATCCGATAGATTCTAGATTCTCAGAAAACAGTGCCCCCCTGGCAGCTTATCTCGTTTTATGGCCCCCCAGTGCTGTGAGATTAATTTTTTGCGGACTTCTGGAAACTGGCGGCTTTTGGAATCTGAATTCAATCAATTTGAACTCTAGAAATTCGTTGTTTTTCGTTTTAAAGGGATTGGCAAGGCAAAGATATGGATTTTGTTGCAGCCACCACACACAACGCCTTATTTTGTTCAATATCGTTTTAAAATAGCGATAATTAATTGCGACCAGGCGATTCGCGCGTTTCGTTCCGGATCATCCCTTTAAAATCTATATATTTGATTTTTCGGATTACGGTAGTTTCCAACAAACTACCATATTTGATCGTAATTCGATTTTTCTACTTTCTATTAACCTCCTAATTCTCATTTTCCCCCAGTTTCCTATTGAATTTATCGCATTGATTTCTGATCCAATTACTTTTCTTAAAAACACTGTAGTCCTTAGCTTACTGTAGCTTGCTATTGACTACAGTAGCCCGAAGAATACGAAATGTTTCAAACTTTTCGAATTTCTAAAGCCCAATTTGTCTCCTTTTTTCCGACCTTTTAATATGATATACCGTTCACTTGGTTACTGTAGTTTTTAATCGGCTACAAAATCCAATAGAATTTAATATCTTTAAAACTACGAATTTTCTGTTTTTCTGATTTTATTACGATTTTCCGTTGATTTCCGGCGCCTACTAGAGAGTGTATTGGGGAGACCAGAGGCTGTGCTCTCGATCTGCAGCCCCAGTCCTACCAAAAAAACTAGGGGTGAAAAATGTAGAGGGGGCAGGAAGGGGGGGGAGAAGGTTGTCAGGCGGTTTCTTTCGTTCGCCTAGATCCAATCTATAGTCACTGGCAACCAGATTTTGTGCGAAAATCGGTTGATTTTCTCCATTTTTGCGACTAAAAAAAGCCGTATTTAGCTACCGTATCCAGCTACCGCACAGCGATATCGTAACCCTGAAAACGAAAATTTTTGGCTCTACGGTATACTCCACAGTGCCCTTTTTAGCCCTAAAATGGCAAGAACTGCTTTGCAAAAAGCTAAAGCTTTGGTTCTAATTTTTAAGTACACTACGGTACGATTTACAGTACCCTTTTTGCTCTAAAGTACAGTAACGTACTCTCGATAGAGTAGAAACATGTTCCTAATCTTGTATTTTAATCCGTATCCTACCGTACTCAGATACCGTAATCACTCAACTAAAATTCAGCTACAGTACGCTTCACAGGACGCTTTACAGTACCCTTTTGATCCCTAAAAGCGAAAAAGGATTAACAAAATCTCTCAGCCAGTCTACCGTATCCCTGAGTCCTTTTAAAACACCAAAACACAGATTTCTGGGCGCAATTTTATGTTTTTTGTTCTATTTCCGGATTTTCCTGGTTTCCGGCCACTCCAAAATCTCCATTTCAATCCGGCTAATCTCCCGAGGCGTTCGGATTAATTTAAAAAAAGGAAAAAAGGAAAAGAAATGGATTTGGAAGCCCTAGATTTCAGAAATCCCTCCTCTTTTGAAACGGTTCTAGGTTCCTAGATTCCGATAAGATACTCTAGACGCATTAATAGTCCGGGAATTAAAGATAAAAAATGCAAGGGTTAATTTCTAGATTAGATACCAGATATGAGAAACGTAATGGCATCTGCCATTCTTCGGATTGCTTGCTTTCCCATTTTCCCTCCGTTGCCTAGGCGCCAACCTTTTCCACCTGCCTTTCTAATTAATCCCAGCCCCTAGGCTTTTCTTTATCTTTCTCTCTCTCTCTCTCTCTCTCTCTCTCTCTCTCTCTCTCTCTCTCTCTTCCCCTGCTGGCTCTCCTCCAGCTGATGTTCAGGCCCTCCCTACTATCCCCAATCGGCTACACGCGCGTGACCGACGCGTCGCGTGCGGTAGGGCTTATGACGGGCCGTTCGCTCTCTGTTTCTCTCCCCTCTCCCCCTCCCCCCACTCTCTCTCCCCTCCTTCCCCTCCTTCCCTCTATCCCCCCAATCATCACGCCGTCCCCCTTCCCCCTCGAACCCCCATTACCTTAATTACCCTTGTTTTTTACACTTTTATATATCGATTTTTGTAACTTTATTGTAAAAACCTCTCTATCGCCTGCCAATCCACCGATTATCCCTTTAATTCCAGGCAATCGCTAGCCGATCCAGCCGCCAAATGGACTACTATAGACCGCAGCCACAGGTTTGTGTAGAGTTTGATCAGCTGATTTTCGGGGTTTTCTAGGTTGTTTTTGGAGTTTGTAGTATAGAATTTTAAGCTGTATTAACCTAAACTAAGCCATAAAATTTTTGAGTTCGGTTATTACATCGCGTAAATGGTGGTTGTTAGGTTGTTTTTCTCGGGCTCTTTTGTCTCTCTTTTCTCTTTTTTCTCTAGTTTTCTCTTGCTCCTTTCGTTGCTCTCTCTCTCTCTCTCTCTCTCTCTCTCTGCCAACCCCCTCCCTGGCCGGTTGCCAATGACTCACACCAATGCCTGACCCCGCGCTGTAGGTCGCGGTGGCCACCATTTTTGACCGGAAATTTTTGAGGGTACCTTAACAGGATTTACCCTAAAGATTTAGCTTGATTTTAAATACCAATAAATTTTTAATTTAACAGCAAAATTTAAAAACTAACTTTTGAAATTTCTAGGTTAACACAAAGAAAATTTTCAACTTTTTGTGTGATTTCAGATACAAAGAGTTTTAAAATTTATGCATTAAACGTATATTGGCAAATTTTATCCATTTTAATGCGACAATTATAGCTTGAAAAATGGGAAAAGTATTTTTCTGCTTTTGGAACAATAACAAGACATTTGTCAACTTGTTATGGTTTTAAGCAATAATTATTGTATTTAATAGCTTTGCATTACTGGCATACCTATGTTATATATTTATTGAATTTAATCAATAAGTAAAGCTACAAGCTTAGGCAATAATTTAACGAATTTATTCTTTGCATTTTTGGTGCAAAACAACAAATCAATTTGCGAACTTCTTGTTCTCTTTGTTTGGCTCTCTCTCTCTCCCTCTCTCGCTCTCTCCCTCCCTCCCTATCCATCGCCTTTTGCGGGAAAAATTGTTGGAATTGCTGTGGCGGGCGTGGTGACCTGATTTTAGTGGGGAAAGAAAGAGAGGTCAAAAAAGAATTCCCCCAAGGGTCATCTACCCCCTGAGATTTGAAGGTCTTTTTGTGTGTTTTTTGCAAACACTAATCGACACTAATCAACATCAATAGACAATCGACAATCTAATCAATCATGTTGCAGTATCCAGTCTCCTCAACATCAACAACTGGACAGACACAACCAGCACCCAGCAGTTATACTATGTACTCCGCTAATAATATGTATTACGCACAGGTTTGTATTTTTAAAATTATATTAATTAAATTGAGATTATAAGATTTTGTATATCTAGGTTAAGCCTAAGTTAAGCCTAAGCCAAGTCTAAGCCCAAGCTATTATACTTTTGACGTATCTTGTAAGCTTTTGAAGATTTTTTAGATAAATTTTTTGCTTTTTTAAAATCTTAATTAAAAACCTGCCTTTTCCAAAAATATATTCACAGGATTTCCAGCAGTACCCAACCCCGCAACACTACTCTACTGGAATTGCCCCCGGTCAAAATCATGCCCAACCAACGGCCACTCATTCTTCTCATTGGAATAATGACTACAACGCTGTCGCTCAGCAAAGCGCCTCTGCCAATACTCAACCACGTCGTCCACCACAGCAGAATAAGTAAGCCTTAAAACTTGGAATTAAACTGAATAGAAGCTGAAAAAGTTAAGCTCTCTAAGCCCGGTAAGCCTGATTTTAAGTTAAGGCTAGGTAAGCTATATGACGTCCAATTCAGGCCTAAGCTACCTAAGCCAAGATTCAGCTTCGACTTAAGCCGAAGCTAAGCACAAGCCAAGCCTAAGTTAAGCCTAGCCGAGCTGCTCGAAAGCTAAACGAAGCTGACGAAGCCCGAGCCTAAGCTTGAAATCAGCATGAGCATAAACTTGAACTGTGCGTGAACCGGAGCCAAGCTACCTGAGCCCAAACCCGACTTAAACCCAGCCTAAGCCTAAGCCTAATCCTGGCCGAAGCTAAGCCGGAGCCAAGCCTAAAACGAATCCCGTGTTAAGCGAAGTTTAAGCCTAAGCTAAGCCTAAGCCTAAGACAAGCCTAGAAATGACGCCCAAACTACACGAAGCTAAGCCTAAGCCTTTAAACTTAAGCCTACCGCGCTTTATCCCCTTTTTCAGCACGACCTACGCCTACCGTCCGCCACCCCAACTCCAAGCCGATCCAAGTGGCACTGCTGCTCTAACGATGGGAAGAACTGGACAGACCCCGATGATGGCTCAGGGACCTCAGGGACCCCCGCTACCGCCACAGGTAAATTTTATATCTATTGAATTTTACATTATCCTCTCGATACAGTAATTTTCGGGGTTTGAAAAGCGTCAAAAATGACAAATATCGGTCCGCAAGGCGCGCAAAATCGTGACTCACAACCGCCGAAATGACGGGTGAATCAGCGTTCTATCGTTAGCTACGTAGTGCTCCAAACGACGGGTGTATTTGAATCCATAGAAAAGCCCTAGCTAACCGCGTCATTTGTAGCGTTGCGTAGTTGTCGAAACCTAGTGAAGATAGAGGGTCGATTTCTACAGTTTTTAAAGCTTTTAATGCCGATATTTCAGTTGCAAGAGCTGCCCCTCCGCATGGTGGTCGAGGCGAAGTATGTTGGAGCGATCATCGGCCAGGGTGGTGGCAATATCCGCGAGATCAGCAAGGACAGCAAGGCCCGTTGTGTTGTTGATGTTCAGAGGGCGATGAGGGATCAGGATGGGATTATTGAGAAGGTATGTCTATTGCTTAATTACATCCTAAAAATGGTAAATACAAGCTACCGTAGTTGTCGAGACCTAGGGAAAAATAGGGGTCGATTTTATTACATAAAAACTTTAATAAAAAGGCATATTTTTGTAGTGTTCAAGGGAATTAGTAAACGTAGTTGTCGAGACCTAGAGAAAAAAATAGGGGTCGATTTTTATCCCTAGAAAGTCTTTTAAAGGTGCGAACAAGGCTAATCTATGGATTTTGAAGATTTCTAATGCATTAGGCTATGAAAATCCGAGCGGACGCGTTACGTTTTTGGGTTCCGCACCACGATTAACTACGATTTTCGCGCGTCCTTTGTAGTGTAGCGTACTTGTCGAGACCTAGGGAACTCAAGGGTCGATTTTTACCCTTTTCAGCCCCTTTAAAAATTATTTTACAATTTTCTAGGTGATCTCCATCGGCGGACAACCCGAAAACTGCACAAAGGCCTGCATGAAGGTGCTCGAAGTCATCCAGCGTGAGCTCGAGAAGGAGGAGCCGGAGAAGACAAAGTAGGCATTGGAGCATGAGCTTTAAAAATGGCAAATTGGTGGATTTTCATAAAAATGTTTTAGCGGCGAGGTGACGCTCAAACTTCGTGCTCACAACCAGCTCGTCGGGCGTCTCATCGGAAAACAGGGATCCACCATTAAGAAGATTATGCAGGACACGAATTCGACGATTTTTGTGTCGAAGTGAGCTTTTGAATTTTTTTAAGGTTCTTAAAACTTAAAAAAAATTACAAATTGATTTTCGAGTTGTTTAAAACTATCTAAATCCGGTAAATTGAATTTACAACGATTTATAAGTATTTTAAACGTCTTTTTTAGCTCTGAGCCAGCCTCCCAAATGTCGGCCTCAATGCCGCCAATGTTCGACCTCCTCCAAATGGAGCGCACAATCACAGTTCGTGCTCCCACCATCCAAGACGTCTCAAATGCCGAGCAGCGCATCAGCGCCAAGCTCCGTCAAAGCTTTGAGATTGATATTGCCAATCGGGTAAGCATTAAAAATACGGGAAGAACTGGGAATTAATCCTTAAAAAATTAAATTAAAATCAAGTAAACTTTTTTTCGGGGATTTTCGGCTTTTAAACCCTAAACTTCGCTTGGTATTAGGGGTCTTTGTGGGGGGCCAGTTGGGAAAGGCCCCCTGTGACTTGTATGCTCACTCCCCTGTCCCCACTCGCCCCCCACCTGGCCCACCCCGATTACACAAGTGCAGGTACATTTCCCTCTCGTTGCTAGACAGCGCGAACAAATGATCGACTTCGGTCGGTCGGGCGGTCTCTTGAGGAGGCTATCCGAAAGGATTTGCCAAAACAAATTTTTACGGATAGCCCTCACAGGGGGCCGTCCGACCGGCTGAAGTCACATTGACTTGTCTAGCCAAAAAGCGCAAAATTCTGAAAGAAATGGAATATATACTAAATTATATTAGGTTTATTATAACAGGTTTTCTAAATTCTAAATAGGTAAAAGATTTCTAAATTCTAAATCACAAATTTTCTAAAAGTTTTTGAAAATTTAGATAACTTTTTCAACCCTAAAATTTTTTCTTAGTTTTGAAGTTTTTCAACACAAAAATGTATTTTTATGGGGTTATATATCCTTGTATTTTCTTCTAAATCGTCTAAAAATTAGTTCTGGCGGGTTTCTAGGCTTTTAAAAGCATCTACCGGTTTTTAAAACACTAAAATTCAATTTTCTAGGGTTTTTTACATTTTCTAAGACGAAAATCCACTTTTCTGGCGGTCCATTTTTCCTTCTTTTCTCTTCTAAGACTCTCTCTCTCTCCAATTTTGGTCTAAAACTATTTCTTGGTTATCTAGGGCCAAGATGGATCAAGTTTTAACCCGGGAACCGTTGTGTATACTGCGTCGTACCCAATGATGCCTATGCAGCTGCAACAATTCCCCGGCGGCTACCCGATGCCTGGCATGCTTCCATCAATGGTCAATCCAATCGGTGATGCCTATGCAATGTCTGGAATGAATCTACGCAACAATCTACAAGGCAACATCACCAAGACCGTCCGCATGTATGTGCCGAATAATATGGTTGGAGCGATTATTGGGACCAAGGTACGGTATTTTTCGTATTTTGAGAATTTTTATAGCTGGAGAATGTAGAGAATTTTGCGCTGATTCTGAAGCTACCTTCAATTCGCTATATTCGTCGTTATTTAAAAAGTTACAAGCATTTTAGTATCCAGAAATTCAAAAAAATTGATTTTGAGCCCAATAAAACGGAAATCAGATTTCGAATCTGCTGAAATTCTAAAGTTTTTATAGCTGGTGGCTTTTTGTAGACCATTAAACGCTGATTCGAAATATATCTTCGATTTTTCTAAAACTATAAGGTTTCAAAAGTTACAAGCTATTTAGTATCGAAAAATCGAAATTTCAGAATTTTTGTGGCAAGATATCCAAACTAGAGATTAATTCAGCGCAAATTTTCGAATTCTTATAGCCGTATCGTGTAGAGAATTTCGCTCTGATTCTAAAACAAGCTTTGGCTTTTCTAAAACTCTAATATTTAAAAAGTTACAAGCAGTTTAGTACCGAAAACAAACAATGACTAGGTTTTTAGCTATAAAACCCTTCGTAACTTTTCAAATATCGACATTTCGACAGAACTAAACGCATATTCGGGTTCAGCACAAAATTCTGAACATGAAAACTACTTATAACCTAAAACAACCTTTTTCCAGGGCTCCAACATCCGCCAAATCATGCGCAACAGCGGCGCCCAAGTCAAAATCGACGGCGGTGAGCGGAGAATAAAGGAGGGGATGGACCCGGAGGAGATTGAGCGCGAGAAGGAGCGCGAGAGGGAGGAGCGCGAGAAAAATCCAGAGGAAGAGCGTCTCGTTACAATTACCGGAAATGACAGTCAACAATGTCGAGCTCAATTCTGGATCTATCAACGTGTCGCCGAGCAGACGAGCCATAATATCGAGGATGTAAGCAAATCTCAACAATTTTCGGAGGTTTGAAAGAAAATATTTTAAAGGGTGTAGGACTAAAACTATAGAAAAAGCTAGAAAAAGTAGAAAATTAATTTCGAGCTCAGAAATCGGCATTTAGTACGTAGGAGGCCTTTGGACACCTAATGCACCCGGGAAAGCGGACATAGCCAGTCATTTCTAAATATGTTTTTAACCAATTTCGATATTTCAAAAAGCATAAATATGTATAATTTAGTGAGGAATTCAAAAATGGGGCTAAACTTGCTATTTTTGAAGTAATCATGTCGAAGTTGGACTAAAAACGTCTCACGCGATCGAAATTCTCAGGTTTCAGCCCCGAAAAACTTTTCTAAACTGTTCCCTAGGCCAATTTCGACGTTTTAAAAGTAATAAATATATAAAAATTAGTGAGGAATTCAAAAATGAGGTCAAAACTGGAAATTTATCGAGTTTTCGCTTAGAAATCGGGGCTCAAAACCAAGGGCGCAGCTGTGTTAAGCCGAAATTTAGCGATTTTGCGCAGAAATCAACGATGATATAACCCGTTTAATACAGAAATATTTCAGGTTAAACTCCGGACCGAGATCCAAGTTCCGGCCAAGCTTGTCGGCCGAATTATCGGCAAGGGCGGCCAGAACGTGCGTGAGCTTCAGAGGATTACCGGCGCTCAGGTGGATATTGTACGCTTTTCGATATTTTTATTAATAAAAACTAATGGATTTATAAATATAGAGGTTTCCAGTTAAAGAAAACATCGTTATCTATCCTTTAAAACGCCATAAATGGCTTTAGAAATTGACCAAAACTTTGTAAAACCAAGGAAATCAATAATTTATGATGTTTGAATCCGAAAAACGGTTTAAATGACTTTATAAAAATTAAAAATAGGTTTTAGCGTATATTCATCTAATCTTCAGGTAAAAATCCCGGATGAAAATGAGGAGGGAGCTGCTGCCGGAGGAGCTGGAGCTGCCGAAAATCCGACCCCGGCCGAGGGCGAAGACTCGGGCTCGAATGCCCCGACCCCTGTCGTTAGGAAAGAATGTAGGTGTTAAAAACCTTAGATTTATAACTGAAAATTTTATCTATAATTTAATTCGATTATTTAATAAGATTTTAACTAAAAAAAACCGATTTAGCTGGCGACGACGAGAGCTGCGTGCGTATCGTGGCCAACTTCCAGTCGTCGATCTCGGTCCAGTTGCGGATCTCGCACGTTTGCGCCGAGTTCCAGCGCCTCTCCAATCTCAACGACCGCCGGGAGCGTTATAATAAGGATGATAGAGGTTAGTATAGCAATAAAACACAAAAATTTGGATTTATCGAGATCAAAACCTAGGAAAATGTTGGCCAAATCGACTTTTTCGCTGAAAAATTAAGTTTGAACAATTTCTGGCTAGTTTGAAGGTATAAAATCAAATTTTCTAAGTAGCTTAAAACACGGTAAATATTTTGGAATCAAACGCATTAATAGAAGGAGCAAGAAAAGTTAAAACTCAAAAATGTCAAAACTTTGAGCATGAAACGCTGGACCTCAGAGAACAAGCTAAAAATCAGCTTTAAAAAGTGACAAAAACATTGCAAAAATTTGCAGATGAGGACAGCGAGCAGCCCGAGGCCGAGAACGTCTCCACCGAATCGCCGGAAGCCACGGAATAATTTCCGGAAGCGGAAACCCCCGAAAAAATCCCGATGTGTGAGACACCATTGTGGCCTTATCCCCCTCTTTTATTATCCCCGAATTTTACCCTGCGGCTCCTCCAGGTTGAGGCTCCTTCTCCCCCGCCCCTCATTTTTATGTATATCTGGCTCTTCCATAAATTAAGGTACAGGGTGTCCCAAAAAGCTAAAAAAAAGCAAGGAAAACTCGGAGAAAAATCGAATTTTTACGATATAGGTATGTATTAAAAGCTCTTGAAACGGCGAGTAAAATAGAATATTTATTTTTATACAGTACGCATAAATAGCAAAAAAATCCTGAAAAAATCCGATTTTTCGTCCAAAAAGTCCAAAAAAATTTTGAAAAAAACAACAAAATTTCGGGCGAATGTTAGCAATCTTTTAAATTTAAATAGCTCGGTTCGAAGAGCTTTTCAAGGGCTTTCAAACGCTATAAAAATCACATTTTTTGGGGCGCCCAGTCATTAATTATCGATTTTTTTCGTTCGAAGAAATCACCCTGTAAATGCCAAGTGCACAATTGCGGGTCGCCTTTCCATTGTGAGTACGCGGTATTGTTTGTGCCTCTGACTCTTTTTTGTCCCTCCCCTCTCTCGCGCGGCGCTTCCCCAAGAAAAAAGCACACAATCCGAGACAATTCTATTCTATCCATATCTGATGCACAAGCGCGGGGACTGACGCGGTTATTTTTAAAAAATTAAGGATAATTGGTGTTGTTTTTAGGCGAGATTTTAGTCTAGAATTCGATAATTGAGAGAATTTCGAGTTTTCTATAGGAATGTCGGCATTTTGTGATGCCGGAATTCAGAATGTCGGCATTTTCTACTAGTGAAATTCAGAATGTCGGCATTTTTATACCGTCGAGATTCGAAATGTCGACATTTTATACTGTCGAAATTTTGGCTGTCGGCATTTTCTGCCGTCGAAATTCAGAATTTCGGTATTTCGTAACACGAAAATGCCGACATTTCGACATTTTTATAGAAAATCCCTCTATTCTCTGAATTATCGATCGATCCTATCATTTTTATACCTTAAAACAACACTATTTATCCAAAATCCATAGATCAAAACCCAAATTTTGCTAAAATTAAGGTATCGGCTGGAAATTCGGCGAAACTTGTTAGGTGTTGATTTCTGGTTTCTTTGTACAGTACCCCCACGATTTTCTGTACATATTGGCAAAAGTTTCGTTAAATTTCCGGTCATTTTTATGCCCCCAATTTGGCGAAAAATGCGATTTTGGAAAGATCTGGACTCTATGGTACTATTAGGCGCTGGATTCGCATTTTAAAAAAATTCTAAAAAATTAGGTAGAGGAGGATTTGGGAGGGATTCATGTTGTTTTGTAGGCAATTTTTTGCTGATTCTGGGCATCTATTTGGTTTTTCTTGAAAGTTAATATTTAAAAAGTTACAGGCATTTTAGTGCAAAAAAATGAAAATTTTCGGTTTTGGTATCACTAAATGCGGATAACTTTTGAAACATAGGAGCTAAAAATAATTTGAAAACAGTTTTCGAATCAGCGAGAAATTCTCTATAAAACAGTCCAATCAAACCCAAAAATCACCTCCAATAACCCATCAAAATTCAAATTCAAACCCTGCAGCAACCCCTCAACATCCAACCGCTGATCCTCCTGCCCCAACCAAAAAAAAGACTACGAGACAATACCCCCGGAATCCCACAAAAAAACAACAACACCACCACCACCAACCACCCAACAAAACCAGGCGCTTACACCCGAATTTAAACCCGATTTAAACCCAATTCTAAACCCGAAAAATCGAGCCCTCTCCCTCTCTCCCTCTCTCTATCCCTTGCATCAAAAAATGTACCCTCGCATTTTTGAGACGATTTTAATGGCTAATTTGTCTAAAAAACAATCGATAATTCGATAATTTGCTATATTATATAATCTCCATTTTTCTCTATATCCCGCCCTTAGCTTTATAAGATCTTAATGAACGTTTTTGGAGTTTTTCTGTCATTTGGGAATCAGTGAGGAGTTTGGAGTGGCAGGTTAAGCCTAAGCCAAAGCTAAGTCGAAGCTAAGCCTAAGCCTAAGCCCAAGCCCACCCCATCCTCCTCCCTCCTGACTGGCTTCTCCCTCCCCCTCCCCCTCGTCCTCCTCCTCCTCCTCCTCCTCCCTTCTCCTCCTCCCCTCTCTTTCTCCCCTCTCCATTTCCCCCCTCCGTCTCCCAGAGATGTACCATATTTTTTACGTTACATGTTGTCATTTATGCGATGTAAAGGCTTGTCGTTTATAAAGTTTTATTTTTTAAATGTTGTTTTTACGCTTAACTACGCAATGATACGCTACACGGGGCTCCGCTAGGATACACTACGAGACGCTACGCCACGGGTACGAACCGCTAGGCTAAGCTCCGTCAGAGCTTTGAGATTGATATTGCCAGTCGGGTAAGCATTAAAAATACGGGGAAAAGCTGGGAATTAATCATTAAAGTTAAAGTAAAATAAAATAAATTTTTTGTACAATTTGTAGAGGATTTTCGGCTTTTAAACTCTAAACTTCGAACGGTATTGAGGGGGAGGTGCGGGGGGCCAGTGGGGGGGAAAGACCCCCCTGTGACTTGTATGCTCACTCCCCTGTCCCCACTCGCCCCCCACCTGGCCCACCCCGATTACACAAGTGCAGGTACATTTCCCTCTCGTTGCTAGACAGCGCGAACAAATGATCGACTTCGGTCGGTCGGGCGGTCTCGTGTGGAGGCTATCCGAAAGGATTTGCCAAAACAAATTTTTACGGATAGCCCTCACAGGGGGCCGTCCGACCGGCTGAAGTCACATTGACTTGTCTAGCCAAAAAGCGCAAAATTCTGAAAGAAATGGAATATATACTAAAATATATTGGGTTTGATACGCTACACAATGATACGCTACACAATATACGCAATGATACGCTACACGGGGCTCCGCAAGGCTACACTACGAGACGCTAGGCCATGGTACGGACCGCTAGGCTAAAAGTTGCTACAAAATGCAACGCTAAACGCAACAATACACTACGGAATGGTATGTAATGATACGCTACGCTACGTAGTCCTACGCTAACAAGGGAAGTGCACGACCGGCCCACGAGAAATCGACAAGACACAGTGGATCTGATAGAATCGGACACGGGGATTCCGAATCTGTAATCAGAACCAGCGCTGACCCCCCGCTCCGCGGGGGTTCAGCGCTGGCCCTCCCGGGGGAAAAAGTAATAATAAATAGTAATAGTAATAAATCAACATCCCATACACCGAAATCCCGAAATCCCGAAACGCCCCGGCTCCCGGACCCGTCCGAACCGGTCCTGGGGGTCCCGCAGCGATCCGGTCGGACGGGCGGACGGGCGGACGGACGGGCGCACGGACATTAGAAATTTATATATACTCAGAATCTGCTAAATAAAACGGAGAAAAAAGTTATGAAACTTCAAAGTTGGCAAAATCGCCCAAAATCGAACTTTTATGGGCCTGTAAAGGCCCAGGGAATGGAAATTTGCCACAACCCATTAGTGCATCTTGTTCAGGAAAAAAAGCGCTTTCGAATGAGCTAGCTTACTTCAAGTTTACGATGATTTCGCGGAAATCTCTTCTATGAACTTCACAGGCCATACCCTTGCCCGTGAATCCAAAAAAACTTTTTCAGTGAATTGTTTGCAAATGGTACGTATTATAGCTCATTCGAAGCGCTTTTTCTGCTGAACAAAATGCACTAATTCTTTTCTCCTCAACTCCGTTCCCACGGATTTTACGGGCCCCTCAAGGTACCGTTTTTGGCGATTTGGCCAACTTTGAAGCTTCATAACTTTTTTCTCCGTTTTATTTAGCAGATTCTGATTACAGATTCGGTATCCCCGTGGCGGATTCTATCAGATCATTTCGCGTGGGCCGATCGTGCACTTCCCTTGTAAGCGAATGTGAAACAACGTATCCCTAGGCAATGTCATACTATACTACGCTACGCAATGCTACGTGAATCTACGCAACAGTACGCCACAGATTAGGGTATGTGCAGCAATTTTTCGAACGTTTCCGGCATGTTTTTCTTCCGGAAAATGGGGTCACCTGTGGGGGTCAGCATGGGGTAAACATTGCCCGAATTGGGGTGAAAGCACCTTGTTTTTCTGGGGAAAACAGGAAGTGGGAGCTGAGAAGCCAAGCCTAAGCTAAGCTAAGTCTAAGCCAAGTCCAGCCAAGCCAAAGGTAAGCCTAAGCTGAGGCTAGGCTAAGTCTAAGCTAGGCCTAAGCTAAGGCAAACCTAGGCTAGTCTAGGCTAAGCCAAGCCAAGCCAACCGCAAAAATTTACACATTGCAATAATTTGTAAAAATGTAGAAAAATTTCGAAACAGTTAATTTGACATTTTTTTAATTTTAATTTGATTTCAGCACCTGGTTTTAAAGAAAATTAAACTTTTCGAATGTAACAAAAAGCAGGCGTCATTTTTGCCTATCTACACCTTTATTCTGCAATTTTTTTTGGGCTGGCGCTTGCACTTTTCCACCCTCCCGGCTGGCCGGCCGATGGCTAGCCAAAAGCAAGCACGGGAAGAGAGAGAGAGAGAGAGAGAGAGAGAGAGAGAGAGAGACGGACAGACATAGCCTTTTTTCGAGGAACCCCCCAGCGAGACAGGGAGGTCAGGGGGTGAATAGGAGGGCGAGAGAGCGGGGTTTGAAGAGAGAGTGAGAGAGAGCGAGCGAGAGAGAGCGTTCTCTCCTAGGGGGGCCAGTGGGGGGCTGAGGCCGTAGCATCGGTGCCGGCTTGGTACAAGGAGGCACGAACGCGCGCCTCCACGCAACGCTCAACCCCTCTACCCCCACCATCCCCTGCTTCCCGACAGCCTCCCCCCATAGAGGTACCTTAACCCCCCCTTGGCAAACCCTTGATTTTTATGCCATTGCCGGTTTCTTAAGGTTTTCTTAGGGTTTTTTATCTTTCGTTTTTACTCTCGAAATTTTTCTAATTTTCTTACTGTAACTTTTTTCCACTTGCCAATCCCTTTAATGCCTCGCGGAATGGCAAATGAAGCATTCATTTTTACTCTTAAAACTGAAAAATTGTCAAAAACGCGATTTTTGTGCATTTGTGTGCATTTTGCTGGATGCTCACGGAATTTCAGTAATTTTCGTAATATAACGTTTTATTGCACATTCCATTAGAATTTATGCCTCTCAGCTTTCCTACGGACACCCTCTTACCTTGATTTTTCCGCTTCAATCCAACCGTCCGGAGGTGTTAGGTGTAGTCTCTCGGAAAAATCCCATTTTTTGGGATTTTTTGTTGATACAGTAGCTTTTATCTGTTTTTCGCGCTGAATATGGCCAGTTTTATTGGCGGATCTTCCACATTTTGTAACGTTTTGTGTTTTATCGCGGATTTTTTGGCTCTAAAAGCAGTTTTTACCTTTTCAAATGCAAGAAATATTGTGCAATCTCTCTCTCTCTCTATCGATCTTTCGTTTCACTCTCTCCCTCTCTTTTGCTCTCTCTCTCACTCTCTCTCGCTCTCTCTCTCGCTCTCCCTATATCATCCTCACTTTTTGCACCTCCCGAAAAACCCCCAGGTCCTAATAAATTACAACTGTATTGGCTAGCGGGGTGTAGATCGACATCTGGCCCGCAATCTGGCGCTACAATAAGGAGCAAGAGAGTCGGAGAGAGCGAGGGAGCGAGAGAAAGAGAGACAGAGAGATAGTGAGAGAGAGAAAGAGAGAGAGAGAGAGAGAGAGAGAGAGAGAGAGAGAGAGAGAGAGAGAGAGAGAGAGAGAGAGAGAGAGAGAGAGAGAGAGAGAGAGAGAGAGAGAGAGAGAGGATCGAGATACTCGGATCCAGGCGGCCTTGAATTTTCTAGGCCACTAGGACGTTTTTTCAGCCCCGTTCCCCCTCCTAGCTCGCCACTAGGTTTATTGATCCTACGATTTTCAGCTACTGGGCTGAGCTAAGACGAAGCCTAAGCTAAGCCTAAGATAAGCCTAGGCTTTGCGAGCTTCAAATTCTTATTTTTAAATTGTTGTCATCGTTTTTATTAAATTATTTTAGTTATTTCAGGACCAAAATATCGCCAATTTTGACACAAATCGAGCAAAACCACAAAAATGCTGCCGGGCGCCATTTTACTGGCCCTCCTCCTCCAAATAACTGGATCGTCAGACCCGTGCGCGTCGATTGATTCTTCTTTCCGGTTGACGGCCGACCCGAATGATAGTCATACGGTAGGAATATCGTCATTTTTAGACGATTAGGAAAACTCAAAAAAATTAAATTTTTTTGTAACTTTCAAATTTTTAACCTTTAAAAATTAATATTAAAAATGTATACAAACGTGCTTATTCGATTCTTTTTAGTCGCCCTGCAAATGTCTGATCGACCCAGTGCCCGCAGACCCAAATGACCGTCTATGGATTGGATGCACTGGCCGATCCCTTTCTACCGTATTCAGCGCGCTGGGGTACGGTAGTTTTGTAGATTTAATAATTTTACAATTACCTATAAAAAAATTAATAATTCCCTCAAATTTCCAATTTTTAGAGCTCTAAATGAAACTCGCGTCAACCGCGTCCACATTTGGGACAGCCAGCTGAATATTTTGCCGACAGAAATGTTTGAAAAGGTGTGAAAATATAGGTTATTTAGCGTACTGTAGCGTGCTGCGTTTTACAAACTTTTTACCGTAATAGACAATGCAAAATAGAGTTTTACAAAAAATTGAAATTTTTAAATTCAGGTTTAATTCAATTTTTTTAGGTCCGCCCGAAAATTCTGATCATCGAAAACTCAATGACAAGCGTCATCCGTCAGAATACATTCTCTCAAATCGGAAACCGCCTTATCGAATTGCGGCTGAGAAATAACGCGCTGAAGAAGAACATCGGGCCCGCCCTGTTCAAGGGATTGGAACGGCTTCAGGCCCTTGATCTTAGCGGTTAGTTCAATTTAAAAAATTAAATTTAAAAATTAAAAACAAAAATGCTGAAAATTTAATTGGCTTTAAAAGACAAAAATTAAAATTATAAACTATTTTTTTATTAATTTCTTTCAGGAAACAAATTGATGTCGATCAAAGCGGGAGATTTTGAAGCGCTCGGAGATCTGCGAGAACTCCATTTGAATGACAATATCATCAAGGAAATTGAAGATGGCTCTTTTTCGGCGCTCAGCTCGTTGAGGACACTTTCCCTACAAGGAAATCAGCTATCAACCATCACCAGGTAAAAAATTAAAATCATTTAAAAAATCTATTAAAATTGATAATTTCCAAAACTTCTAAACTGTAAAATCGCAAATTTTTCAAAACGTATTTTTTTTGATGATTTTAGAATTTTTCTTTCAATTATGCTAATCTATAGATATAAGTTCATTCCAAAACTTCTTAAAAACAATTTACTGAATCCAAACTTGACATTTTTACAATTTTAAAAATCATTTTTCAAATTTATATTTTATTAACCAATGAATTTAATTTTGTAGGGATACCTTCAAAGGCCTCGACAACCTCGAATATCTCTACCTAAATCACAACCAAATCGCCAACATTGACTGGGCCGCGTTTCACCATTTGAAGAATTTGAAGGTAAGAACGCTAATTTAATTCTATATATTTTTTATTAATTTTTAGCATCTCTATTTGGGGCGCAATCACATCACGACAGTCGATATTCGAGGCTTGGAATCGTTGGAGAAGCTGATTCTCAACAATAATTCGATTCAGAGCCTCAAGAAGGTGTCGCTCAAGTAAGTTCGGCATCGATTAGGTCATGAAATTTGAAAGAAAATGCGGTACGATAAAATATACGTAAAAAGATACATTACGCTATCATAATCAAACAAAAAAAATCGATTACGACATGTAAATAACCTAAGAGCAAACTATCACCCACTAAAAATACAAAACAATATTACGGCATGTAAATTTACAAAAATCAATCTATTACCACGCTAAATGCTGAAATTTGTTACGTTACGACATGTAAAAATTGCGATTTATAACCTCCATTCGATTACGCCATTTAATTCCCATAATTTCAGAGACCTGCCCTCCCTGGCCGTCCTCAGCCTCGACCGAAATTCGATCGCCGAAATTGATGATGTTGATCTATTCGGTCTTGCTCCCTCGACCCGTCTGGAATCTCTATCACTCGCCTCGAATAATGTCTCCAGAATTACTGCGCGTGCCTTCCAGCATATTCCCTCGTTGAAGACGTTGGCGCTCCAGAATAATCAGCTACTAAGTGAGTTGATTTTAAAAAATTATCGCGGTTTTAAAGGGGTTGAGAAGGGATTATTGACTATTGAATTTTGGTAGTCAAACCTTACGCGCCCCTTTAAAATTAGTATAGTTATTTAATAAGAATTATACCATTTTTTAGGCCTCTCCACCGGAACCACGCCAGTCCTCAAACCACTCCGCCGTCTCTCAGTCCTTCTCCTATCCGGAAATATGCTGACCGCCCTCCGAGAAGCCGAATTACCCGCTGGACTTACCGTACTCTCCGTCGCCCGTAATCAGATCAGCCATGTAAGTGGGATTGGCCGGGGGATTACTGTTAGAACTTGATGAGTGCAGGCTCAATATGTAGCTGTGTCTCTATTTGTCTCTCTCTCTCTCTCTCTCTCTCTCTCTCTCTCTCTCTCTCTCTCTCTCTCTCTCTCTCTCTCTCTCTGGCTCTCTCTCTCCTTTTCCAGGTCAATGTCCATGATTTTATGCTCAATACTTGCTCCCTCTCTCACTCTCTCGCCCTCCCTCGCTCTCTCTCTCACTCCCTCTCTCCCTCTCTCTCTCACTATCACTCTCTCTCGCTCTCGCTCGCTCTCACTCTCTCGCACTCTCCCTCGCTCTGTATCTCTCTCTCCCTCTCTCTCGCTCGCTCACTCGCTCTCTCTAGCTCTCTCTCTGTCTCTCTCTCTCTCTCTCTCTCTCTCTCTCTCTCTTTCGCTCTCTCTCTGACTCTCACTCTCTCGCTCTCACTCTCACTCACTCTTGCTCACTCACTCTCTCACTCTCTCTCACGCTCTATCCCGCTCTCACTCTCTCTCTTTCCAGGTCGATGTCCATGCCTTCAACGAAATGCGACTCCAACGACTTTTCCTAAATGACAACCGTATCACCTTCCTTCCGAAAGGCACTTTCGATTCTTTGGATATGGATGTGCTGCAGGCTGTTGACCTTACAGGTTTTTAATTTATGGTTATTATTAATCAGAATTAAGGCAACATTTTAAAATTTTCTAAAAAATTAAAAATTAAATTTTAATTCTTAATGCTTAAACTTAATTATAATACTTATTTAGAAAATCAATGGCAATGCGTATGTGGTGAGGAATGGCTGGGAGGATGGTTAGATAAGGCGGGAGAACGAGATATTGGAGAAGGAGCTCTTGGATGTCTCGCTGCATCTTGTGGCGATAATAAGGTATTTAAAATTGCACTATTTTACGTTCAATATGCGCATTTAATACAGAATTATACTATATAAAATCAACCCATTTTTAGAAGGATATCGATCGCGCGGCCTGGGTCACAATTTCCGCCTCGATCCTCGCCATTCTCTCAATTTTGATCCTGATCGCCATCGCATTTTTGTACATCGAAAATGGGCAGCATAAGGTGCGAATTTTATTTTATTATTTGAAAACTGTAATCTGTAATTAAATTAAATTTACAAAAATTAATTTAATTACATCTTTTAATATTTAAAAACCTGATTTCTAGGGCATTGTCTCGCGGCCGTTCCGACGTGTCGATTCGGATATGTTGAAGCTGATCAACGAGAACGAGGTGGGATTTTCAAAAAAAATAATTCATAAAAATTACAAATCCTAAGTTCTAAAATGTATTTTTTAATTTGATAAAGTTAAAACTGTATTTAATTTTAAATAAGAAGTTAAAACTTTTACGGAAAAAAATTTGGTGGCTTCCAATTTTATTTTATGAAATTTCAGCAATTTTGCAGATTTTTCGCTTTAAAAAATTTTCGAAATTTGATTTTCAAGCTTTAGAAAATTTTTCCTATTTAATACAATTTTTGCTTAATTTAAAGTTTGCAACCCAAATTTTGCAGGCAAAAAGCGACGCAGACCGAGGGGTCGAGCAGCCAAAATTGGCGAAGAGCGGCGACAGCACCAAGAAGAGCGTCCGCTTCACGTAAATTGGAGCCCCGCGGAATTCCGACGATCTCTGCCCCCCTGTTTTGTACATAAAATACCCTTCAATTCTCCCCACGCCAATTACGGTTATTTGATGCGCAATGCCCGCCCAAAAAAGTGATAAATCAAGGCAGCTTTTCAAGTTTTTCAAATTTTCTAAGCTATTTTTAAGCTTTTTCTAAGCCTTAAAAGGTAATTTTGTTTAAAACGGCCACTTTTAAACTTTTAAAACCATCAAAAATGTCAAAAAATCAGTGCAATCTGCGCCATTTGTTGTATTTTGTACTCTCCGTCTCCGAAACTTTCGTACGCCCGGTCTCTTCCCCCCGATACTTCTTTCCTTATTGTCATTTTTTGATTTTTTGTTTTTTTCTTGTTTTTATTCCCCCCTATTCTAGTATTTTGAAAGCGAAATCAGGTTGTAATAATACGTTTTAATTTAATTTTATTTCCACCTTCTCTGGTCCCTCCCCCATGATTTTTAGTTGTCTCGCTGGTCTCGTCTTCATTTGTTTTCACCCCCCCCAGAACTGAAAAACTTGTCAAAAATGAAATGTGCAGGTCTCAAGGAAATAAATCTGGAACTGTATACGGGCAATAATTGCAAAAAGCAAAAAGTTGAGCGCGTGCGGGCGTCGAACCCTTGGCCTCAGGTACGACAGACAAGCGGGCTAACCACTAAACCACCCGCACAATGTCGTCGCAAAAGTGTCCACTTTCCGCGTGGTTCCGGTTTAGGTAAAAAGGACGCTCTTCTTGAATAAAATATTAATTTTTCAAATGAAAAAAAATTTTCGGGCACCCGGGGTCGTTCTGTCATCCAATTTTGCATGGCGGCGGCCTTCTTCCGACTCAGGCAACGGGTGCCCGGAGTCGAACTTCCAGCCATTTGCATGACAGCCTCCTTCTTTGCCGACTGAACCACCAGGTGCCCTAGTGCCTCTGAAGTGTACTCCCCCTATCTACTCACAGCACCGCCTGGCAAGACACAGAGGGAAGCGAGAGAGAGAAAATGAAATAAAGCAAGTTTTGAAAGGTAAAAGGCAAGGAAAAAGGCAAAAGTTTTGTGCGAAAGTGAGAGCCGGAAAAAAGTGAGAGCCCATTTCTGAGCCCCCTTTCTTTTTTTTCTTTTACCTTAAACCTCCATCCCTTCTTTTTGTGTTTTTCTTTTTTTCCGCGGCCTGTTTTTGGTTTTATAGGGGGGGGGGGGGGGGGGTTTTTTTTTGACTCCACCCCCCCCTTTGTTTCCCCGCCCCCCTCCCCCCCCCCTCTGTTGGCGTTTTCGTAGCTTGTTGTATTTCCACTGCAATACACCCTACAGTTGCCCGTCATTAGGTGCGAACGGAGCGCGATTTTCGAGTCACCGGGTTTTCCTGTTTTTGGCGAACTAATAATAAATAGTAATAAAACTAATAAATAAACAAGAAGTGAAAAATTGCAGAGATGTTCGTCAGTCCCTAAGCTAAATAGATTTTAATATAAATAAGGCGTAAAATCCCGTTCATGGGTAATTAATAAGAGTTAACAAAGATCTCGATGGAAGGATGTCCCGATGGAACGCTAGGGTGATATGTCACTTTTTCTCTTGATTTTCTGCTTTATTTTCCGCCTTTCGACGCTCTAAATTTTCGCCAATTCCTACTCTTCTGTTTCTGCAACGTTTCCGTAGGTTTCCGTGTTATCAAAACGCACAAAAACGGCATTAGACGTTGAAATGTATCTTTTACCGTTCCCTTCATTTTTCTGTCTTCTTTTCCATTAGCTCAGCCTTTCGTTGCAACCTTTATAATCCCTTTTCAGGTTCCGCTCTTTTCGCAGAACCCCTTCCGCCCTCAATGTAGTCAACGGGCAATGGAAAACTACTCCTTACACGTTCAAGGTATTTCCCACCCTCTTTTGACTTATTCTTTCTAGCCCCGCGACAAAGCTCCTCGATGGAAGGATGTCTCGATGGAACGCGAGGGTGACAACTATGATGTAGTGGTAGTTGGAGGAGGTAATGGCTTGAAATCATCACAAAATACTTTTTCTAGGGCCATCTGGACTGTCGGCTGCTATTCGTTTGCGGCAGTTGGCTGAAAAGGAAGGCAAAGGTTCCTTACCACAGTTGATTGTAAAGTTTGCATTTAGATGTGCGTGTCTGTGTCGTCGAGAAGGCTGCCTAACTGGGTGCGCACACGCTTTCGGGAAATGTCATTGAGACGAGAGCCCTCGATGAATTGCTCCCGAATTGGAAAGAAATGGATTCGCCTATCAAGCAGAAAGTCACGGTAATTCTGTTGAGGCGAAGCTTTCAATTTTCATTTTTAGTCCGAATCTATCGCAATCCTCACCGAAACGGGCCGCATCCCAGTCCCTGTCTTCCCGGGCGTTCCGCTATACAATGTTGGTATGTTTCTGAAAGTTATTCAAAATCTTATCTTGGTCAGGAAATTATGTCGTGCGTCTTGGCCATGTTGTGAAATGGTTGGGACAAGTGGCTGAAGACGCTGGCGTCGAAATTTACCCCGGATATTCCGCTTCAGAGGTAAACTAGTTCAAAGAAATTTTCATTATTCTTTAGGTTCTCTACAATGAAGATGGTAGTGTCCGAGGTATCGCCACAAATGATGTCGGCATCGCTAAAGATGGCTCACCAAAGATGAGAAAGTTTCTTTTTCTTGACAAACATGTTTAGGAGGGCTTTCGACGCGAAATGCAACATTTTCGCCGAGTTCTGTCGCCGCCATTTGAGCCGAGCGAGCGATTAACGAAGGCGGCTATCAAAGTGTCCCTTAAGCTTTCATTCCCAGGTATATCTCTCTATGATAAATCTCTGAAAAGCAATTGTTTAGGTGGCTGCCTTGTCGGCTGCACGGCCAGTTTGCTGAATGTTGCCAAGCTGAAGGGTACTCACGTTGCAATGAAGAGTGGTTTTGTTGTTGCGTTTCAATCTCATTACAATTAAATGCAGGTTTCCGCTTCGAGGCCAGCCCCAGCAGCGCGATGGGAACCCGCGTGAAGATGCCGGCCAATCAGCTGTAAAAACGGGCCGGTTTTTATTTTATTTTCTCGCTCGGCTTTTTTTAGGGATGAAGTTGCGGCTGGCTCCTCGTCAACTACATATCAATGAAGACTGTTCAATGTGGATTGCGGTTCGTCATCGACTTTTCAACTTCTCCGCAAATATTTTCAGATATTCCTCTCCTAAAGGGCATTCGACAAGCGCAAGAAGACGATTAGGGCTCTACCCAATGATGAAGTAATGCAGAAGCCGAGAAAGTAGTTTTTTGTGAAAATAGTTTTTTTTTAGGGCAGCGCATCGCCATTCAGCCGGAAATGCAGAAAGCGGCTCATTAGTACAGCGTTCATTTTGGATTGCGGTTAGTGATCGAACCGTGCTACTTCTCCGAAAACATTTTTAGATAGCCCGCCTCTCAATGGACAAGCTACAAGAAAAGGAAGACGCTGAAAAGCCGACCAGTTGTTGCTGCTGAGAGTATCTACAAGGAGATTGTGGCAAATCCTGAGGCTGAAAGTGAGAAATGTCTTTTTTGGGTGTAAAACGAGGTTTTATAGGTATTGAGCCGAAGACGTATCCGAAAGAGCTCGACAATACCTATGTGATGAAAGGGTTGAAAGCAACAAGGAATGTCCGACCATCATTAAATACCTCTTTTGGTAATCGCTTTTCTAATTTTGGTTTTCTAGGTTTTTGGGAAGGACTTGTCTACAGTGGCCTCTTCTACGCCATTCGTGTGGCATGGAGCACTCGACTCTCCATCATGGCAAGCCCGATAATGAAAAGTTTATCACGAAGGAGCAGGCAAAGGTACGATCCATCCTGCTGTTGATAAAATTCGGTTTAGCCGATCGCATACGATACGAAGGCCGATAACAAGCTGACGTTCGATCTGCTGAATTCGGTCTCATTGACTGGAATGAATCATGAAGAAAAGCAGCCTAGTCATTTGACTTTGAAGGTGCGTAGTCGTTTCGTTATCTTTATTTTTGATTATTTTCAGGATGACAGCGTGCCTGGCGATGTCAATTTGAAGAAATACGACGGGCCGGAAGCTCGCTTCTGTCCTGCTGGTAGGCACCGTCTCCTATTTTCATTTGTTTACCTATTTTCTTAGGTGTCTACGAATTCGGTCCATCCGAAGGTAATGCCGATCAGATGCGGCTCCAAATCAATGCTCAAAACTGCATTCACTGCAAGACGTGTGACATTAAGGTATTTTCCGCTGATCCAGTTTCACACTCTTATTTAGGATCCGACACAGAACATCAACTGGGTGACGCCGCAGGGAGGCGAGGGCCCCAAATACGATGGAATGTAATGTGCAGATTGTGCAGTGCAGGTTCCTAGCATGGTAGAATATTTCTTGACTCGTTTCCTTGTTTGTGAATTGTGTAAAAAAAATTTCCGGGGTTTACAAAGGGGTTACATGTATATTTCTTTGATGTTCGGCTCGGAATAAAGATTTATTCATTTGACATCAGCACGCATGTTGTGGATCGCATGTTACCGCATTCGCCCGGTTGAGCTTGATCTTGATCGACAAGCTTGAGCCAGGCACAGCTTGTTTGGCCTGAAATCCTGCGGGAAGCTTGGTTTTGAAGAAATTTTGACTAGTATTTGTTTATCCTATAAATTCTATGACTTTTTCGCTTTGGGATTCTACTCTAACCACGTCTTATGAGGCTAGCCACATATTTTGGACTCTATACTTTTTTAGGCATTTTAGATCGGCAAACAATACTAATCTTATCTGAGTAATACTAATTACTCATGCTGAATTTAATTTAGCGCTACAAATTTCAAAGTTCAAACTAGACCGTCGCGTGCGGCCGAGGTCGTTGTGGAAGAAGCGGTAGATGGAGAGAGGCGACGCGTCTTTGGGACCGACTTGCAGCAGCTGCTCCCACCCAGGGCTCGCCATCAGCTTTCCGGTAGGATCCGAGCGACGCTGGCAAAGAAGAAGCCTGTAGGTACCTACTGATTACTTCTTACTAATTATTTAATTGGAAAACTTTCCTATCAGACAGTTGCGGGAACCCGTGGTGCTTCCCGGGAGCTGTCGTCGTCGAGAAGGCCAACAATGCGTCTTCATGTAGCCGTAAAAGAAGCGCACTGGGGTCTACCAGAGGAGATCAAGTCCCTTTAGACCTGGGCCGACAGGGCATGACTTCCTGTGACCCGACGTTAGCAGAATGAGGTGAGAAAATGTGGAATCGCGGGTCTACAGGGGAGGCCAAGTCCCGGTAGACCGCGGCTGTCGAAAAACCTGTCGTGGTTGAGGGCAGACAGGGACATCACTTCCTGAGCTACCCGACAGTAGACGATCTGCCATGTAGAAGGTTCTACGAAGGGGGATCAAGTCCCTGTAGAGACCCGGCAGTGGAGAACGACAAAATGTGGTTGAGGGCGCACCGGGAAATTACTTCCGGTGGCCCGACAGCGTGAGAACGAGATTAAGAAAGGTCGAATATTGGGCTGACAGGGCAGGCAGAGCTCCTGTAGACCCCGGAAGTGGATTTTTGACTCGTCAAAATCCGGCTATGTGTTAAGTAGCGCTCGGGAGCACGATATTTCCAAATAGTGAGCCTGATTTACGAGGCTCCTACATATTTTAGGTGCCTAAATTTTGCTTATAAGCATGTATTTTTCGCTTAGTTTAGACTTGTTTTGCTCCGATGATTAAAAAGCTATCGCCATAAACCCAGGCATACGCGCTGGGTACATCCATTGAAACTAATATTTTAGATTAAATTTCATTTTAGCGATACCAGCGTGAAAAGAATCAAACTAGACCGTCGCGAGCGGCCGAAGTCGTTGTAGAAGATGTATGCAGTAGATGCAGAGGAGGCGGCGCGTCTTCCTCCAGGTCGAGCCGCACGATCGGGTGGCAGCAGCGGCTCCCGTCCCGGCGGGCCAGCCGGCTCGACGTCAGCGTTCAGATCGGAGGAGCAACGCTAGAAAAAGAATAAGATTTTCGGTACGTAATTTACTTTTTACAAACTATTACAGTTGAAAACTTTCCTAACAAGACTCAGCCGGCGGCTACGATGGAAGGCTGCGGGAATACGTGGCGCCTCTCGGTGGGCAGATCGTCGTCGAGTAGTGGCCAACAACGCGTCTTCGTGGAGCCGGCCGAAACCCGAAGGGGTCTACCAGGGGAGATCAAGTCCCTGTAGACCTGGGCCAACAGGGACATCACTTCCTGTGACCCGACCGTAGCGGTGCGAAAAAAAAAACGGGCGTGGAGAGGACATCAAATCGGTGTAGAAGCTGTGGAAAGCCTGTCGTGGATGGACTCTTTCCGGTGCGACCCGAAGGTAGAAGAGCTGCCATGTAGAGAGATCTACAAGGGTGACAAAGTCCCTGTAGATCCCGGCAGTGAAAACAAACTGTCGTGGATGAGGGCACACGGGGACATGACTTCCGGTGGCCCGACAGTATCAGGATCAGGTAAGGAGATGCCGAAACGGCAGCAGCTTTTTTTTTTGACTGGTTTTACCCCTTTAATTTTATAACTACATTTTAAATAAGGCGATGTACTCCGACTGGCAGATACCGCCGGCCGCGTCTTCCGGCCGCGTACCCGGGCGAGCGGGTAATGGACCGAGCCGGCCCGAGCGGGTACCCGGTCGACCGGGTAGTTGGGCCGAGCGGGTCCGCAACCGGGTACCCGGACCCGGACGCCAGATCACAACTCTACATGGGCACTGTTAGCTCCATATTAAATTAATTAATAGCTGATCTATATTTCTTTTTGTTCTTTTTTGATCATTAATATCCCCGAATATCTTTTGTGTAATTCGATTTTAGCCATACTATCTTTAAAAGGTTCAAACTGGACCGTCGCGTACTGCCGTGGTCGTTGTAGAAGAGGCGGGCGAAGCAGAAGTCGTCGCACTTCCTCCTCCATGTCCGATCGACAGCAGCGACTCCATCCTGGGTTCGTCATCAGCATCCATTTTGTCGCACATCTTGATGAATGTGCGCACCGCCGATTCTAAAAAAGAAATATTTAATTTGCATAAAGTTTTTAAAATGTAACCATATTTGCATAAGTATTTACCCTTTGATCCATCGATGGGATCGGGCAGGCAGGCAGGAGGGGCCGCCGGATGATGGGCCGTCGGGCGAGGCGACTGATTAGCTAGGGGGACATTTGAGGAAATCGGCCCAACCGGAACTTCCGGTCAATGCTAATTTATTCCATTTTTTTTTCATCTCCACCTCGGGTTTTAGTTTAATAGTTTTAAAAGTAGGTCCTCCAGGGTTCCCTAATTTTTCTTTGTTAGAGATGCACAAAAGGATTAAAAGTGCTCTTTCTGTCCTTTGCCCTTTTTCCTCTTGGCTGGTTCTGTTTTTTTTCATTGCCTTTTCTGCTTGTTCCCAATACATCTTAGATTATAGAGGTTTTGCTTGACACCGCAAAATTTGCTTTTTCTGCTTTATTTTCCGCCTTTCGACGCTCTAAATTCTCGCCAATTCCTACTCTTCTGTTTCTGCAACGTTTCCGTAGGTTTCCGTGTTATCAAAACGCACAAAAACGGCATTAGACGTTGAAATGTATCTTTTACCGTTCCCTTCATTTTTCTGTCTTCTTTTCCATTAGCTCCGCCTTTCGTTGCAACCTTTATAATCCCTTTTCAGGTTCCGCTCTTTTCGCAGAACCCCTTCCGCCCTCAATGTAGTCAACGGGCAATGGAAAACTACTCCTTACACGTTCAAGGTATTTCCCACCCTCTTTTGACTTATTCTTTCTAGCCCCGCGACAAAGCTCCTCGATGGAAGGATGTCTCGATGGAACGCGAGGGTGACAACTATGATGTAGTGGTAGTTGGAGGAGGTAATGGCTTGAAATCATCACAAAATACTTTTTCTAGGGCCATCTGGACTGTCGGCTGCTATTCGTTTGCGGCAGTTGGCTGAAAAGGAAGGCAAAGGTTCCTTACCACAGTTGATTGTAAAGTTTGCATTTAGATGTGCGTGTCTGTGTCGTCGAGAAGGCTGCCTAACTGGGTGCGCACACGCTTTCGGGAAATGTCATTGAGACGAGAGCCCTCGATGAATTGCTCCCGAATTGGAAAGAAATGGATTCGCCTATCAAGCAGAAAGTCACGGTAATTCTGTTGAGGCGAAGCTTTCAATTTTCATTTTTAGTCCGAATCTATCGCAATCCTCACCGAAACGGGCCGCATCCCAGTCCCTGTCTTCCCGGGCGTTCCGCTATACAATGTTGGTATGTTTCTGAAAGTTATTCAAAATCTTATCTTGGTCAGGAAATTATGTCGTGCGTCTTGGCCATGTTGTGAAATGGTTGGGACAAGTGGCTGAAGACGCTGGCGTCGAAATTTACCCCGGATATTCCGCTTCAGAGGTAAACTAGTTCAAAGAAATTTTCATTATTCTTTAGGTTCTCTACAATGAAGATGGTAGTGTCCGAGGTATCGCCACAAATGATGTCGGCATCGCTAAAGATGGCTCACCAAAGATGAGAAAGTTTCTTTTTCTTGACAAACATGTTTAGGAGGGCTTTCGACGCGAAATGCAACATTTTCGCCGAGTTCTGTCGCCGCCATTTGAGCCGAGCGAGCGATTAACGAAGGCGGCTATCAAAGTGTCCCTTAAGCTTTCATTCCCAGGTATATCTCTCTATGATAAATCTCTGAAAAGCAATTGTTTAGGTGGCTGCCTTGTCGGCTGCACGGCCAGTTTGCTGAATGTTGCCAAGCTGAAGGGTACTCACGTTGCAATGAAGAGTGGTTTTGTTGTTGCGTTTCAATCTCATTACAATTAAATGCAGGTTTCCGCTTCGAGGCCAGCCCCAGCAGCGCGATGGGAACCCGCGTGAAGATGCCGGCCAATCAGCTGTAAAAACGGGCCGGTTTTTATTTTATTTTCTCGCTCGGCTTTTTTTAGGGATGAAGTTGCGGCTGGCTCCTCGTCAACTACATATCAATGAAGACTGTTCAATGTGGATTGCGGTTCGTCATCGACTTTTCAACTTCTCCGCAAATATTTTCAGATATTCCTCTCCTAAAGGGCATTCGACAAGCGCAAGAAGACGATTAGGGCTCTACCCAATGATGAAGTAATGCAGAAGCCGAGAAAGTAGTTTTTTGTGAAAATAGTTTTTTTTAGGGCAGCGCATCGCCATTCAGCCGGAAATGCAGAAAGCGGCTCATTAGTACAGCGTTCATTTTGGATTGCGGTTAGTGATCGAACCGTGCTACTTCTCCGAAAACATTTTTAGATAGCCCGCCTCTCAATGGACAAGCTACAAGAAAAGGAAGACGCTGAAAAGCCGACCAGTTGTTGCTGCTGAGAGTATCTACAAGGAGATTGTGGCAAATCCTGAGGCTGAAAGTGAGAAATGTCTTTTTGGGTGTAAAACGAGGTTTTATAGGTATTGAGCCGATGTCGTCTCCAAAAGAGCTCGACAATACCTATGTGATGAAAGGGTTGAAAGCAACAAGGAATGTCCGACCATCATTAAATACCTCTTTTGGTAATCGCTTTTCTAATTTTGGTTTTCTAGGTTTTTGGGAAGGACTTGTCTACAGTGGCCTCTTCTACGCCATTCGTGTGGCATGGAGCAATCGACTCTCCATCATGGCAAGCCCGATAATGAAAAGTTTATCACGAAGGAGCAGGCAAAGGTACGATCCATCCTGCTGTTGATAAAATTCGGTTTAGCCGATCGCATACGATACGAAGGCCGATAACAAGCTGACGTTCGATTTGCTGAATTCGGTCTCATTGACTGGAACGAATCATGAAGAAAATCAGCCTAGTCATTTGACTTTGAAGGTTCGTATTCCTTTAGTTATCTCTATTTTTGGTTATTTTCAGGATGACAGCGTGCCGGTCGATGTCAATTTGAAGAAATACGACGGGCCGGAAGCTCGATTCTGTTCTGCTGGTAGGAGGCATTCGTCTATTGACATTTATTTATCTATTTTCTCAGGTGTCTACAAGTTCATGCCAACCGAGGGGAGACAACTACCAGCGGCGACTACAAATCAATATTCAAGACGGCATTCACTGCAAGACGTGCCAGATCGAGGTAATTTCAGTTTCATGCCGTTTTTAGGACCGACGCAGAACATCAACTGGGACACCACAGGGAGGCGAGGATCTCCGTCGACACGTTTATTGAAGGCCACCACAATAAAATAAGATGCTTGGATAGGTATCGTTTCCCAAAACCGCTGTGCCGAATAAATAGCATATAAAAGCGACATTTCTATCAGAAGGTCGTAATTCACAAGATCTCAGAAATGGAAATATCTACAGCGAAAATTCCACCAGTCAAGATTCGGACAGCCAAAATACCCACAGGCAACAACGCAGTGCAAAGCGCCGAATTCAAAATTGTAAAAATGGGTCGGGGTTTTGGCTTATCGGAATTCTGGTCGGGGTTTTGGTTTTTTGGAATTTTGGCTTTTCGGGATTTTGCCTGGCCGGTTTTCGGCTTGTCGGGATTTAAGATTGCGATAAACCGGCCCGTAATCCCTTAATTTGCCATGTCGAGATGTCAAAGTCTCACCGCGGTCAAATTTCAAAGGCCGTAATCTCGACATCACGCAATTTCGGCACTGTCAATTTTGAAATTCCGAAAATAAGCCATCAAAACCAAAGAAAACAATTCATGCATGCGGAATATTTTGCAGTATATTGGAGCTGTGGCCACGTTTATTTAAGAAGTCACAAAAAACAGCACACCAAAAACACCAAGAATGATTAACGCGGAAAATTCGTTCGATTGGCTCGGTTCGTTCAGTCGTTCTCCTCGAACTCGTCCTCATCTTCCGGGGGTGGCCTCTTGGTATTGGGCGTACTCCGAGACGAGGTCGTTGATGTTCGACTCGGCTTCCGTGAACTCCATCTCGCCCATTTTGCGACGCGAAACAGCTGAAAATAGAGGTTGAAAACGAGAGAGAAAGAGAGAGAAAGAGAGAGAGAGAGAGATACCTACCAGGGAACTGGATGGCCTTTGAGTTGTTGTCGATGAGGTCGTGCTTGATGTCCTTGGCGCGCGGCGTGTACATTGGGTCGACGTCGCGCATGCTCATCTTTCCGCGGAACAGCGTCGCCCACAACAAGAAGATGAACATCTGAAACGATCGAAATTTCACTGGGCGAAAGAGTGAATTTTCCACTCTTAATTTAGAAATTGTTCTTTTCTTTTCCTAGCGTATTTTGTAGCACAAAAAAATCGGCGGGGTCGAGCCGTTTGATTGGATCCACGATATCAATAGCATCACTGAGCAGCAGTAGGTGTCCAGCAGCTTGTTGAAGTCGTCGCCGCCGCCCAAATCCATGAGCTGCAACTCTTCAGCCGCAACATTGCGCAGCAGTCGGTGTCCGGCAGCACCATTCAGCCGAACTTGTTGCAGTCGTCGTCGGCGCCGCAGATGTGGACCATCGATCTCGTGGAACCGTCGATCCGGCTCGACCCAGCCGGGCGAGTCGTACATTTATAGCTTGGCTATCAAAAACCCCAAAAGGATACCTTTTGAATTTATTATATTTTTAATTTAGTGACTTTTTTCGTTTTTAAATCCCATATGTTTTACTAATATTAATTTTTATAATTTCCCCCTCGAAAGCCCATTTCTTAATTTTCTGGGGCTTGGAATAGATCCCGGGGGTTGAAGCCGTTCGGCCGGTTCCACGACATCAATGGTCCAACGTCCTTCAGCCGCAACCCTTGAGCATCATCACTGAGCAACATCGCTGAGCAGCAGCAGTTGCCCAGCACTTAGTTGAAGTCGTCTCCGCCGCCCACGTCCCGGTGCTGCAACTGTTGAGCCACATCACTGAGCAGCAGTCGGCGTCCAGCAGTGCCCATCAGCCGAACTTGTTGAAGTCGTCGCCGATGGTGGACCATTGTTGTCGTGGAACAGATCGAACGACCTAGTTGGTTTCACCCCCCCAGGCCCCTAACTGAAAATATATCAATTTGTATAAATTAAATTAGCATACTTAGGAAAAATGAAAGGAAGCAAATTGTTACCATGAGGACTGGCCGCCGGGCCGGAAAAGTGTAGTAATGACGGGACGCGCTCGGCGTTTCGCCCCACCAGGTCACCGGAAATCCAAAGTTATGCAATTCGTGGGCCACTTCCGGAATTCATATGGATTTCCACGCGAAATCCATTCTAATTTTATCACGATATTCTTACAATCTGTAAACTATTCTAAAGTAACGCTTTTTGTTAAATCCTAATAAAACCGCCCTAATGATCGAAATCTATAAAAAAATATTGTAATATAAACTGTTTACGTTTAAAGCGCACGGGTGGCAGAATTTTCTATATCATCCACAGGGACAACGCAGCTTCTTTCCTTGCGCGTTGCTACCACCGTCCGTTCATAGCGTCAAACGTATCATCACGTATTTCATTCTAAGATAAGTTTTGAACTATAACTACCTGAATAATATTCCATCCATCGCCTTCAGATTGACGCGGCGTCTTGCCATCCCCTCGAGCTTGACGCAACTTTCACATTTTCGGTCAGTCGTCCACCTTCATGCGAATTTATACCTAAAAAGAATCGGCGGAGGAGTATCTCGAAAACGACTAACCGCTAAACAGCAAAAATAAGACGATTGAGTTGTTGGGCAGCGTCTAGTCGTCGATTTGTCCCGCACAAAATTCAGGCCCATAAAAAATATATAGAAAATTAAGCTAGAAACGAAGCTGTGGCAAAATGACATTTTGCAAGTAAGCAATTCACTTTAAAAAGCTAATTCCGGGGAATTCCAATAAAACTATTCCTTTCAAACCGCACCGGTCGCAGAATTTCCATAGACGACGTCCATATTCGTCAACTTCAGGCGAGCAGCGTCTCCTTTGCGCGTTGTTCTTGCAAGGTCCATTCAGAGCGGCAACCCCGTCGGCGCATTTTCGCTCCTAAAATATGTTTTTAAAACCCAGCTACCTGAACAATCGTCGATTCGCCCTGATCTGCTGGCCGGCGCGAGCTTGAGGACTTCTGTAAGCTGGCCAGTGCCAACTGTCGCCCCATTGAATCTCGCCATTCCCGACTTCATCCGATTTTATACCTGAAAAAGAATCGGCGGCGAAGTATCTCGAAAAAAACTAACCGCAAATCAGCAAATCTAAGCAAATTGAGAAGTCGGGCGGCGTCTTGTCATCGGCTTCATCGGCAGTGCTACCGGTCTATAAGAAAATATAGTGAATAGAAATAGAAAGGAAGCTGTGGAAAGCAAAAATGACATTTTTCAAGTAAGCAATTCAGTTTAGAAAGCGGATTCCCACGGCTCGTCAGGCCTTACCAAAAACGCACTTCTGGGGGGTGCGGGCCCTCTCCCCGCGGATAGTGGGTTAACCTCCCAGGCGAGCCCCCCACACCCCCCGGGTTCGGTTCCTCTCCGACGCAAACTCCCCCATTTTGATGATCTTTGTTTTGCTTTTTGCTCCATAGTATCACCGAAAGTCTACTGTATGAACAAAATCAAATAAAACTCGCGAAAGAGCCCCAGGAAATAGCAAAAAGCGGCCAGAACTCGTTTTAGCAAAGTAATTCCGAAACCAGTCAAATTTTCACTCCATAATCCGCTTTCAAGCTTGCTATTAGAATTTTTTCGGCTTAGTAACGATGTGCGCTCTGATGCGTGTATGTTAGGAAAATTGAGATTTAGATCATGAAGCTCGTGCTCCACGCGTCCAAGTGCCTGACTTTTTTAACTATTTTCTTACTAGGAGGTGCATACTTCAGCAGATTTCGATAAATACTACATTAAATGGATATAGTTTCCTAGAAAACCGACATATAAGGCTCAAATAATTTTGGGTTAAGGTGCTAGCTTCAAAACATTATAAACGCCATCAGACAAGGTTTTATCTTTTCCAGCACTTCGGTTATGAATTCAAAAGCATTTATCGTAACTCTACCGAACTTTTTAGCGAAATTTCTTCGTATTTTGATAACAACAGGCTGAAAAACTAGCCATAAACCAGCTGAGTCGAAGATCTCGGAAACATTAGGCTTCAAAATCTCCTTATTTTGGTGAGAACTCTCAACGCGGCCCACATAGTTCGATAGATAATTTTTTTCTCTACCAAGTTCCCACGCCTCCCAAAGATTCGAAATCATCTACAAAAAGTTATTAGAATAAAAGGTAGATTTTCTGGGTTTTTAATATGGGCGGCGCCGCCCCACAGAGCCCGGCCGGCTAAAGGCGCGTCCTGTACTAAAGTGCCCTTTGGCGAGCCGTGTTCCAAGGTAATTGCAGCTCGAAATTCATTTTCGAGTCCGTTCGACACCAAATTACGACATAGTATGGTTTCGGAATGTTTCCCCAGCGAAAGCTCACCACGGCCAGTCAAACAGTCCAAAAACGGCAATGTGCCGGAGGGCAAAGCGTCGTTGGCGGAACGGCGGCCGCCAAAGTTTAGCCTTATAACTTTTTCAAACCGACTTAATAATGAAAACCCAATATCAATTTTTGCAGAGTAGAATTTTACGGTTCGAATGATACCAAAGACAGCAAGTTAGCCCTCCGAAATACCACTTTTCACAAAGTCGTCAACAAAAACCGCCTTCGTTTCGATACTTTTTGAATTCAGTTTTCTTAGTGCTTGGTATCATTGAATCGCCTTTTCCCTTCTACAAGTTGGAATCGCTTTTTTAAGATTCCATTTGTTTTAGTTATCAGGCTACGAAGTTTTGACCCCATACATTTTCTTGACGAATGGAGCGTCGCGTTGCTTAGGTCCTTATTGCCGCAAATTCTGGGCGTGTCACCCGTTTTTTCCTTTCTTTTCTTTCTTTCCGTTGCTTTTCCGTTTTTAGTCCGGTGCTCGAATTTGATGAGAAATATGTTGATTAGGTTTAGTGCGAAGAAAAATTGCGCCGTTCTCTTGAAAACTCCCATCGTGCGCTAGAAAACACCCAGTTTCTTTGTTTTCGATTGCTTTGCTACAATCGCGAGCCGCGGATGTTGATTCGGCGCTATTTCAGTTTACCGGCCCCACTTATATATGGCCAAAATGACATTTTTCTGGGTTAGTTTTTTGCGCTGGTTACGAAAAAAGACACCCCAGCTCGTAAAAATGCAATCTAATGAGAAAAAAATTTACTTTTTTACCAAAATCTATAACGCCAAATCGTGAATTTTGAGGGGAGAAAACACTTAATTTTCGGTTTTTAAAGGGTTTTTTATGCGGGATGCCTGTAAATCAGTGGAAAAGTTTTTTCCAAGAAGGCTGAGCGATTGCATCCGCTTTTTTTTCCTAACAATAAGGCTTCGTGCCACCCCGGGGCCTAGTCGCTTCGGATGGGCGCGAGCTCGTACAGGGTTTCGAAATAGGGGCGCCCGAGGCGCGCGAAGCGGCCAGGCGCCCCTATTTCGAAAGAGTGGAGCGGCAGCCCATCCGAAGCGACGGCCCGCCTTGCCTGACAATGCTACTGGCTTACTTCATTCATGATAAACCCGTTTTTGGCCATGATTTAATTAAAAAACCACAAAAATACTCCTTTTACGCGACCGCCGTAAAATCGAATTTTCCCAACCTTCCAATTAAATTGTTTTTCTAAATCGCATTTTCGTGGGCCGGGATAGTGTTTTCCGTAACCAGCGCAAAAAACTGACCCAGAAAAATGTCATTTTGGCCATATATAAGTGGGGCCGGTAAACTGAAATAGCGCCGTTGATTCTTTTGACTTGAAAGAAAACCCGGCCACAATGGATCAGAAACTTTTACCAATCCTGTTCTGTTTTATCTTTCTTCAAAATCTATCATAAATTCTGAATGGCCCATCGGAAACATGAGCGTGGTTTTATCTATTTATTTGCTCCAATTAGGTTGGGCAGATATTAATAGTTCGTTTAGCGTTTAGAAAAATTTCGTCAAAAGCTTTCAGCGACACTTAACTGCCCAAATTTAGGCAGTTAAGTGTCTCTGAAAGAAACATTATAAAGAAAACACATTTTCCCCACAATTTGGCTTCTGGCTTTCCACCATCGGTTTATCCTTTTTTTAAGGTTTTGACGATCCTGTGCAGAAAATTATTTATCTTTGTTCCTTTCTGTTCTTTTGGCGGGCTTTGGAACTTTATTAGCTTGGGATAATTTTTGATTTTCAGGGCAATGTCGTACCATGCGTTGAACGGGATGAAGCTTGACAAGGAGCAGCTGCGGACTATTGTTCGTTTTCTCCCCATTCTTTCATTTTTCTTTTTAGAACCGCCGCACCATGGGCACCACACGCGCCCGTACGCTTTCCATCGCCAGCTTCATCAGCGACTCGGAGGTGAAGATTGGGCGTCGGGCTTCGTAAGTTGTTTTTTTTGTTGTGAGGCCCTTTTGAAAAGCGTTGCTTTGCGTCTTGGAATTGCCTGGTTTTCCGATGATCCTTAGGCCAACATTGTTCGCAGGGGGCAGGGCCTGGCCTAGTAATCGAATCAAAAGTGTCCTTACATTGTTGTTAGCCAGGTTCAGCTATATTAGAAGCAAAAAAGCTTTCAAACAAGTTATAAAAGTGGAAATTTTGGTGATCTTAGGTCAAAAACAATCAATTGTTGGTCCCTGTGAATACTCATGAACCTTAAAATCTGGAAAATCTACGAAAGGTGCTCGAAATTCACTTTTTTTTTCCAGGATGTTCGACATGCCCTCCTTCATCAACAGCGACTACGAGTTCTTCGATCAATTCGGCGACGGCAGCACGCCGAAACCGCCGGCCAGGAAGAGGAGCCTGTTGGTTTTAGTTCCCTGGTTAATTATTACTTTTTTAGTAGCATGGAAATCCCGCGCAGCGTGCACACCGGCGACCACCATGGCAAGCCCGATGTGAAGGCCGTACGAAAGCCGGCGGCGGTCAGCCTACCGAAGAATGAGCGGCTCGTCACGTTTCTGCAGGACGAGATCCACGTGAAGGGGATGATGATGCGATTGGCCGCGTTCATCCACGCCATTTCCAACGACAAGGACCAGCAGCGAGTGCACGGGGAATGTGGGTAATGGGTGTGATATTGCCAAAATGCTTGATGGTATGCCCGGATCGCGATTTCTTCGTTTCCGGGGATTTTCTATTGTTATTACTGTTTTCACTAAGTTGGCAAGCGTATTACGGGGATTTGGCAAAACCGTTGGCTTCCCTTTTTTCCTGTTAGCGGGTCTAATTGTAATTGTAGCCTACCTTTTTCGCTTTTCGGTAACTTTTGACGATTTTCATGCATTTTAGAGCCAAACTCAAATTTGTATCGTTTTAGTGGTTTCGGCCGCTTTTTAGGACTAAAAAAGCTTACAACCAATTCGCAAAATTACGAAGTTTGAAATTTGTGACGATTTTTATACTTTCTGTACCAAATTGGCGCCGTAGAAGGCTAGGTAAAGGTTTTTCATCTCGCCACTCGATTCCTACCTAAATCCCTGTTTTAGACTATAACAACATCTACCTTGGGAAACGCATGTTCGGCCCGGCAAAGAAGCAGAAGTTCCTCAGCACCATCACCGGCGGTATGGAACGACGGTATCGGCAAAAGCTTTTCGGCCGATTTTCCTTTTTCAGTTTTGAGTTTCTTGACAGCCAAGTCAACCACCAATCGTTCACGCATCTGTGGTCCGATCGCAACCTGACGAAATGCCGGAATCCACGTAAATCTTTCACTCATGCCTGATTTTCTGTTTAGAGGTTTCCTGCATTGACGATAGCCGTGTCCAGCTGCGCTCCGATGACGACGGCGAGACGTCGTTCATCCATGCCAATTGGGTATTTATACCGCGCAAAATGTCTATGGTATTTTTCTAGGTTCGCGACGGGCCCCTCTTCAACGAATTCATCGTCACCCAGGCGCCGATGGACACCACTGTTGGTCAGTTTTCAAGTCGAAAATGCACCCCCGCACGCTCCGCCGTGGTGTCAAATTTGACGTCCTAGCCAGCTATCGAGAGCTCGCCGAGGCGATGAGAGATTTCGCTCCCTTTTTCGAAACCTGCTGTTTTTGCTAAATTTACGAAGTTTTTCTAAGCGTGCTCCATTTTCGTTGCAAAAAATTGGACGAAACCTTTCTACTAGTTTTTCCGCGCGCTTTTGGTTGATACCTATGTGATGCGTCGGGGGGCTTTTTTAATCACTCTGTATTTTCCGATTTTAGAAGATTTCTGGCGGATGGTGTGGCAAGAGAAGGTGCCCTACATCTTCATGCTCATCAGCCGCAAGCAGCCGGAGCGATGTGTCCGATATTGGCCAAAGTATGATCTTTTTTGTTATTTAAAAAAACATTATTATTTGAGGGAACAAGACGGCCTGCTGCGGTTCACCGAAATGAACGTGCGGCATTGTGGCGTCGATGAGGAGCGGGACCCGCTGTTTCGGGTAACTTTCTTGTCGGTTGTAGGGTTTTTGGTAGTGGACTCTTGGCGGGCAGAACTAAGTTTTATTTCCCCCTCCTTTTGATAATCTAGAATGTGTTTTTATAGTGTTGTTAGTAGTTTTTCATAATACTAGAAAGCTGCAAGTTACAAAAATATTTTAGTTTTTGGAAAATTCGAAAATTCTAGATTTTTTTTTCATGCATTTTTGCAGTACATTTTGTTATTGTAACGTACGGGATTGTGAATAAAATGTTTGGCCCTCTGCCCCCCCCCCGCTAACAGTCCAGTACCGGGTTTTCAAGAAGAAACAAAAAATCGTCCCCATCCAATTTTCTCTTTTAGGTGACCCACATTGAGGTTGTGCACGACAACGGGCAGACGCTGCGCCTCGAGCATTGGCAGGCCGACATGAACAATACGAATAATTTGGAGGTACGGTGTCGCTTGCTTCTTTCTGATTATCCTTTTTCAGGCTCCACTCAGTCTTCTGCACCTCGCACGCAACAGCTCGAAGCCCGTCATCGGTGAGTGTTTTTTCGAGACCGCCGGCGCCTAGCGATCGCAATGCGTCCATTAAAAATAGCGGTTCTTGCGCATTATCAGGAGTCTAACAATTTTTTGTACAAATCTAGAAATAAACTTTCGCTAAAAAAAGTCGACATTTTGCGCTCATTTTTGGTCGAGCAATCGATTTTTTTTGTATGCTTTAACGAGAATTTGAAGCTTTTACGCTTAGGAATAGTTAAAAACAGGCCAGAAACACTTCCGCTATTTGTATTGAAAAAAATTGGTTCGTAGTAAAAAAATTTTCCCTCCCCCCTCCCCCGATAATGCGAAAGACCCGAAATAGCTGACATAATTGCGAATCGTTTTCTTACCCGACGTTGTTGTCACTGCTCTCGGGTTAAACGTTTGATTTTCAGTGCACGATTGCCTCGGAATCAGCCGTGCCGGATGTCTGGTCACCATCGAGGCGGCGATTGCCAGTCTGATCCGCGGTCCCACTTACAAGGTACATTTTGGCCTCATGTCTCTGTCTTTCTCTCTCTCTCTCTCTCTCTCTCTCTCTCTCTCTCTCTCTCTCTCTTCTCCTGGCCACGCTTTTATCAACACTACGATAACCCTTTTTCAGCACACCATCCAGAAAGCCGTCCAATTTGTGCGCTCGCAGCGGGCCTTCTGCATTGAAACCCCGATGCAGGTCAGCAACTTCTTCTAAGCTTTTTTATATTTTCTTTAGTACATCTACGTGCACCGCTGCGTGGCCCACTTCTTCGAGGGTATCATCGGCAAGATTCCGCTCTTCGATTCAGACTACCGCCAATGGCTGGAGCGACGCGCCGGCCGCATGTTCCTCGACTTCAACGAGCCGGTTATTTACCGTTAAAAATATATCCATTTTTTAGTTGCCCGGCCATCTGATGCTGAGCCCGCGCGTCGATCCCGATCTCCTGAAGCAGGTGCGTTTTTGAATCTTCTTCGTCGTTACTGTTTTGTTTGGCGGGGACTTTTTTTCTAAGAAGTTCAAACTATCAATTATTATTGTTAGTCCATTTTTCAATAGTATAAAGGAAAACCAACCCATAATTATAAAAATTCCCGTTTTTCGGGTGAGTAAAGTCTGATTTTCGTGGAATTTGCCAAATTTCGCGTCTGTTTGCTTTAATGCGGAAGCTTTTGATGCTCAAAAATGCCACGGAAGCGCTTTATAATCGCAGCTTCTGTATAGCGTTTGGATGGCATACTAAAGAGTGGGCTTATGGCCGAAAATCATCATCGTTTCCTCCCCGCCACATATTCACCTCGTGACTAACGCGTGCGTTTTCCAGGTTCGCAAGCCGCCGCGCGGCAACGAACGCTGTGAGACGGCGTCCGGGATGGGCGAGCTGCCGTTGCCCCTTCACTCGGCCGAGGCCGGACGAATCGCCGCCCGTCGTCGCATCCTTCCCAACAAATACCCGGCCGGAAAGAAGTATTAATTCTTGTAGATATACCTTGCATCTATCGATCGATTGTGTTTTTCTGTTTTTGAAGTTGCCAACTTTTCTGTGAATAAAAGCGTTGCATGGAGTGAATAAATTGATTCCAAATGTGAATTTATGAATTGGATGATCACATTCAGATTTTTGCCTATAGTCTTTCCTTTAGGGTCAACTGTAAGGTTCAGCGTGCGTCGCGTCGTACTGTAAATCTGTGTTGTTTTCTGTAAACGAAGAACACCCCAACAAAATGGCACAAAATAGCTTTATTCCTATCGCCAATGGTTCACCTAGACATTTTTTTTTGATCACAGTTCAGCATTTTTCCACTTCCAGTCAACTAACAAAATATCTATTTTAACTTTTGAATTCAAACATATAACCGCACCAAGCGAACGAACCGTAAAAGTGGGGGGCAAAGTGAAAACAAAACTAGCATAATAATACTGTCATTTTTCGTCACTAGGCAATTGGCTTGTTGACGGCCGGGTCCTTGAAAACGTGCAGATAGTTGTGGTTCAAATATCGGAACATCTAAAAAGGTTTTCAATTAATTGGAAACAATTTTCTATCCAACCTGCCCGGTTTGCGCGCTGAAATTGGTGAAGTGGCAGGCGAAGAGCAGCATATTCCTCGGTTGCACATGCCACGCGAATCTGGAAGGTGTTGGAAATCCCCTATTTCTTTTTGTTTTCCTACTACTTACCGCATAAACACTGACGAGTAGACGATCAGGGCGCCCGTCATGTTCGGCGAGATCATTTCCGGGTTTTTCTGTAAATATAAAGGAAATTCAGTACGAAACTTACTTTTAAATCGGCCATGGCTGCCAAAGGTAATCCCCAATTGGCCACTGGGCCCCAGAAATGTGTCGACAGGAAATAGCTTTTCCATTCGGCAGCGCTGTAGCGCGAGAAGTAGCTGGCAACTTTCGACATCTGAAATAGAGATTACCTTTTTATTCATTTATATAAAAAGTGGTCAAAAAGTAGCAAATCGGCAGTAAATCGATATTGGGCGCCGGGGCGGCTTACCGAGGGGCGAGAAACCCAAAAACGGAGCTCTCTAGGTCTCAATATTTCCTCCCAAACTGTCACTGACTATCTGAAACGCTAAAATAAACGTACAACGCTGCAAAAGCGTTAAGAGAACTAAGAATTTTAGCTTTTACATCTTTACAACCGCGCAAACAAACCCGAGAGAAATACTCGGATTAAAAAATGAAGCATAAACTTGATTTCTAGGCCTAGAAAGCATAAACTAGCAATCAAAATACTTTTTTCTATATTTTTAACTATTTAGATCGACCCAACTATTGCCAGCCTAATGCTTTCGCGTTGATGGCAGTGTTTCGTTGGGGTCAGCGTCTCGAAAGATGGCACCACATCGCTGGCTAGTTTCCTCAAAAAATGGGTGATAAAAGCAAATTTTCAGCACCAGCGTTTCGTTTTGACCTATCGCTATAAAACTTTGCCTTGGACGCCAAGAACCTAACCTTAAACTAAAAGCTACAAGAGGCAAGAGACAAAAATAGGCGCGGCGTCGAATTTCTGTAACTTAAAAGCTCAAATTCCACTTCAAAAGACACAAAACTAGGCGAGCAAACTTTTTGACCTGTTCTTTGGGCAACATTTGCAGGCGCTCAGGCAGGCGCACGAGCTCCAAGGACTTCTGGGCGTAAGATGGGCTTCAAACGCGGAGCCAAATCATAATTGAGCAGCCGGAATCCTGGAAACCTAAATAATAAACATTGAAAAATCGACACTCTTTACCTTCAACGCGCTCGAGTCGCAGAATTTTCTATTTCCATGTCGTCCGTAGACGCAACACAGCTTCTCGAGGTCAGCTTCTTTTCTTGTGCGTTTTTCCTGCAAGTTCCATTGATAGCGGCAACCTCGTCATCGCTTTCGCTCTTAAACCAACTTTCCAACACCTAAATACCTGCATAAGCTTCAACTATCCTCATTCGATTCGATCGGCGCCGACTTGAAGTACTTCCGCGCGGCTTCCCAGCACCTTGTTGCCCTCTCAGTCACCCATCGCTTATGCCATTCCCGTTGAAGTCGGCACCACTTTCGTCCGCTCTTCTACCTAAAAAGAATCGGCGGCGAAGTATCTCGAAAAAGACTAACCGCAAATCAGCAAAACTAAGCAGATTGAGAAGTCGGGCAGAGTCTTGTCATCGGCTTCATCGGCAGTGCTACCGGTCTATAAAAGAGAATATGGTGAATAGAAATAGAAAGGAAGCTGTGGAAAGCAAAAATGACATTTTTCAAGTAAGCAATTCACTTTAGAAAGCGAATTTCAGGAGTAATTACCAAAATCGAAGCTGAAATTCATTTTCGCGTCCGGTCGACACCAGCCTACGACATAGTATTGTTTCGGAATGTCGTCATTTTTTAATTTGGAATTTTTTAGAAAAAACATTACACTCGTGACAATTTGGGAATATGCAAGATTGAATTAGAAACAATTCTGTCTTTCTTTTGGGTGGATTATCAGGTCGAGGACGTGTCGCGCCGTATTGTATTCAGATATGCTCAAGCTTGCTCTGATAGTGGACAATTGCTTCTTGTTGATTCAGGGTCTTCATTAGCTTGTGCCGTTTTCTGTAATTCCAGGGCAGAATTTCGTTTAGAAATTGTGAAAAAACTTCGAAAGTTTTCGAAAAATTTTTTGGGGAAAAATTGGAGCCTAACAAGGGTGGAATAAAAATAAGTTATTAATGGGTTATTAAGAACAAGAAAATAATAAGTAAAAAGTATTTTAAAAGTACTAAAACGTATTAAGAAATATATTAGAGGTATTTTTGAGCAAAAAGCAAAAGAGATTTGTTGGTGATGGGTATGGAGGGATTTGAACCCTCAGGATAGGGGGCGCTCTAGACTGATACACAGACGCACTACCGGCTGAGCTAACCGGTAGTACGGGAGGGGGAAGGGGAGAGAGGGCTAAGAAGGGAAGGGGGCGTGGCCTGTGCATCAAAGCGATATTCAATGCCAATCGTACAGTTGCCGCGGGCAGGGCCGCCGGCCCCCAACTGTACGATTGGAATTGAATATCGCTTTGGTGACAATAGGTAAGTAAATTTTTATATAAAATCGTAGTAAAGAAAATTCTATAGAAAAGTAATATATTTTTTATCCTTTACCGAATCCCCGCAACTTTTTGGAAAACGGATTCAGAAACAGCGAAATTCTGCCAGCGTCAGCGCATCGGCTTCTCCGGCAACCCTTCCGGTCTATGAAGGAAAATTTAGTTGATCAAAATAGCAACGAAGCTGTGGGAAATAAAAATAAAATTTTGAAGAAAATCAGTTTATAACAGCCGATACAGCCGTTGGCGGTAAATTTTTTATTTAAACGCACGTGGTAGGCTAGAGTGAAAGGAAGAGATGCAGAGGAAGAAGAGACACTATTGCCAATATCTCATTCTTCAAGAACTTTTTATGAATAGATAAGAAGCTTATTTTTGTATTTATACTAAAGTGGTATTGGATGAATATCTTTTCATCCAAAACCCCACGTCGACGACTGAGCACTAAAACTTTATTTATCAATTATCTATCCTATCAGCGAGAAATCTATTGGTGTTTGCTGTAATGGCGATTTGCGGCTATCTAGCCGAATGTTGGGATGATTTTTGGCGCGAAGGTAGAGAAACATATCCTTTTTATAAGAAAGGGCCGCCAAGCGGTCTTTTTCCACCGGTTTCATTAATTCTTTGGTTTTAGACATGCTCGTGATTAATTTGCGTTTGGTTGGAGGAGAACAAGATGGTTTATTCCAAGGCGTTCAGTTGCATAAAAAGGTTTGACTTTGACAATCAACTACAGGGTGTCCCAAAAAAGAACCCACGTTTGCCCCCAAATATCTCGAGCATGAGAAATATTTCACCATGCGTTACCGTGGCAGCTCTCTCTCTCTCTCTCTCTCTCTCTCTCTCTCTCTCTCCGCTCTCTCTCTCTCGCTCTCTCTCTCTCTCTCGACATGGCTTTTTGCTTTTTCAGGTCCGAAAAGGTTGGGTATCCCTTTAAAAATTCTCGGCATGAGGGATAAACGCAACTTGATTTTTTTCATTTGGGGCTCAAAAATCGAGTTTTTTTGTAATTTGGTTTAATTGCACGATTGGTGGAATAGTTGGCGAGCAGTCGCGCGGGTGGGTGGGAGCGGAAGGGCAGTCCGAAGTCCGAGCGGCGGGTTTATTCTAATTGACCTATTCTATATTTTCAGATTCGGTGGGCTGAGCTACTGTGTACCATAGAGGATCTGACAAATATTTCTGTCATCTATCAACACATCGAATACCGTGGTAAAAAACTACCCGTGGCTAAGCGTCCTCTTCAAAATATACGATTTGGCGAGGAGCTTGTCGTGGCAAGTTAAAATTTTTTATATTTTTTATAACTGGAACGAACCAATAGTTTACACCATTTTGACATTTCATCTTTTAGAAACACGCTCTGCTCTTCAAATGGTCCGCTTTATTGCAGTGGGAAACGGCTTTTCAACAGACCTACGACAAAGATCTGAAAAAAACGATTCATGATGATTCAAAAAAACTGATCAAAACATTGACGGATGCTCAATTCTTTCTGATATATCCGGATTTTTTCACACGTCGTTGTGCGATCGAACGACAGTTCTTGAAGCATTTCGATCGAAAGGGGGAAACCATAAAGGTAAGTTGTCGTTTAGCATTTTTTCAAATAGTAGTTATGGTTGATATTTAGAGTTCTTGCCGGGTTTATTTCAAGAAAATCTATGGCGAGGAGTGCACAGTTACCTTCGAACCGCGTGAAGGAGGTTCTCGAGCCGGGTGCCTTTGCATTGTGGGCGACGGATCAACAGCTCGCAGATTCTATGTAAAGACCCACCATGGAGCAGGAGATAAATCGTCGCGTAAGTTCAGTCTTTCGTTAAAAATTTAAATTTTTGGTCGGGGTCAAAAATTATCTCGAAACTGACTTGAAACTTGCTGAAAGTTCGCTGAAATTGGCGTCGATGCCTAGTTTTAGACGTTAATCTTTTCTCTAATACATTGCCAAAAACCCGAAAATGACCGGAACATGGTTAAATCACTTACTCGAAATCGTTTTCCCGGATTCCATAAAAACGACCATTTTGCGCTCGATGTAAATAGTGTAGAAAGATGCGCCATGATTTTTTACGCCGATATATGTGTCGTTTTCCCGGGAAGCAGCGCTCCTCCTCTTGCTACAACGAGTTTTATACGCCAAAAACGCCTAAGCAACGCCTACGCCTAGACTTAGCTTCATACAAACGTAGCCTAAGCGAAGCTTGGGCTAAACTAAGCTCAGCTCTCAGCTAACCCCGAAAATAAGCCCATTTTGACCTCAAATTAAAGCCTAAGAAAAGCTTAAAGCTAAGCTAAGCATAGTTAAAGCTAAGTTAAGCCTAGGCTGGGGTTGAAAATCAAGTAGCCTAAACGGAGCGCCTCGTAGCCCCTTAATAGCGATTTCAGACTGCCCCCCTACCTGCATTAGCACCGGCAGATTAGATTATCTAAAAAAATCTAAAAAATTTCAGCCACAAGATGTGACACTGATCTAAAAGAACTATTCATCTACAAGTTTTTGGAGGAACTGCAGATGGGCGCTGAAATTCATTTCATCATTGATGAAGCAGACTCGCGATGGATGATCTATATTGGGAGTCGAGAGATATCAGGCTTCCAGACGCTAGAACGCTTGGAGCGGGAACAGCCGCCGGAAGCTCTCGAACAATACTCCAAAGGCGTTGTTCAGATGCTGTTCGTGTACAGTGTATTAATGTTGGGGGACCATCACAAAGCCAACATGGGCTTTGACGGTGCAGATCGTCCTTTTATTGTGGATTTTTTCATAATTGGAAAACAAATGACCGGTGTCAAAGACCTTCACGACAACGTGCGCATGATGACCGAGTCCAAGTTCAAGTAAGCCATTCAGTTAAAATATAAAGTTTAACTTATTAGAAAAAACTCTACTTTCAGCAGCAATCTTACTTTCGACGAACGGCTCAAAATATCGAAGGAATATCTGCAGGAATCAGACTTTTCGGCCGTTTTCGAAAGCTTCACTGACGCCTTTCTTCAAAACCAAAAGCCTATGCTCGATAATACTCGGCTCGTTTTTGACAAACCCCAAAAAACGGATGATCTCATGGAATATATCGATAATGTGCGCAGTAACATCTGCTTATTTGTTGGCTAATATATAAAGAAGAATAAAAAGTTTTTGAAAAATGGTTTTATGTGATAATATTTCTGATTTTGACGTTTCGGATGAAAATTGACGTGCGCCAGGATGGCAAATACCTAGTATTGTCCAGCAGTATTTCCGGGGAAACCTAGCTGTTTAAAATGCCGAAAATTTGATGGAAAAGATGAGTTTTGGTCGAAAAATTGATGTTTTTGTATTATTAATCGTTTTTTGTTAATTTTTACGTTTAGGACTAGTAGAAAAATAATTAGAAACCCTTCCTTTCTTTTCGCACCGAATTAGATCCTAGAACAAAACAGGATTCACCGGAAATACCAGAGATCGAAGAGGGCCGCCTTCCATTCGCTCACACAACGACACTCAGCGGGCAAATTTTGGCGTCGACGTGTCGATCATTTAGCAGCACGGCGACTATCGTCTAAAAACTATTTCCATATAAATCAAAGCAAAATTGGGTATTTCTTCGACGTTTCGACATCGTCATCATCATCTCCAATAGCACACCTTCAAAACCAGCGGCCATCCGCCAATTCGGACATGTTATCGCTTGAGTTGAGCTTGAGTCAAAGTTGCAGTTCTAGTAGAAATATAGGAAACTAAGCGGCAACCAACTCAAAAAAAACTAGATACAAAAAGCGGAAGGAATTAGATAACGGAAGCCCTATACAGGGTGGGCAAAAAAAAGATCCGAGTTTGGGTCGAAATAACTCGCGAACGGTAGAGAATCGAAGGTAGGTTACCATGCCAGAATGCTTAAATATGCTGGGTATGAAGATTTAACACAACTTGATTTTTTCGATTTTTCGGTACGCAACTGTACTATTGACGCTGGTTACGACCGAAATTGTGCGTTCTTGAATGGGTGGTGAGAAAATTCTGATTTTTGGCTTAAAGATAGTATAAATTTGTAGAAATGTATGGCAAAATCTTAGAATTTATCGAGGTCAATTTCATTTTTTAAAAGCAAAACAATTTTCGCAATTTTGCGTTATTTTTGTTCTTTGAGTCATAACTCGCTTATAACTCGCTGCCTATGGCTGATATTTTGTCAATGACCTATCCAAATATTAGTCTCGGATTCCACACCAAATTCCACCACAATCTATGGTATTTTTGTATTGCTTGCTAAAACGTGCCCCAGTGGGGTACTGTAGGTTTCGTTTTTCCCGCTTTTCTCGGGGCCCCTAGCTTGGATCCGGCTGAAATTTTCTGGGTTGTTAGGCAATAAGTAGGGGCACCTTACTGCCAAGTACGAGGACGTACTATCCACAAACGTTCATGAAAAAGACTAAAAACTGACTTTTTAATTCTGCCACAGAATCTTGTAAATTTTTTGGACAATTGGTCCAAAAACTGTTATTATTGCATGTACCGAAAGATCGAAGCGAACTCGAAGGAGCAATGGTAGCGGTAAAAAGCAAATCAGACAAGCGATTTACAATGTCCCTATCATCACCAGTGTTTTGCGCATGCTCGAGCGTCACATCACTAGGTTTCATCCTCATTTAAATGCTCTCGACGAAGCTCGGCTGGTTTTGTAGACGGTCAACAAGCAAAGTGCATGGCGTAACACTTACTTATAATGGCAGTCGGCTCATGATTGAATCAGAATTGGTATAAGGATTCTTACTAGTTAGTCATGTGTGGTGAACCAGCAAAATCGTCAATCTGATCGAAACACGCACGAAGATGCCCCTTTCACCTCCATATCTGTTTTACAACTATCTTTCTTTTGTTTCTAGAGTTAGAATAACCTTTACAAGATTATTTGTCACTAAAAAACTGGGTTTGGGCAATCAATTACGCGGTGTAAAGTGGTGTGACGCGTTCGTGACTCGTTACGTCCGAGGGCTAAAAACCGGCCCGTCTCACTGTCTTTAAATTCAAGGGCTTGTGATACATTAACCAGAACTGTTATAAGGTGCAAGAAAAAGCGGTAGAGAGCAGTATACTAACCCACTAGCATCTGCATATCTGCCACATGAAGTATTGCCTCCATTAAGTGTAATACCGAAATTACTACTAAAAATTATTACCCCAGGAATAGATAAATCTAACAATGGAAAGGCCTGAAATATACGACGAAAACGCGATTTTAGTAAATAATGCTCCAAATGAAAAGAACTGGCTCGTAGAACAGTTTAATATAGACAAACATTATACTAAAATATTGAATATGCTTTAAATAAAGTTTTTTCGATACTAAATCTATTAATATATGAAAGCGAGGGCAAAACTGATCGATAAAGCGCCGATGCAAGAGTATTGGGGCCCCTACAAGCCAGGTTTCACGATAAAGTACTCCCTGATACGTTAAAATACTAATTAAAGTATATTTTAATAATAAAAAGCTTACTTTTTTAATATTAGCTTTAATAAAGCTTATTTAAACGGTGAGCCGAAAAAGGCGGTCGAGCGGTCGAGCGGTCGAATTATATGAATTGCCACCAAAAGTAGCCATTTTTGGGCGGCAAAAGGGCAGTATTTTTATAGATATCTTTGTGTTCATCGAAAGCTATCTAATCTCTATGGTTTCAACTCGGCGGCGCCTTCTCCATTTGGCCTTTCGAGCATTTTTTCATCTCTTCTGCCACATCCCTACTTTTGCCGCTGCCAGCACCTTTTTTTTGTTCTCATTCTCCTTGCTCTGCTTGATTTCACCATGTTCTTGCTTTCCATTTGTTGCTGTTTTCTTTTTTTTTGAAAAACTGTCACATCAATATTCCTTTTTCAGGTAACTCGACGTTTGGATGGATCGTGATCAATTCAAGAAAAAGCTGCTCGCTCTACAGGGCAAGATGGGGGACATCGGCATCGTCGAGGAGAGCAACAAGAAAGGAGATGAGGCTGATGATGGAGAGAAAGAAGTCTACAAATCAACGCTCAACATCTGCGATCTTCCGATCGTCCTCTTGTGGGAAATCATGGAATCGCTGGATGGTAACGATCTCCTCTCAATTGCTGGTGCTCATGAGAATATCCTCCACGCAACAAAACATCTGAAGGACAAGCACTTTCACTATGTGGACTGTGTGGCCTCGATTGGAATGGCTTCTTCTCAATATTCATTGACCCCGGATGTATTGGAGATTCTCCTCCATGGGGCACACGTCGACCACCTCGAATTCGACTCAACTGCCCGTCCATTCACCGTTGACGGACTCAAATTGTCTACACTCTATTTGTGTGACCCACAACAAGACGACAAGGCGGCAATATTCATCGAAAAGCTGAAACCTGAAACGGTCGATCGCGACATATATGGTGGATACACGATGTCTCCGAGGTTGTGCCAGGCTCTCTCGAAGACTCGCCGTATCTTTCTCGGCGATGTTGGAATGGAGCTTCTCGATTTCCTACTCCAATGGAAAGGCCGGCTCTTGCACTGTACCATGGATATATCCAATCCCGAGAAGTCGTCTCGCTTCTTTGATACCATCACACAATTTCTCGATGAACGGAGGAATGGAGTTCCAGCCCCTTTTCGCCTATTGGTCCGCTTCCGACCCCGGTTGCTTGCTGATCAGCTTCATCGAAATCTCCTTGGACCGGATTACCCATTGCTGTACGATCGTCTCGATAGAAGCTATTGTAGCCTACGCAATCCTTTTGGCTCTATCCGAATCCGTGCCTCCGGTGTGGTCTGCCAGCTTTCCTAATTTATTTCGGGTTTTTGCTCCCAATTTCCGGTGTTCTTTTGAGTGCTTCACTATTTTAAGCACCGTTTCATTTCTCATGCTCTCTTCTTGGGTTTTCCCTTGTTTTGTTCAAATTGCTTGCAATAAAATTTCGAATTTCAGGTACTTCGCGGAAGCAGCCAGCTGGCTTTCTAGAAATGCAGAAATGGGCCGATGTAATGGAAAAGAGTGGGATTTGCTAAAAGGTCATGTTTTCTCAGTTTCTTTCTACATTTTTAGGAAAATCGCGATGGACATGCTCGGCGGCGGAGATGTTCCGAAAATAATGCTCTGCCGTTGTTGGATAGCGGTTCGTGATCGGACCTTCTACTTCTCCGTCATTCTCTTTTACAGGGTGGGCAAAAAAAAGCCCACAGTTTGGGTCGAAATAACTCGCGAACGGTAGAGAGTCGAAGGTACGTTACCATGCCACAATACTTAAATATGCTGGGCATGAAGATTTAACACAACTTGATTTTTCGATTTTCGGCGACGTATCAATACAAACGACACCCGAAAACTGTGCGTTAGGGGAAACTTAATTTGCATTTTTCTCAGTTTCCTGTGGTGACTGACTTCTAATTTTTATTGAGTAAGTTAATATATATCAGCAGCTATGTACCTACAAAATTTAAGAATTTTTGAGGGTCTGGTTGAAAAGTTATAGAGGAACGAAATTTTGTATGGAGAAATCTCGTAATTTTTCGATATTAAAAAAACTTATGGTGGAACAGTCAAAAGAGCTAGTTGTAGAATGCCTACGGACTATGTACAATTGCATAAACATATTTAAAAAATTTTCGAGATCGACGAATTTTTGAGTTTTTCAACGACCCCCTGGTCATGGATTTTTCGAGGTCTCGAAACTGAACTTTGGAAAAATATTTCTAAATTGCCAAAGGGCACTCAGCTATTTTCTTTGCTTAACTATGTAGAACTGGGGTTGATCTATCATCCACAAAATTTCGAGCTACCGTACCCCTTTGGAAGGGCGTCTTTTAGGGCCTCCAAAAGGATTGGTTCGTGCGTTTTTCCATACCTTGCCACCATTTTATAAATTTCAATCGCGCTACGAAAATTGTCATTTTAATTTTATCTGATAGCAGTGGAATAGCGCATCCTAAAGCCTTATTCATGAATTTTTTTAACCTGCCGTTGGCGCCAAGAAAATTCATCAAAACCCGAAATAAACCTAATCGGAGTTTACGTAAAAAAATTTTTGAAGGTGGACCCGTAGGGATATTTTGAGCAATAAGTCAGTGCCATCAGTTCAATAAAACTATGCAAAGATTAAAGCAATTTCGCGTCGCAAAAATTTTAAGAAGATTTCTAAACTTCGATTTTGGAATAGGGTGATCTTCGATTTTGAGCTGAAAGTCACCATGATCATGAATCAGATTGCCCCCAAATTTGACGAGCGTAGATCATAACATCAAAACTATAATCGTACTCATAAGATCCAGCTGGTTTTTTTATTTTTAAAAATTCGAAAATTGACCCGGCTACTCGGACCCAAAATCGGCTCTCTGGCCCTGTTTTGCACTTGGCCTCGTGACTTTGTTATTTACCACCCAAAATCAGTAATTTTTGACAGGCTATCTTACAATCAACTCTAGAAGGCCCTCGAATTGAAAAATCGTCAATTTATGGAAACTTTGTGATGGCATGCTAAAACGCGCTCCACGTGGATTAATGCAGAAAACCGAAATTTGCGATTTTCGTTGTGTTTTTGCCATGGAATCGCTTCGATCTTTTCGTAAAACCAATAGTAGCAGTTTTTGGACCAATTGTCCAAAAAATTTACAAGATTCTGTGGCAGGATTAAAAAGTCAGTTTTTAGTCTTTTTCATGAACGTTTGTGGATAGTACGTCCTCGTACTTGGCAGTAAGGTGCCCCTACTTATTGCCTAACAACCCAAAAAATTTCAGCCGGATCGAAGCTAGGGGCCCCGAGAAAAGCGGGAAAAACGAAACCTACAGTACCCCACTGGGGCACGTTTTAGCATGCAATACAAAAATACCATAGATTGTGGTGGAATTTGGTGTGGAATCCGAGATTAATATTTGGATAGGTCATTGACAAAATATCAGCCATAGGCAGCGAGTTATAAGCGAGTTATGACTCAAAGAATAAAAATAACGGAAACTCGCGAAAATTGTTTTGCTTTTAAAAAATGAAATTGACCTCGATAAATTCTAAGATTTTGCCATTACATTTCTGCAAATTTATACTATTTTTAGGCAAAAAATCAGAATTTTCCCACCACCCGTTCAAGAACGCACAATTTTCGGTCGTAACCAGCGTCAATAGTACAGTTTCGTACTCAAAAATCGAAAAAAATCAAGTTGTGTTAAATCTTCATACCCAGCATATTTAAGCATTTTGGTATGGTAACGTACCTTCGATTCTCTACCGTTCGCGAGTTATTTCGACCCAAACTCGGATCTTTTTTTTTGCCCACCCTGTAATTTCAAGGGATGAAAGATGGCGCCCGGAAAAAGAACAAAGCAAACGCATCAAAGTAAAGCCCCCCAAAAAAAAAAAACTGAAAAAATAACCGAACTTCTTCAAATCGAGCGGCAACCTCGTCCGGTAGAATTGGTACCGGCTTCAGGATTTTGTCCAGGTTCTCAGCAATTCTTGACATCCGACCTCGATTTCTTCGAGGAGAGCCATTTCTTCTTGCCACCGAGACGACATCTTTTTCCGCGACTTTCATCCTGCATCTGAAAAATATTGGCGGAGAAGTAGCCAAAAGAACGACTAACCGCAATAAAACACGTATTCGCAGCAGATTCGTGGGCCTCGCAGTGTTGAATCCTTGTCTACTCGCCCGTCAGTCTCTGTCGATGCCATTGTCTAAAAAAATAGCTTTTAATGCCAAAAAATTGAACGGCGCAATATTTCAGTAGAGCCGAAAGCCGGCGGCGGCTCGACTTTGTAGAAGGATGACCGCCCTCGCAGTCAGCCATTGCTTCTTGCCACCGAGACGACATCCTCGCGCTCCTTCATCCCGCATCTGAAAAACATTGGCGGAGAAGTAGCTAAAAGTACGACTAACCGCAATAATATAACCATTCGCAGCCGAAAATGAAATCAGGCGGCCTCGTGTCGTCGATTCGCGTCTCCCGTCTGACCTTGAAAGTAGGAAAATAAAAGAAAATATAGTGAATGAAAATAGAAGCGAAGTTACGGAAGCAAAAAATTACATTTTTAGAGCCAAGTATTTACTTTAGCAAGCGAAATTCGGGGAAATTCAAATATCAAAGCTGGAAATTGATTTTTCGAGTCCGCTAGACTCCAAATTACGACATAGTACAGTTTCGGAATGTCGTATTCTTTTGTGTCAAGTTTTTGATCTAAAAAAGTGAAAAGTGCTAGCTTTAGAACAAAAGAAGGAGAACAGTCAAGTTGATTGAGGGACCTTTGTTGGGAACCCGTCCGCAACATTCCTCGGCCAAATTCAGAACCTAAACACCGGCTTTAGTGAGGAGAGGAAGGTAATACCTGTGAATATTTCCCATTAGGAATCCCAAGGTTGCAATTCGAGCTGCCCGCAATCAGAGCAGCAAGGGCCAAGGAATAGCCGGAAAGCGCATCCGCATAGCCGCGAAGGTGCTCCAATCTGAAACATCACATTCTTAATCAAATCGATATTGGGATTCTTGTAACTTTTTGCTACGCACCGGTTTATACAGCGATCAATAAGAGGCGTAAGCTGAGATGGAACGGCTAACGTCACGCAGCGCAGACACCCAGCTGCCGCAATTCTCGCCGGACGTAGTGGATGCAACAGGCAGCCGAACAAGGCAGGCAAAACGGTCAATAATGGTTATCTGAGCTTTACCATTGGCCGGATCCGGCATATTTGTATTTTGAAGATACATTCTCTAATGTTTTTGTGTTTATTAATAGTTAGAAAATAATAATAGTTGATAGTTATTAGTTGACGTTATACTTAGATTCAAAAACCTTGGGTCATAGTGGAAAAATTTTTGACCCCCGCTCTGACCTTATGTCTGACCGGGCCGGGCCTTGGATTTTGGCTTCTGGGCCGGCCCGTTGTCAAGGCCTGAGCTACAGCATGTTTAAAACAAGAGTTTTGAAGCCGGTCGACAACGAGGTAGGCACACTTGTGGTGATTGTGCATCATCTAGGCCCATCTGAGAAGTTGCGGCCCCTGAGATGCCGTGCTTGAAGCTTGCCAACCTGTTTTAGTTAGTTTTTGTTTTCCTTTAAAATCGAACTTTGCTGAAATCTTCATTCAAATACGCTCATTTCCGATTGAAGAATTCCCTATGAATGACAATCGCTCATATGAACGCTTTTCCCTCTTTTTTTTCTTTTGCTTTTTTGCCATCCCCCTTGGATTTCCTCAAGCTTTTTAATTTTTTTTGTTTGGGCCCATACAGGTTGGAACCCGTCGTGGGGCGGAGATCTGCGCAAAAATCGGAAACCCCGAACGTCCGTTCCGCGCTACACCAAATGACGCGGGTCCCGCAGCGAGGACAAACTTTTTGTCTACGATTGGCTCCGCTACCTAGACAAGATTTTACCCGTTACTCACAATGTAAGCCCACTTATTTTCTTCTGTATGATTTTCTTTAGGCGGAACTGAAAAGCATCCAATCCAAGTTGATTGCGCAGCTCCATCAGCGCCTACAGGCAGGCGTCGGTCCTCCAACCCGGACCCTTTTGGCCAAATGTATTGCCAAGACATATTCCCTCGGTAATTCTGATGGATTTTATCATTTTTTCCTTTTTAGGCGATATCTACAGCGTCACGGCCACGATGAACCTTTGCAATGATTTGCTTGAGTCGAAGGAAGACTCCGCCCAACAACTCAGCGTGAAAATGTTGGAATTCGTTGCGCTTAGCTATTCCTTCATTTTTAGGGCAGCCCTCGGTGTGCTGGGCGCGCTATACGAGAGCTTGGGACGTCTTGCGGGTGCCTCTTATCAAGATCTATTCAATATTCTAACAAAATGGCTTTCACGTGCAGAGGTAACAGTGTTTTTGTATTAGTTATTGCTGATTCCAGTCCCAAGTACGTGCCGAAATAATGTCGATGCTGGCAAAAATGGTCAAAGGTCTGGGTGGCGCCTAGGTGATTTCGAGGATTTGGATTTATTTTGTTTATAGATTCACAAGGATTTGTACAAATTAGTGAAGAAATACGCAGAAGATCGCGTTATGGTTGTCCGGATAGCCGCTGTCGAGGTATGTCTTTTAGTGCTTGACGGCCCTAGTTCCTGTTTATGTGCCGATGTTTACCACTGATGTTGAAGCCATGATCACGCTGGCCACAAAGGTGGATGCCAATCAAGGCTTTCAGACTCATTTCTCTTTAGGCCCTTGACAATAGCAACTACGAATGCCGTGTGGCTGTAGCATGACTCTTGGCGATGATTTTGACAAATGCACATCAGCCTTCTCCAGGAGCCATTATGCCGGGTAAATTTTGAAAGCGCCGGAAAACCAGGAAAATCTAGGAAAGGCAGTTCATCCGATTCCGGTGAAGTCTATTGCCGTCTCGGAATGTTTTCAACTACTGGCCAATCCATTTTTGAAGGGTGGAATCGGCGGTTGGAAGGTACTACTATATCTACTCTTTTTTACGGAGATTTTAGACCGGCTCTGGCATTGCGACGGTTGGCGGCCAGCGGGAGGTCCGGATCGGGATGGCGATGGTGATCACAATTTTTGATTTCTAAGTTATTTTAGGCATACGTCGAGTGGGCCCGTGAAATGGGTGCTCTTTGGCTGGAAAAGAATCTGGCGACGTTTCTGAAGCATACTATCGACTTCGCTGCAAGATCCGGACCCTTGGCTTATACTTCGTAAGATTTATACATCCAGAACACAAAAACGATTTTAGTAATTCAACACAGCTCATCGAAGCCATTCAATTGAAGCGCTGTGTTTTGTTTCTTCTGCGTGAAACGTTTCGTACCACCTTCGCTCCAGCATTTCCTTCTAGGTGGGCCGGATGCTGTCAGAAAACATCCAGCTGACTGTTTGCAAGGTGCTTGGCGATCTGATCGGGAAGTATTTTGGAAGTCCAGGTAGATACAAAATTGCCTAGCAGAGCAACATCTTCATTTGCTAGAAATTGACGCGACTGTCGAACAAACGATGACCGCAGATGATTATTCGTCCTGCGTTGCGATTGAAGTAGCACTGCTGGAGACCAGTGTGCTGGTCCGGCAGATCAGTACCCAAGTGACACCGCTGTTCGTCGAGGCTTCTGGTATTTTGTATACCACGTGTTTGTATTTGGTCTAGGGATCATGGAGCCGATCTTTGGCTGCCTGTTGCATCCACTACGTCCGGCGAGAATTGCGGCAGCTTGGTGTCTGCGCTGCGTGACGTTAGCCGTTCCATCTCAGCTTACGCCTCTTATTGATCGCTGTATAAACCGGTGCGTAGCAAAAAGTTACAAGAATCCCAATATCGATTTGATTAAGAATGTGATGTTTCAGATTGGAGCACCTTCGCGGCTATGCGGATGCGCTTTCTGGCTATTCGTTGGCCCTTGCTGCTCTGATTGCGGGCAGCTCGAATTGCAACCTTGGGATTCCTAATGGGAAATATTCACAGGTATTACCTTCCTCTCCTCACTAAAACCGGTGTTTAGGTTCTGAATTTGGCCGAGGAATGTTGCGGACGGGTTCCCAACAAAGGCGGTTGACCGTTGCCAAGATTGAAGCGGGATGGGCCCTCCTCCACTCGTTAATAACGCTTGGCCCAAACATTGTCTAACCCTACATGTCTCGGATTGTGGCGTTGTGGAAGGCCGCGTTCCCCCCGAAGCGTAAAGGAGGCAGAAGCCGAGAAATTACGGTAATTCGCAAATATAAGTTTGCAAACTTCGCTTGAGTGGCGACGCCTTTCCTTGGCAATGCACCTTGGAATCCCGTGCGGGCGCCTGGTTGGCAATGTATGATGTATGTCATGAATCCCAAGGTTAAAATTGTTTCTAGGTCGTTCGACATCCTGAACTTGTTGAGGAATATGAAACGAAGACGGGCTTTTTCTTGCCAATTGTAACGTCGTTGATCGTGATGTCAAGGTATCTTGGCGAACACTTCTCAATTAGGCTTTCTTAGCGTCGGATTTTTGGTGAAAACTATGGCGTCCGGATGCGGCCGCTCGTCGGCGATTGAGAGTGCGTCTCTACACACTGACCAGCCTGCTCAACCCAAATGCTACGAGAGTATGTCGTTATTCCAATCCCAATACTGATTGTTTAGCAAAGAATCTTACGCTCTAGCAACGATTTTCTCGCTTCAAGTGCTGGAGAAGGCGCTCATGGAACGCTAGTCGTAAAAGAGGTCCGTGATGAAGAAAAGGATGAAGACGAAGATGACGTTGGCCGGACCAAAGGCCATTCCTATGGGAAAAGGAAAGCGATGCCGCGCTGGTCAACAAGAGTTTTTGTCACCCAGGTGAGTACCACACGGATAGCTTACAACACGCATTTTCCAACGAGATCTAAAAGATTTTTTTAGATTGTACAACGGCTGATGTCGGTTTGCGATTCGCTCTGCCCAGGATCTTCTTGAGGTCTTCTTACACGCGGTTAGTCGACACGTTGTTTACTTCCCCGGACCAGTTTTTAGGTACGATGTTGGCAAGAAGTACGTAAAGAAGCGGCGGCCAACTCTCTAGGCGATAACTACGACAAAGAGGCATAATAAAAAGGTAGCTTTTATTTAGAAATATTGTTCAGGTATCGTTTCGCTATGGCTAAGGGGACTTGCGGCGAGACGAGCCCGGAGAAGCGAAGATGGAGAAGGCCTAAAGCCTTTTAGGGTCCTTTTCGCCACTTTTTAGTGGCGTTGCTAGCTGATGATGAACGGCTGCAAGGGTGCGCTTTATCTACTTTTCGAAACATATCCTATTTTAGGCGTCAAGATCACTGCGGCATGAAGGGCGACTTCAAGAAGTTTTCCTCATCTTCTGGTTGTGTTTTAATAGCGGTTAGTGGGCACTAAATATACTTCTCCGCAATTTTAGGTATCAATTCGGGCGATGTCGGCACGACCGCGGTCACTGGTTATGCCCGTGGGCAGTCTAGCAGAGGCCATTTATACTTACCGTAACCCTTTTTTCAGGCCTCAGCTCCGGATCCGCGGCTTCTATCGCTACGCCCCCATCGCCACCACTAATACGGTATTTGTTTTCCAATTTGTCCGAACAAGTTCTTTTAGGCGAAAGTGCGAATCGATTGATTGACCGCCCGGCCTACCAAAACCCCCAAACTACTCAAAATTGTATTTTTATTGGCTGCTCTTTTTTTGTGGTGAAATAAATATTTTTTTCGCCCTATCTGTGTTCAATGATCCGAGAAAATTCAGCTGTCGCTAGTCCAGCTCTAGATATCTTTTCACAGCCACGGAATTCTTTGATTTAATTCATCCGCGGATGGCAAAAGCTTTTCTTGGCTCCGGGTTAACGTGTGCTTTTAAGTAATAGCGATATGAGTGCGCCGCCCCCTACGACTCCTCAAAAGCTGTTCGATCAGCACGTGAAGATTGTCGAGTCGTCGGTAATTTTTGAACTCTGGGACTGGACTGTGTGTGGAGGGGGGAGACATTTCAGTTTTGCGCCTATTTTAAGCGGTTAGCTGCCGCTTATACCTAAAATGCTGGAAAAATGGTTTGGATTTCGTGGTTAGGTCGTACTAAATTATGGGAAAAAGTGTCCTCCCCCCGCTAACAGTCCCGCACCGCCCTTTTTGCCGCTTTTCGACTTACATTTGAGGATTCCATCTTTTTAGGAGAACGATTCGGGCAACCCCACGAAGGCCAATCCCCAGTTCCCGGAAGCTCTCCCGAAGGTCGAAACCGGCTGTGTCTACGTAATGTTTTACCTTACTTATTTACAAAATGGTATTAGTTAGTATGGCTCCAAAATTTGAAAAGCCCCGAAACCATTCAAGAGCCCATTCAGCTTCTCTTTTTGCAAAAACTTTCGAACGGCATCCACTGTAGTGTGTTGGTAACGTTCTCCCCGCCATGGGACTAAATTGGTACTAAATTATGGGAAAAAGTGTCCTCCCCCCTCTAACAGTCCCGCGCCGCCATTTTTGCCGCTTTTCGACTTACATTTAAGGATTTCGTCTTTTTAGATGAAAAAATCGGCCACCGACACCCAGGCGAAGCTGTTCGCACTCCTGAAGGGCGGCAACGACACGAAGGCCAAACCGCAGCTGCCGCTAAAAATGGTATTAATTAAATTCGCTACAATATTTGGCACCCGCGGAACCATTCAAGAGCCCATACGGCAGATATGTCAGTTTTATGCCAATTTTTTGCGTTCAACTGCTATTTAGACCTATAATATTATGTAAAATACTCGAACAATGGTTTATTTCGATGCAGGGTCATACTCTCGCTTCTAGGGTCGCTTTTCGTCTTATTTCTGAGGATTTCATCTTTTTAGGACAACGGCACGGCTGCCACCACCACCCAGGCCAAGGCAGCGAAGAAGATCCGCTACGAGACGCTGCGCCGGCAGCCCGGCTTCCGTCAGAAAGTCGCACAACAGAAGATCTTGTACGGCTCTGATTCGGTTCGTTTAATCCCTTATAACCCTCAAGCTTTTTGCGACCAACGAAACGAAATCGGTCTTTACATTACACGTCTTTGGTGCTTTCATTCCTCTACATTTTGCTACGTATTTTGCATAGTTTTTTCGTTTAATTTTTTAACTAGGGCGGATAGTAAAATTTGCACCATAACCGATAGCATTTGAAAAGTGCCTTTTGTGACTGGGAAGTACCTGCTAGTAATAGATAGTGTATGCTTATAATGTTTGAACGTAGGGGATTATTGGGGAAATTGCCTTCTCCCCGCTAGCAGTCCATAAACGCACTTTTTGCAGGAAGGAGAGCCCTCTGGCAAATCGGTCATCCGCACTGGAGCGGCCGCCACCGCCGATACCCAAAGCACCCGTGCAGCCGTGGACGATGAGGTGATTTCCATTATGATTTTTTAAACGCGAAATTTTTTCGCCTCGGCGCTCTTTTTATGGATTTTCATTGAATTTTTATGCCACGCCGCTGTTGTTTTGCCGCGCCCGTGCCAAACTCTATACTGATTTGGGGAATCGCAGATAGGGGTATTGGAAGTTGCTGATTTCTAACATTCCGGCTGTCTAAGTAACGTATATCACCCGGGTTCGACCTCAGCCGTCAAATATAGCCAATAAAAAACAGCTTTGAAGGTTGTTTTTGAAATGAGAAATTTCAGGGTACCAGCACCACCCCTCCGTACGAGCCGCTGCAACAAGTCGTCGAGACGATGGACCATTTGGTAATTGCCTTTATCGATTCATTTATGAGGGTATGATTGAATAACGGGTGGCCTCACTAGATTTTTTGTAGCGTAGCGGTGCCGTGGCACCCACAGCATCCGGGTTCGAGCCCCGCCGTGGCAATTTTTTTTACTTTTTTTTGGGTTGATGGTGCCAATGTGCCATTAAAACAGCTTTGAAGGGTGCTTTTGAAATGAGGAATTTTCAGATTTGCACCACGCCGAAGATTGACGAGACGGTCGTGGGCGAGACGCCGAAGAACTACCACGAGGAGCCGATGCAGCAGGCCACCGTGATCAAGGAATTGGTAATTGTCTTTACCTATTCATTTATGAGGGTATCATTAAACATATAACGGGTGGTATTAAAATAATTTATATTTTTTTTTGCTTTTTCGGCTGAATAGTGGCAAGGAGCCCAGAAAAACATCGTTGAAGGGTGCTTTTTTAAGGGATAGCGCAAGCAGCAATTTAGGGTTACGTCGATTCCTGGAATTTCGCAAGGATTTAGCACTCGGGACTCCAAAAAGGCCCTTTTCCGCCCAAAACATAGCCTGAGGGATGCGCCTGCGCGCCGAGAATCCTCTCATTACTGCGCTAATTTGCTGTTAAGGGCGGTTTGGCGCGCAAATCCAGCCAAATGTGGTAAAGTTCGGGGAATCCAATTCACGTGTATTACTGCTTGCGCTATCCCTTTAAATGAGGAAATTGCAGACGTGCTTCACCCCGCCGACGAGCTACTCTCTCAACGTCAGTCTCAACCACGGGACTAACGTCGAACGCGTCGTCTCTCTGCAAGTAATCTTTTACCTTTCTTATTTAAAAATAACAATATTTAAATTAGCCCCTTAAAAATTTTGCCGCTTTTCGACTTACATTTGAGGATTTCATCTTTTTAGGAGGACGATTTGGGCAACGACACGAAGGCCAAGCCCGTTCTCCCGTCCGTTATCCTCTACAATTCGGACGGCACGGTTCATGTACGTGTAATGTTTTACCTTCCTTATTTAAAAAATGGTATTAGTTAAATTCGCTCCAAAATTTGGCACCTCCCGAAACCATTCAAAGAAGCAAAAACTTTCGAACGGCATCCCGGCATCCGTATTGTGTTCGTAACGTTCTCCCCGCCTATCCACATGACCCGGGTTCGACCCCGGCTCGCGTCAACCTTGTTTGCTTTTTGATTTCTAGATTCTGGAAATGGCGATTTTTTAAAGGGGATTTTGACAAGTTTTTACAGTTTTTAGGTGGTGAATTTGAGCAGATAGTCCAATTAACCGGGGCGGGGTTTGACCGCTAGCATAATCTTAGGAGGTGAAAACCGTGGCTTCCGAGTATCTTTATAAGGTTTTTTCGAATTATTTCACTTTTTGAATTTATTGATGGAATTGCAGGATGAGCACCGGGATGAGCCCATGAGCATCTCTGAGTACACCGACCATCCGGCCACTCCGTTGTGCAAGAAGACGATGAACGAAGAGCCCGAGCCGTAGAAGAACGAAAACGAATCTCCGTGCTCTTTACAGTTAGATCCTAGTAGTTGTATCGCGTTTCTCACATGATAATTGTGATATTTCCGTTTAATTACTTACGATAATTTTCTTCAAGGGTGATAACCTCGGGTGTAATCATGGCATAAATACGTTTGTTTCAAAATATCGTTCTATTCTACAAATTTCGCGTTGAAACCCAGAAAAGGTATTTATACTTTGTGGCCTTTGGACTCTGAGCATTTTGCAGTCGACTTTGTACTTTGGCACGTGGACCTGGCGTGGACTAGTAGATTCGGGCCTTGCCTTTTCCGATCTGATCACCCGGGTTCGAGCCGCGACGCGGTGAACCTTTTGCTTTTTGATTTTTCGTTTTTGTATACCGATTTTAAGCATTCTAAAGCCAAAAAATGGTGCTAGGAAGTGGTAGTTGTGATGGGGTAGTGGGGCCGGGGGGTATCGCGAGATGTTTGTCTTCTATCATAATGCCTCTCTCTGCTTGTCTTTTTCTTTCCACCAATCCAGAAGGCCGATCGATCGATATCTAAAAAACATTAAAATAGAAACTATTTACCTTCGAAAAGCCCGATTCGTGACTTCTCCCTTCACCATATCGTGCATCGACGCAGCTTCTCGAGAGCAGCACCTTTCTTTGCGCGTTGTTCTTACAGGTCCCTTGATAGCGGCAATCGTATCAGCGCGTATTCGATGCTAAAATAAGTTTTCAAAAGCTAGCTACCTGAATAATCATCGATTCATCCTCATCTGATAACCGGCGTCGGCTTGAAATAAGCTGGTGCAGCTTGCCAGTGCCCACTTGTCGCTTTCGCAATCATGCATCGCCTCTTGGCCCTTCTCTTCTCGCGCAGGACCCAACTTTCATCCGATTTGATACCTAAAAATAATCGGCGGAGGAGTATCACGGAAACGACTAACCGCGAAACAGAATATATTAGCAAATTGAGAAGTCGGGCGGCGTCTTGTCCATCGGTTTCACCGACAGCCCTCCCGGTCTATAAAATGTCAATAGAAACGAAGTTATGGAAAGCATAAAATCTTCAATGTGGAGTTTTGGGCGCTATTGCTATCCCTATCGAAGATGCGAGATGAGAAGCGGATGAGAAACCGTACACGCTTGGATTCCTCCATTGTAAAAGCTCCATTCCTCCTTTGCACGCATCACAATACCTCGTTTTCGTCATAACAGCCGTCGATGATTCCTTGTACATCCTTCTTCATTCGGCCCAGATTTCCCGCGCGAATTCTCGCTTTCCGCCCTTGCCGTCAGCCATTGCTTCTTGCCATCTAGACGACATTTTCGCGCGACCTTCCTCCGAATCCCGTATCTGAAAAACATTGGCGGAGAAGTAGCTAAAAGTGCGACTAACCGCAATAAAACAAGCATTCGTAGCAACGTATTCGTATTTCGTGGGCATCGCAGTGTTGAGACTTTGGCCCAATTTCCGTCTCTTTTCCCTTGTCTACTCGCCCGTCATTCTCTTGTCGATGCGCGATGCCATTGTCTAGAAAATTGCTTTTACTACCAACCAATTGAACGGCGCAATATTTCCGTAGTGACGAAAGAGGCCGGCGGCTCGGTTCGGCAGAAGGGCTAGACTTCGACCAGTTGCCGCGCGACCTCGATCAGACCTGACTGTCTGTCAGAGCAGTCGTGTATTTCAATCTGAAGAAAGTTTTTTAATTCTAAACAACTTTTGGATGATCCTCCTGTCCGCCAGCTGCTTCGTAGCTTGGTCCTCCTAATGCCGAAGCGTTTCCATAAGATCGTCGATGATTGCATGCGCTTCGAGGATGAGCAGCACGTTTTCTCTCATGTATTTTGATTCTAAAAGCATTTTCAATACTAATTACCTTCACAAGGTCAGGTTCTTCTTCTTCTGCTGGATCTTTTAGCTCTTGCTTCATCGTGTCGCGTGTCGTGCTTCCCCATACAGCCCTTGTCAAGCCCGGTTTATGATTGGCCCCATCAGCATCCGCTTCTTATCTAAAAATATGCCGGGGAAGAAACCGCGTTCAACGACTAACCGCGACACAGCTGTGAAGGTGGCGGAAGATCTTTCGATCATCGTTCGACCACCTTGAGAAAGCGGGCGGCGGCTATCTTGGCAGAAGGGCGAAGTCATCACATCGAGCAGCAAGATCATCAGCCGGCTTCGGTCTGCCATTTTCTCCTAGGTGTCTTGATTCTAAAAACATTTCCAAAATACTAAATACCTTCACAAGATCGCGTCCTTCTTCTTCTGCTGGTTCCTTGAGCTCTTGATCCAAAGTGTCGCATGTCTTGCTTGCCCAGCTTCCAGTCCGGTCGATGATTGGCCCATCAGCATCCGCTCGCGTATCTAAAAAAAATGCCGGGGAAGAACATCGTTCAATGACTAACCGCGCAACAGCCATGAAGGTGGTGAAAGACCTGACGATAATCGTACTGCCATACTTGACAATGTCTAAAAATAAGTTTGTAGCCCCCCCTTTTTTTTTACTCGCCCTTGCTGTTACAGGGCTGTAAAGTTTACCAAACTTTTCGCCTTGTTCTGTGGATTGAGAATACTGTATTGACTCAAAAAATAAGCGGAAGTTCAAGAATTTTAGGAGGAACGCCAGAATCTCGGGTGAGCAGAGTTTAACCCTGCGCTAACTAAATAAATCCGATCGCTCAAGCATAGCCCCGTGTAAGAATGGCTTTAGAATCGATTCCGAAAAGGTGGTATTTCCCTCCAAATTGAATACTGCCCGAACAACCTCGCGTCGAGCAGCCATCAGTCGATCCGGGCCCGTCCTAGCTCGAGTCGGTCGCACGGCACGCAGAGGAAGCAGAATAAGAAGAAAATGAAGCCTTGTGCAGCTCAAGAATCCCTTTTATATCTACCGGAAGCTCATGCAAAATCCATGCAAATTCCCTAATTTCAAAGTGGCTAATTTACTTTGTCTCATCGGGGCTTATGCTGCTAACAAGCTTTAGATTTCGCTCGCCGAGGTTCGAGGGGTTATCAAATCCTTACCTCTTATTATTCAATCAATCACATTGCCGCTTCGCAAATTTTCCCAAGCGTTTTCTAAACTAGCCGTCTGCCTCTACCATTTCAAAGATTTCATTCCCATTTCAAAGAAAGGTTGTTTACGAGCGTTTGCTAATACGGCCAATTCGGTTCTTCGTATTCTTATTCTATTTATCCGTGTTCCCTCAAATACCTTTTTCAAATTGAATTTACTTTATTCTATGGTTTAGGCCGCCCCGCTACGCTCATCCCTTCGTTCCGACAAACGGGAGCGCAATTCGGCTCCCAGGACCGTTACTCTCTCCAGGTTTTAGCTTCAATCTAGGTTTTTATGTCTTTTTCTAGAAGTCGAACGACGTCTGATACAAACAGAACACCGGAACGCGTTGGAACGAATCTCTGCCCGAAAATCACGAATTTGGATAAATTTTGGGACGCACAGGTTTTATCAAAACTTGGTTGCGAAAAATCTTGTTTTTCTAGGAAAAGCTGCGCGAAAGCATGTCGTCAGGATCTCAACCAGGGATCCCAAAATCGGTCTCTGATTCTAGTAAGGATTGAAATTCTTTTCCTATCCATTTCCTTTAGATAGTTTTGTCAAGGAACCTTCACTGATCCAATCCATCGAAAATCCTTTTCACACAATCGTGATATTGGCCAATACCGAGGAATTGGACGTCGGGATTGAGGTTTTTCGAAACCAAACTTTAAAACTCGCCTTATTTTTAGATTACTGCTCGGTTGATGCTCGTCGAGAGACACCATCGTCGGCTTTTCCCAGCACAAAGGTTATTTGCTTTGGTTAAATTTTTTTAGATTGATCCTGACGGTTGAATTGGGCAAAGATGAACGAATACGAACGGGGGGTGAGATTGTTGCTGTCGATGAACATCCTGCGAATGGGGTGAGCAAAATAGAGTTGTAATAAATGTTTTCTTGTCTTCAGTTAACTCTTCGAAAGCTCGTACTCTGCTTTACGAGCTCCGAACTGGCCCCGCGCCCACGTCAACACTTCCAATGATATCAAGGTATAACAATAACCTTCTATTGTAATTTTGTAATCTTAGGAGTACTCGTTCGACATTCCGTTGAATGATACTGGCTCTGCCGGGCTTGGCCTTTCACTGAAAGCTCGTGTCTCGATCAAGGATGACGGGTCTCGGCGCGATTGTGGAATTTTTATCAAAAAAGTAACTTTTCCTTCTAAATTCTTCAATTTGTCATTAGTTACTGGTCGGAGGAGCCGCGTGGAAAGATGGACGATTGTTGGTTGATGATCAGCTGAGATCGATTGAAGTATGAGATTGATTCTCTGCCTTTAATTTGGAATTTTAGGACATTGATCTTCGAAAATTCGAAAAGAACGCTGATGCCAGTGAAGCAGTGACAAAGGAATTGAAAAGGATTGGGCATACGACGAGTCATGTTCGGTAAAGAGTTTATTATAACTCGTACTGAAATTTGTCTTTTTAGATTGCGAGTGTTGCGACAAATCGTCGTCCTCTCGTCGGATGTTTCTTCTGATGGCTCAACTCGCGTTACGGTAGACGGCCCAGATTCTACCATTCTCATCGGCGGCCCATCCACGCCTCAAAGCGGCTTCTTTTCAATCAACAATGTAGTTCAACGATTTAAACGAGCAAAATTGTGTTTAGTATCACGAAAGAGACGCCAGCTACGCGAGCACATCTACACGGCGGAGCGAGGTGGAAGAAGATCTGCAGCCTGATGCTGGGGCGTTCGATAGAGAGGCTCCTGGGCGGAAGACGATTGATCCGATCAATTCTACGACATATCAGAAGATCAAGCATCAACGGCAAACTAAAGGTGAGTTGAAAAAGCTTATGTTGAAACGTTGGGACTTATTTCTGGGTCTACGTTTGCGCTTTGGATGCCTATTTTCGGCTATTAGCAAATTTGGGATGATTCCCAAGGTAGTATTTGCTAAGTAACTTTCTGCAGAATAAGCATGAAGTTGAATGAGCTATTGATACAACGAAATTAGCCATCTAAGGTATTAGAACATATTTGGTAGGCAAAATGAGATGGATAGGTTTCATAAACTTGTTTTTATATACTTTTACAACAACCGTGCGAATCATGCAACATTTGCTAACTTCCCTATTTTCCTGCTTTAGCCCCAACATCTTCGGCTTCTCGATCGTTCCGCCAGAATCGATCAGCTTCGACAAGAGCAGCAGCAAAAGCCCGTTCCGTATCTGTACATCCAAGACCGACAACATCCACTGATGGCGAAAGATCAGACACCAATCCTCCTCGAGATCCGGCTATTGATTATCTTGATGTTGGCCCTGGTGCGCTTTTGCTTTTGTTTTTCTCTGATTTTTATTTAGTTCAGCTTCATCTAAATTATTGAAGTAAATAAACTTTAAAATTTCGATCTTTAGGTGCCACGACTGCCCGCCGACGCTCGAAAAGTGTTGACGCGAATCTGGCCACGTCTCAAATGCGCCCTGATGATCCACAAGCCCCACAAATGCTGCCCACGTCGTTGTCGACCGGCTTCAAGAACCCTTCCTTCAAACATGCCGTCGCTGGAGAAATTGGCCCGTCACAGGATCTATCACCCGTCATTGCTCAACGATTTGGAGCGGCACGAACATCGGATAAACAGCAGAGAAGGAAAAGCATCGGCAGGTATGTGGCATCATTTCTATATAGATCTAATATTTCCTTTTTTAGTACGATTCTTGGCGCAACCAGGACAAGATTACGAGACTGTACTCACAAGCACTCCGCTAAATCGTCGAGATTTGCGCTGGGACGCGGTACAATCGGAATCCGGTATTTGCTGAGGTAAAATTTTTATAGTGTTTTCTTTTGTTGATTTTGTAATTATGATCTTGGTTGAGGGAGCTATTGTAGCGCCAGGAGAACTTAGGAGTTAGATTAGAAGTTAAATCTTACCGATCTCAATTGCTTTTGCACATCTCAAAGCTGGAAATGCATTTTCGAGTCCGCTAGGCACCAAATTACGACATTCGGAATATGGAATTCGCTTTTTCTAGAAAAACTCTAATTTGGAAGAAAAGAATGATATTTTCTAGGTATCAACATTTCATCGAACGCTGATGACGCTCTGCCGAGGATCTTCTTGATGTCTTCTTACACGCGGTTAGTCGACACTTTGTTTACTTCCCCGGATCAGTGTTTTAGGCACGAGTTTGGCAAGACGGACGTAAAGAAGCGGCGGCCAACTCTCTAGGCGATAACTACGACAAAGAGGCCTAATAAAAAGGTAGCTTTTATTTAGAAATATTGTTTAGGTATCGTTTCGCTATGGCTAAGAGGACTTGCGGCGAGACGAGCCCGGAGAAGCGAAGAAGGAGAAGGCCTAAAACCTTTTAGGGTCCTTTTCGCCACTTTTTAGTGGCGTTGCTAGCTGATGATGAACGGCTGCAAGGGTGCGCTTTATCTACTTTTCGAAACATATCCTATTTTAGGCGTCAAGATCACTGCGGCATGAAGGGCGACTTCAAGAAGTTTTCCTCATCTTCTGGCTGTGTTTTAATAGCGGTTAGTGGGCACTAAATATACTTCTCCGCAATTTTAGGTATCAATTCGGGCGATGTCGGCACGACCGCGGTCACTGGTTATGCCCGTGGCCAGTCTAGCAGAGGCCATTTATACTTACCGTAACCCTTTTTTTCAGGCCTCAGCTCCGGATCCGCGGCTTCTATCGCTACGCCCCCATCGCCACCACTAATACGGTATTTGTTTTCCAATTTGTCCGAACAAGTTCTTTTAGACGAAAGTGCGAATCGATTGATTGACCGCCCGGCCTACCCAAACCCCCAAACTACTCAAAATTGTATTTTTATTGGCTGCTCTTTTTTTTGTGGTGAAATAAATATTTTTTTTCGCCCTATCTGTGTTCAATGATCCGAGAAAATTCAGCTGTCGCTAGTCCAGCTCTAGATATCTTTTCACAGCCACGGAATTCTTTGATTTAATTCATCCGCGGATGGCAAAAGCTTTTCTTGGCTCCGGGTTAACGTGTGCTTTTAAGTAATAGCGATATGAGTGCGCCGCCCCCTACGACTCCTCAAAAGCTGTTCGATCAGCACGTGAAGATTGTCGAGTCGTCGGTAATTTTTGAACTCTGGGACTGGACTGTGTGTGGAGGGGGGAGACATTTCAGTTTTGCGCCTATTTTAAGCGGTTAGCTGCCGCTTATACCTAAAATGCTGGAAAATGGTTGTTGTTTTCGTTGTTGGGTCGTACTAAATTGTGGGAAAAAGTGCCCTCCCCCGCTAACAGTCCCGCTCCGCCCTTTTCTGCCGCTTTTCGACTTACATTTAAGGATTCCATCTTTTTAGGAGAACGATTCGGGCAACCCCACGAAGGCCAATCCCCAGTTCCCGGAAGCTCTCCCGAAGGTCGAAACCGGCTGTGTCTACGTAATGTTTTACCTTACTTATTTACAAAATGGTATTAGTTAGTATGGCTCCAAAATTTGAAAAGCCCCGAAACCATTCAAGAGCCCATTCAGCTTCTCTTTTTGCAAAAACTTTCGAACGGCAGCCACTGTAGTGTGTTGGTAACGTTCTCCCCGCCTATCCACATGACCCGGGTTCGACCCCGGCTCGCGTCAACCTTGTTTGCTTTTTGATTTCTAGATTCTGGAAATGGAGATTTTTTAAAGGGGATTTTGACAAGTTTTTACAGTTTTTAGGTGGTGAATTTGAGCAGATAGTCCAATTAACCGGGGCGGGGTTTGACCGCTAGCATAATCTTAGGAGGTGAAAACCGTGGCTTCCGAGTCTCTTTATAAGGTTTTTTCGAATTATTTCACTTTTTGAATTTATTGATGGAATTGCAGGATGAGCACCGGGATGAGCCCATGAGCATCTCTGAGTACACCGACCATCCGGCCACTCCGTTGTGCAAGAAGACGATGAACGAAGAGCCCGAGCCGTAGAAGAACGAAAACGAATCTCCGTGCTCTTTACAGTTAGATCCTAGTAGTTGTATCGCGTTTCTCACATGATAATTGTGATATTTCTGGTTAATTACTTACGATAAAGACTTTCGTTTAAAAAATATCGTTCTATTCTACAAATTTCGCGTTGAAACGCAGTAAAGGTATTTATACTTTGTGGCCTTTGGACTCTGAGCATTTTGCGGTAGACTTTGTACTTTGGCACGGCACCCTGGCGTGGACTAGTAGATTCGGGCCTTGCCTTTTCCGATCTGATCACCCGGGTTCGAGCCCCGACGCGATGAACTTTTTGCTTTTTGCTTTTTAGGCAGCAGAAAAGCGCTTTGGGTTTGTAATAACTGAACTGGGGCCTCTGGTGCATTGGCAAGGCGCCAGTTTTCAGCCAGAGGACCCTGGTTCGATCGCGGCGCCGTCAACCACTTTGCGTTTTTGGTTTTTTGAGTAGCGGGAAGGGTTTTTGACTTGCTACTAACTTAGCTTGGATATTTGGTACGTTGGCAAGACGTCGGCTCTCACCTAAGAGGCCCGGGTTCGAGCCCTGGCGCGGTAAACGTTCTGTTTTTTTTGATTTTTCGTTTTTGTATACCAATTTTAAGCATTCTAAAGCCAAAAAATGGTGCTAGGAGGTGGTGTTTGTGATTGGGGTAGTGGGGGGTGTCGCGAGATGTTTGTCTTCTATCAGAATGCTTCTATCTGCCTGTCTTTTGCTTTCCACCAATCCAGACGGCAGCTCGCCCCTCCCCTCCGCTCCCCAAAATTCAAATGCAAACACCTCCTCCTTCTTCTTTTCCTTCTTTTTTTCTTTTTCTGTTGGGTCCTTAGCCTTCTAATACCCACCCCACCCACCCTCCGCTTTTCCACCGCCCGATTTTTCCAGCTTTCTGACACGTAATTCTTGCTTCCGGCCTTGAAATGCATGGATTAAATCACCCTACACTTCCGTTACCAGCTAGTTTACACCAAAAAGCATTTATCGTTTTAAAGATGTTTTTGTTAGAACTTTTAGGCGAATTTTTCGAGAGTCTGGCTGGCCATCAGCTGCCGTCCCCGTTTTCTAGCCTGTCTTCTGAATTATTTTGGGTTCATTCCTTTCGTAGTTCTTGTATTTTTAACCCCGCAAAGTTTTAGAGATTTTTCTAAGTCCTAGAACATGCCACACTTGATTAAGAATTGACTTGGAGGATTTTGTGATATTATTAGCTAAAGATTTCTAAGTAAAATGTTAGCGCAGTTTTAGGGTACTATTTGTTGAGGGTATTGTAGAAGTCGGGCTAACAGCTTCAGTGCCCCCCTTGCCAACGTCCCTCCCTTTGTAATCCTCACTTGAAGTCGACCGGCAGTCCCTAATCAAATACACCAACAGTCGCTGTCTCTCTCTCTCTCTCTCTCGCTCTCTCTCTCTCTCTCTCTCTCTCTCTCTCTCGCCTACCCATTCAAACAGAGAAAATTTGACGGCCCTGGCAATCACTGGAGGCCAAGACAGTCCGGACCCACCGAAAAACTACAACCCTCTTTACAACCTCACATCTCAAAAAAGGCTAAAATTGCCTATTTACCCTATTTTTAATGATATTTTTTTCAGTATACTGATTGCTGCAGCAAATTCCATTTCTATACAATTCTCGTGATTTTTTAGCGCCGAGTTTACGCTTTTTGCAGATGGTGGAACAGACAGACGGCCGAGCGTCGGCGACGAGTCGCCACTTCCGGTCAGAAGAGCAGCGAAGCTCAGGTATATAGTTTATAGATTGTTGTAAAGTTTGTAGTTTGTAGTCCAGTTTTTTGTCTAGAATTCGCTCGCTAAAAAACTGTAAATTTACACGTCATAGTAGTAAGTCGTAGCAGTAGTACGATATAAACTCTAGGTTTTAAACGGATATAGCCTATGGACTGCAAATCGTACTACAGGCTACAAATTCTTCAATTTTGCAGGAAAATGCGCTACTGACTCCGTTAATAACCGTTCTACAGGCTCCAAATTCTGTGCTTCAAAGCTACTATGCTATAATTTACATGCTTTGGCAATGTAAAACCTAGTAAACTACCAAATTTTCGATAAGCTTTAGTTTTATTGTGGATTCCCTTATATCTATCGTTTAAAATCGAAAACTGAAGACTACAGACTACAAACTGCGTCAAACTCTAATTTCTCCGCTTTCCAGGTGCTCGCCACGAGTCGAACCGCGTCGAAAGTTCGCGATCGGAGCGAGTCGTCGTCGAGGGCGGTCGAAGGTTTTGTGAAAATAGCTTTATAAAACTGCTTTTCTTTTAGAAGACGAAACAGTGAGGGCAGCGAGACGGCGCGCATCGATTTCGTCGATGATGATCGGACGGTACTTCTTTTATTCTTAGAAATCGTTACAAGCTAAGTTACCGAAAAACCGTTCGAAACTTTCAAAATTTAGTTTCTGGAGCTAGTTTTGTACTTTTTATTGCTGTAGTTGTGTAAATTCGCTCTCGATCTAACAGCATTCACAAATAAATTCGTAAAATATAGCTTAGTTTTAGAAAAATTTCTTAAAAATGGATAGGTAGTGTCAGTATGAGCTCGGAATTTCAAATTAAAGTGTTTTTATCTATTTTTTTTTGCTAGTTCCCCTAGATTTCGCCTCAGTTTCTGATTTTGAAAGGGATAAAGTGTAGAAAAAAACCTAAATCCCGAAAATGCGCCCAAAAAGGGCCGTACCCCCACCGGAAATCGGGACCTATTCGGGGCCCAATTCTCACCATTCCCATATTTGTTCAGTGATCTGGTCTGTCTGTCTGTGGACTGGTCCATTTCCCTATATTCCCCTCCTCCTCTGCTCTCTGAATTCTATTCGTACCCCCTCCCTTACCCTTCTCCACTCATATTCCGTTTCCATCCACTTTACGCGTCGGCCGCCGCCCTTTTATGGGTTGCTAACCCCTTTAAAAGCTGTATTTCTACTTTTGGCGATTCCTCTATAATGTCCCACCGCGAAGAACTATACGAAATTATTATTGAGGAAATCGATGAGGTGTGTTTATTGATTTTTCTGAAATTTTGGTACGACGCGCTCCTATCGACTCTGGATACTGTATGATGTTTCTTTTTGCGCTAACGGCTTTACTTCCACTCCGATAAGCTTAGTCTCAATTATGAAAAGTAGGAAATATCGTAGCGTTGAAATTGGAACTTTTGGTTTTTCGAATTTTAGAGTACCCTATGCTCCTATGGACCCGGATTACGGTAGTGCCCGAATTATTGTGCTAAAAACTGAATTGTCAGTGGGTTGCTCTAATATGAAATTTAAGAAATTGCAGGAAACACTGCAACCCTAAAATTGGGAAAAGCAGTTTTTGAAATTTTGCAATACCCCAGGCCGCTAACTCCAAGGATTACTGTAGCGTCCTGATTTCTGCACGGAAAGCGGAATTTTCATTTATTTAATCTGCAATGAAATTCAGCCGTTTGTAGGAAACGCCGCCGCCAAAAAAATGTGAAATTTGGATGGGACGGAATTTCCGGGGATTTTTTACGCAGGGCTCCTATCGGCAAGGACTACTGTAGCGCGCTAATTTTGCGCAGAAAAAGACGGAAGTGCCAGTCTGTTAATCTCCATTAAATTAAGAAAATTGTAGAAAACACTGTAACCCTAAAATTCCAAAATTTTTGAATTTTCAGTACCTCGAGCTCCTATGGACAGGGATTACTGTAAGGCCGAAATTTTTGTGCTAAAAGCTGAATTCCGCGTTTGTTAAGCTCGAGCTAAAGCTAGACTCTGGTCATGTTCCACTAAAAATGAATTTTTCTCCGAGGTCAAGCTAGTAGTCTTGGTGTTGGTGGGCCATTGTTGGCAGCCGCGAGAAAGAGAGAAGGGCAAGCAAAGAAAGGCAAACCCTAGCTGTCCCTTCTTGCCTTTCTTTTCTTCCTTCCCCCCCTCCGGCCATCTCCTCATCATATCGATCCAAGGCCACCAACCAACCAACCAAAACCCCTCTTATACGTCCAGCTACAAACGCCCCCAAAAAATGCCCCCAGGGCACCAATCTGTTGACTTTACGATTTTAGAGCCAGACGGGTTGAAATTTTTGGGGTTTAGGAATTTTCTGAGCTTTTCCTGTAGGCCAATGTATCTAATTTAGTTGTTTTAAATTTTTAAAGCAGTATTTTCACGATTCGATAATGCTTTGGGCGCGATTGGCGTTTGACTTTGCGATTTTGGTGCCGGCTAACGCTCTTTTTTGCAATTTAGAAGTTCCCTAGCCCGTTCCGGTACGCCAATATACCTATTTTCGTTATTTTCGGCTTTTAAGAACTAATTATTATCCAAAAAGGCGAATATAAAGATTTTCAGGCTGGAATTTACGATTTTGGTGCCAGCTGAGCTCTGTTTTTTGGATTTATCAAAATTCTCTCCCCGAATTTTTCGATGCCGTTCACTAATTGCTACTCCATTGCATTGAATTTGATTAGTTGAGTTCCTAGAAACTGATTACGTTTAAAAAAACTCGAATACAACGACTTTGCGCGTTGATTTTACGAATTTGGTGCCAGATGGGTTGTATTTTTTACCGTTAGGAATTTCCTGATTCCGAATTTGCGATCCTAATTTTATTCTGTACCTCAGTAGGCCTAATTCCGTTATTTTCGCTTAGCAAATTATCGTAAACCAGGGTTGAAAAACCGCTTCGCGGCTTTTCAACCCTGGCCCCGTCTAGGATCGATGAAGTTATTGACTTTGCATAATTCTTGCCGAAAACCGCTCACCGAAAATTAAAAGGGCGCCCTATCTTCCTTTTTATAAACCATTTCCACTTCCGGTGTATGCTAATTGCTTCCTAACAAAGAAGTTGGCCGAAAACTTTACAAAAACCTAATTTTAATATCGAAAATAGCAATTTTTCAAAACTTTTATGTGTGTGCAGTCGATTCCGGGCCCTTCTTTACCCTATGACGTTTCCTCCTTACCGAAAAAATGCTTCCCTGAGGCTGTAGGTGCGGAACATCCAAACGGAAGTGCATGCAAATATACACACACACACACACAGACACTATTTTTTTATACATAGTAGGATATTGAGTTTACAGCAGATCGATCTCTTCACTTTGCGATTTTGGTGCCAGCTGATTTGTAATTTTTGACTTTTAAAAAACTCCGGCTCGGTTTTTTTACCTCGACTCTTATTCTGTGCGCCAGAAAACCTAATTACGCTCTTTTGACTTTTTAATTTTATTTACTATATCAATTCACTTGAAAAACGAACGTTTTATCTGGATTGTAGGGACAATTCCTTCTTTTTAGAAATTTTCTAGCGCCGATCTTTCGATGCCATTCGTTTTCGCTATACGCTGTACGGATCCATTCGTTTTGCTGTCCGTCAATATACCCAATTACGTTATCTACGTTTTTCTAAAACGGTTTCCGGCCGAAAAAAACTACCTCTTTCTCTTCACCGGCAGCTGGCTGGTAATTCCTTTCGACAAACTAATTCCCCTGGCGGCCCGTTTTTCCCCGATTTCCACTCCCGGCTGATTTATCCAATGGGAATGCATCGTTGGCGCGTGGAATTTGTACGAATTCGGAATTTCTTGGCCGTATTTTTGAGATTTTACTGTGGTAATCGGTTAGCTGAAGCGAGCGTACTTTTCCCAAGATTTAATTTTTTTGCGCTTTTGAATAAATATTAGCTAGTCATTTTCTGCTATTTTATGTTATTTTTACGCTTTGTATTTACAATTAAACAATTAGTCATTTAATAGAAACCCCGAAAAATGCCTGTCGTTTTTTGGCTGCCAACCCCACCCACCACCATTTGATTGTTTGTGTAGATGAGATGGGAGGGGAACAGACGCAAATAGAAATAGTTGCTCTCTCTCTCTCTCTCTCTCTCTCTTTCTCTCTCTCTCTCTCGTTCTCTCGCTTTTTTGTGTGAGAAAGTGGATTTTAAAAGTAGCCAAATACTTTAGTTGCTCTCTATCTCACTCTGTCTCTCTCTAGCTCTCTCGCACTCTGGCGCTCTTTTATGAAAAAAATGTTTTGTAATTTTTGCAAGTCTATAAAACATCTTTTCAACCATTTTCTTAACTTTTTCCTTCTGTCTACCAGCGCTTCTCCTCGTAAATTGGTTTCGGAATTCCGGGGGCCCGGGCGGAATGTTTCCCGTCCTCTCAATCGAATTTGGGCCTAGTCCACTTTTTATTTTGGGGGCCTTTTGGTTAGTCTGGCTTTCGTGGTGTAGAAATATTAAATTTATGTTGAAAAATGGGATCTCACCGGGGACACCTTTTTAGAAGTGAAAAGTGTGCAGAAATTTTGAAAAATCAACCTTTATAATTTTTCCGTCTAAATAGGGCCTCAAATTCCTAATTACTCAATACAGAAAAGATACATTTCAAGCTAAACCACAAACAGGCCGGCATACTGTAGTTTTGGAGGCCAAAAATTTCGAGAAATTTTCCAAAAAAAATAGCTTTTTCAAAATTCCATGGAAAAAAAATAGCCGTAGTACTGTATTTTAGAGCTAAAAAATGTATAGAAATCTGGAAAACTAATTTATTAAAACTTTTTTCTTAATAACCAAACCCTCAAATCTTTGGCCATTCCCGCCCAACTCGGAGTTAATACAAAAAGAGACGGTTGAGAGTAAAGAGAAAGCTAGGTTGTGTGCCAATCCACCAAAAGAGACGACCCTTTTCCCCAGGCTTTTCCTTAGGCTTTTGGTTGGTAGGGGGTGGGTGGGGGGTCCCAGGTTGAGAGCTTTGAGGGGGGCGAGGCTCTCGAAATCTGCTCCCCCCTCCCCCCGCCATCCCCCCTCCTCGCGCCAATTCCCGCTTTTTCTTTTTCCATTCCATTCCATTCCAACTGACACATTACCCGTCCATCTCCCCGATTCGGCGGGGCGTTCCGCTACGTTCTGTGGCTAATTACGCTTTGTTTGTGGCGTTAAGAATATAGAAAAATTTGGTTTTGGGCCTCCAGGCTGTTAGCTTACAAAAAATTCACGTTTAGATTCCTCTGCTTTAGCTGAATTCTTCTAAATAAAAATGATCCGCCCTCAACTTGGGTCGTCGATTCCGTTCCGAGCCTAATTATGCTTTGTTTGGAGCTTTGAAAAGTATTCTAAAGTTGTTTTTGAGGTTAACGGCTCCCAATTTTTACAGCTTACATTTTATATTCCGGATTTTTAACCCTGATTGGTCTAAATAAAAATAATCCGCCCTTAATTCGGGTCTTTGATGCCGTTCCACGCCTAATTACGCTTTGTCTGAACTTTAAAAAATATAGAAAAATTTATTCTAGCAGTGCTGACTGCTATTTTGTAAACTACAGGCTTTCTCCTTCATCCTCACCCAAAATCGCTGTACTAAAAAAGGAGCGCCAAATTACAGGCTCGACTACGTTCCGCGCCTCATTACGGGGCGTTTGAAGACGTAAAAATATGCTAAAACTATTCTTGACCCGACTGGCTGCTGCAAAATAAATTTTATGACCTTTAATTTTAGCTAAGTAAATCTAAAAACACTTTTTAGATGTTTTTGCGCAGCTAATTTGAAGATTTCTGATTTCAATAGCTCCTTAAAAACCATGATAAAATTCCGAATGCCCTTCTAGGTTTATTCCTAGTCAATTTAAACAATTTAACTTTCTAGACCTTTAAAATCGATTAACATTATTCATTTCAGCACGAAGAATCATACGAACGCTCCCGCCAACATCACCAACGGGCGGGACGGTACGTAGACAAATTTCTAATTGCCATTTCTGACGTTTTTCAGGGAAGATCACTACGGGTTTCGTGGTGAAGACGAGTACGTCACCCACGCAACACGATACGGAAACCAGCATCAGAACAGTAGGTCCCGCAGCGAAAACATGGCCGTCGACTACTCGAATCAGGACTTTCGACAGTCGTTCGCGGCCATTGATGCGGCAGCGCGTGAAGGTAGGCAACTATGATAGAAAAACTTCAAAAGGACCCAAAAACGGGATTTAGAACGTGAAAAACCTTTGGGCACCCAAAATCTTTTCAACCCGTTTTGGGCCAAATTTGACGATTAAAAATAGAAAGCGTAAAATTTACTGAAGATTTCGAAAATAACCACTAAACTTGAAAATTTCCCGCGTTTTCACGCAGAAATGAGGCTAAAAAGCTTCGCGCGCTGTCGAAATTCCCAGCAGTCAGCGTCAAAATCAAGTTTTCAGCCGCTTCTCGCCCAATTTTGATGATTAAAAAGTATAGCGATATTAAAGAGGTAAAAAAAAACTATAAAATGTAACAATCGAGTGAAGGAACGAAATTATAAAGTTTTCCCCGGGAAATCGAGCAAAAAAATACAATTTTTTTTTTCTCGTTCACGCTCCCGCGGCCGCGCTCGAATTTTCCCAGAACTGTTTGCCAACTTCTAGCCGCCTTTAAATGCATTAAAGCTAATCAATTAATCATATAAACGAGCCGATTTTCAGGAGCACTATCGCGAGAAGGTGTTCGTGTCCGACAACAGGGCGAAACCACCGTCGTCACTGAGCACCGCGATCCCTACTCCTTCTATTGGCAGCTCGATAAGGTTGGTTTTGCCTTCGAAAACTCTAGAAATCAATATGCCTCTAAATAGAAATCAAAAAGTAGCAAAAAAAAAATCGATATTCCGAGAATTTCTGTTAAGTTTGCCGAAAAAACCAAAGCGCCGAAGAGGTTTGCAAAATTTGCGCCCAAGCGGGCAAGGCCGCGCTCTAGCTAAATTTTTCCGATTTTGATCTCAGATTCGTTAGAAATAGCTGGTTTCAAGTTATTAGATGTTTTTAATACTTTAGAACGATCTGGGCGCTCCCGAAAAGTCGATTCTCATTTCTGGCCATGTCGAGGAGTTCGAATTAGTGTCATCTGAAAGTAGTTCTCGCCTTCTCTCTCTCTCTCTCTCTCTCTCTCTCTCTCTCGCTCGCTCGCTTTCTCGCCAGAAGCCCTCTACAAATAGAACCATTATGTGCGAAAAGCAGGTCCCGCGTCCCCCTCGTCGCAAATATTGATAACTTCTCTTGGGGCCCTGAGCAAACCCGAAAAACGCCTCCCATTGAATGCTTGAGCTTCTGGATATTTGCCAAGAAAAGCTGAGCAAAAAAGCTGAAGAAAATAAACATTAAAATAAGTAGAAAATCGATTTACTAGCTACGATTTTCCAGGCTCGTCGAGAAAGCGAATCTCCCCCACGCCTGCCACCACATGCCGATTATGTCATAGATGAGGAAGAGGTAAATTGAAGCCCGTCTTCTAAAATTGGATTATCTAGATTCGGCCTCACGAGACGGTGCCCAGCCCTGAATTGCATGATGCAGGTGAGAAATTTAATTTTGTAAACTGAAAAATTTATATTTTTAATTTGATTTGACAAATTAATTTATTTTTCTAGAAATTTTACCTCCCGTCATGGTGGAAAGCCAATACAGTCGACCGGTCAGGATACCTGAGCCAGAACAGGCTCGCCCACTTCCGGCCGGCTGGGAAAAGCATGAAGGTATTTTATATCTATTTTTCTAGATTTGTATGCAGTTTTATGCCTATTTATAGCTTATTTTAAATAATAAAGTACAGAACTTAATTCCAGACCCGTCCGGCTACTCCTACTATTGGCACGTCGACAGCGGCACAATCCAACGAGAACCACCGGTACGTACAAAATTTTCTGCCTCGTAATTTGACGTCCCCGTACTGCTCGCCGCCATCCCCACGTGTCTATCACCATTCACACCTTTTGGTTTACAGCACGAGTGTTTTGTGGTTTTTATAAGGCAAAAAAATGATACCTAGTGCTTCAAAAGCGAATTTAAAATTTGTAGTTTTGACTTGAAAAACCCTTGGAGGGCGGGAATTTTCCAAAATTCCGCGATCGGGCGCCCTGCCCTTCCTAGGCGCGCTCCATTCCTCTCTCCGGGTCATATATCTAGCGCAGTCGCTAAAGCGTTGGCCTCTGAATCTTGAGATCGAGGGTTCGAGCCGTGGCGTCGTTTTCGGTTTTGCTTTTTGCCTAAAAAACATTTTTAGACATTCCTTAGCCTTTTGTAGTATTTTATTTTACCTTAAAACGCTTGTTTATACCTCCACAGGGTGCTGAACTCTCAATCCAAGAGGCTAGGGTTCGATCCATGTCCCATTTTTCGTTTTGCTTTTTGGCGAAAACTAGTTTAAAGCTTATTAAAGTTACTTGGGATTAGTGGTACCCGAATTTACCGAAAAAATCTGGCCTGTTTGTGCGTTTTCCCAACGTCTCTCGAGTGGTGGTTTGTTCAGCGTGTTTCCCGTCGTCCGTCCCCACCCCCTCCAGCCCCTCCACCACCACCCATCGAACGGCCACCCATTTATGTAAGTAGCCACTGCCTTCGGCGATTTGCATGATTTTTCTAAAAGATTTGGCATTCTCCAATTAGCACTTGTCCACATTCACAAACCCCCAAAAATTGCTAAAAATTGCTTTAAAATCGCGTTAAAATCGTTTTTTCAGTCGAAGGGCGTCCAGGTCGACACGCCAAGCCCGCCGCCGCAGGTATCATTTTTAATAAGCAAAAGAAAGTTAATCTAGATTATTCAACTCCCGCCACAACAACCCGTGATCGAAGAACACGCCTTCAAGCAGACGACCACAAAGAGAAGAGTTGAGAGGGACGAGGAGAGCGATGGAGAACAAGAAATTGGACAACAACAGCAGGCGATTGGCAGGGGAAAGGTTGGTACTTGGAAATTGTCCTGAAATCGGCTATATTTACGAATTTATGAAGCCAAATTTCAAAAAGCTAAAAAATTGGGGCTCGAGGTCGAATCGAGTTGTTTTGGCGAGGATCAAGAGCGTTGGCACTGCGCTATCAGGGTCAATATGCTAGCTGGCATCGAATTTACAGTATCCTAAAGTTATTTAGTTGAAAACCTAGGCAAAAAAGCAGAAAAATCGATCCTGGGATCGAACTCGGCTCGTTTAGGCGAGGATCCGGAGCGTTAGCACTAGGCTAGGAGTATCAATCTGCTATCAGGCAGCCATTCCTCAATATTCTATACCCTTCTTAGGAAAAATGGCTTCAATTCGAAAAAAGCAAAAAAATCGGGCCCGGGGAATCGAACCCTGGTCTCGTGGGCGGTCACAGGCGGCTTGCCACTAGGCTACAAGTGAAAATCTGCTACCAGGCATCCATTCTATAATATCCGAGCGTTTTGAAACCAAAAAAATTGTAGACATTTTGCAAAAGCAGGAAAATTTCAGCCTGGGGTCGTCCCCGGGTCGTTCGGATGACAACCTAGCGGCTTACACCAGACTAAAAGTGCCAATCTGCTGTCTAGCGTCCAATCTAAATCATTCTAGCTTTTTCAAGCTCAAAATTTGGGTAAATCGAAACGTCGAACCTAAAATTTTCTGGGTACCATAATTCTAAGTCCCCCCATCCGCTGCCTTTTCGGGTTGTCCATAAAGACTCGGTGCCATCCCCCCTCCTTCCTCCCCATTTTGTTTGGCCACCCCGAAAAGGGGCTTTTCCCCCTCAAAAACTGCTGTTCTCAAATCCCAAACTGACAAACGACCGCCAGAAAAAAGCGGTGCTTCTCCTCCTCCACCCCGGCCGGAAGCCATTGATCCTGCCGCCCACACTCGCCGTGTTGGGTAGATTCCCCTTGGAACCTATCTACGAAAAAAGAACGAAAAATGCTTTCCTCGTCCTCACCGCCAAATAATACTAGCTATACAACAAGCTGTCATTCCCCATATTTACCACCACTACCAATTAGAACCGGTCTCTCAAGGTCCACTTCCCGAACGGCTTTTGATGAATTTCACGATTCTACGACTAATTTCGAGGGCCTATTGCTGTATATACAATCTGCGCTAATGGTGCTGTAGTTTTAAACCATCGAAAGACTAAAAATCTAAACAAAATCGGTAAAAATAGGTTTCGAAAGTTTCTAAAAATTCTTTTGCAAATCGGGTTCTATAGATTTATAGAGTACCCTAATCGGGGTAGTGTAGTTCTTCTAAATTGTAAGTTTGATGCCAGAATAGAGCAGAAAACATCTAAAATCGACCGAAATAACGAAAAATTCGAAAGTTTCGAAAAACCCGTAGGAATAGGCCGCAAAATTTTTAACAAGAAGCTAATGGGATTACTGCAGTTTTGTAAGGTGATAATGGGATGCTGGAATAGCGTTTAAAACATCTCAAATCGAAAAAGGAAATTGCAAAAGTTGGGCAGAAAATTCCGAAAGAGGCCTAAAACCGGGTGCTAAAAGTAAAATGGCGTACTTTGTTGGTGTAGTGTCCAAACTTCGAAAGAACTGTTAGAATAGCGATCAAAAATTTATAAAGCTCCTAGCTACATTACACACCCCTTTACAGCCGATCCGTTTTGCCGTTCGCTCGCTCGGATGGACCGAAATTCAAGAAGAAGAGCTGACCGCCGAGAGGTAGTCCTATAAATTGCCACTCATTTTAAATTCTAGAAGCTCCCGGGCCGTGAATCGAGCAATTGTCGATCTATCGAGTGGCCGAAAGGATGTCCTCGATAATGTCAGCAAATGGGGAGACGTAAGAAAAACATAAAAAACTAGAATCCGCTAAAAATTCAGGGCAAGGAGTTGATCATGGAATTGGACGATCAAGAATTGTCGCTAATCGACCCGGATTCGATGCAGGTCATCCATTCCGAGAGAATTCAACAAATCCGCGTCTGGGGAGTCGGAAGGGATAACGGGAGGTAAGTAACAAACCTAATTTCCTGAATAATACTCCAAAACCAAAAATAATCACAATTTTTTTGCACATCTTCAGGGATCGGTAAGTTGTATGTCGTACTGTAGCTTTAGCTTACTGTAGTTAACTAGGTTATACGGTACTTATCGAGAAATTTAGGGATTTCGCCTACGTTGCGCGCGACCGTGGCTCGAGGCGTTTCCTGTGCCACGTTTTCCGATGCGATACTCCCGCCAAAACTATTGCCAACACGCTACGGTAAGTTCAAAATAGTAGTAACTACGTAGAAGGTTACAATTTACCGAAAAAAAAATCGAGTCTAAAGACGCGTGGAGGATTTAGCGTACGAAAGTGTAGTGTAACGTACTAAAATCCCCCGATTTCAGCGACATCTGCAAAAGGTTGATGCTCAACAGGAGGCCGAGCTCGCTGCACGCTATTGAAGCACCGGAAAGGAGGGTTGTAAGAAGTAAGAATTTCCAAAAACTAGGAAAATCGAGATATCGAAGAGATTGAAAAATCAATATCTCTGAATTTCTAAAATCGCGCTAAAGTCAATATTTCTAGGCGAATTGACTACACCAATCGAAGAGCCCCGAAAAATCATTCGATGCCATTTCCTGGGCGTTACGCAAGTGCCCCGGGCCACTGGAATCGATATCCTGAACGAGGCAGTCGACCGGCTAGTTTCTCAGGTAGGAAAAAGTGGCTAAAATAAATCAATAATCCACAACCTTACAGGTTCGCCCCGAGCGCTGGATTCTAGCCGATGTGGCCATCGCCCCGTCGAGCATTTCGATCAACGAGGTGAACGGGAATCAAATTGCTCAGTGCCGGGTGCGGTATTTGTCGTTCCTCGGAATCGGGAGGGACGTAAAGTGAGTTCAAAGTCTTTAAAAAAGCTAATTGTAGTCAGAAAATCCACTAGAAACTTTAGAAAAACCCTAACAATAAACCAAGTCAAACAAAAATAAAAAATTTCGACATTGTGCTTTCATCGTGCACACCTCCGTAAACCTATATATAGTTAAAAGCTCTAAATTACAGTAATCTAAGTCATTAAAACACAAGAAAACCCCTAGAAATAACCCAAGTCGAACAAATATAAAACATTCAGACATTGCGCCTTCATCATGCACACCTCCTCCGAAAACTACATGTGCTACGTGTTCCACGTCGAGCCCAGCGCCGCCATTATGGCAAAAACGATTGAGGCAGCCTGCAAATTACGCTATCAAAAGGTATCTAAAATCAAGAATACAAAAATATCATTCTCTACCTAGGTTCTCGATGCCCATTCGGGTCGAATCTCGTCTCAACAAGCCCTCCCAATGCCAACAGGTCCACAATCAACCGAACTCAGCTTCTCCCCCCTCACATCCCCGCATGAACCATCTTCTAAGGTCCCAAACAATATCACACTACGCACTTACATTTCATTTATTCTGCACTGAAAACGGCACTTTCTATCGGGACCTATTTGGTTGGAATTGTTTTTGGGATTTATGTTCGGGAAAAGGATTTTAGTTTCAAAGTTGGTAGTTTCAAAAGGTACATCATTCCAATACGCGTCTTTTGGCCAAAAGAAAAGTTTTGCCGAGCCTAGGATCCGAGCACTGGTCGTAAAATTGGTAGACCTAGCTCACTACCACTAAACCAACTCTCTCAATTCGCAGTTTTCGTAAATTCGTTGTAAAATGTCAAAAACCTCTGGGCTTTCAAAACTCCACTAATATGGAAAACGCGATTAACATCACGTGTATAACAAAACCCAAGTTTTAACCTTACTGGAAGTTCCAGGGATGGAGTGATTCGCTACGAAATGCGTGGAGCGGCGTCTCACAACTCATCGGACCCTATCGACATGCCTAAAACTACTATACAAAACCCCTAAAAATCGCCAATTTCTGTAAAAACTGTTCACCCCATCGTACTCCTCGTTAGCAGTACAGCCCCGTAAAAATTGCATAAATTCCATGCAGGCTAGCCTCTTCCCCCAGTCTCGATTTGTTTTCCCCCATTTTCCCCGCGCGAATCTTGTCTCTATGGTGCCTTAAAATAGATTTCTAAATTGATATTGATAGCCAAAGAATGGAGAATATGTGCAATACATAGCAACGATGCTTCACGAAAAACGCTTGCTCGCCTAAGAAACGTTTACTTCACTTTATCCTGATTGTGATTTTGGCCCGCCATTTTTGGACAGAGTTTACGCCCCCGGCTTTTCGAAAGATAAAGGCATTTTTGAGATGTTTTCTGGAGAACAAAAAAGCGAAAGAGGGAGAAGCTTGGGCTGAGGAAACATGTGGTCCCGAAAATATTCACGAGTTGCCCCTAGCAGCAAAAATACGGGGATTCTAGGAGGGAAGCCACTCAGAGTACGCTAAAATACTACCAGAAATGTTTTTCTGGATTTTCTATATTCTAGTAAGCGTTTGGAATCTATCGACGGCTTGGCAAATTGTGCAAAATCCGAATCGTACGCTCGGCGGGAATCTAGATTTTCAACTACCAGCCTATACTGTAGATTGGGGAGAGACGGCTGATACCATTGACAATAGATTTCAGGTCTAAATCTAGAAACTACAGATAAGGATTACTTTAGGCTTATAAAGCTTGGGAAAAACAATCGCTAGCCGACCTAACAAGCCAAGGAAATGATTCGATCCCACAAATTCGGCAGTCACTTTTCTGCTATCCAGGTTTAACAACTCTCATAAAAATTTGAGGAGAATTTAGGGCCATCTCCATTCCTTGACAAAAACGCGACAGCAGAAGACCTAGGCGCTATTCCGGAATGTTCTAAATTCATCGAAATAAGTGGGAAAACGCTAAACGAAACTGGAGAATTCCTAGAAGTGCTGCCAAGCAACGAGGTGAAACCTTAAGAAAGGTATCAAAAAAATTCTAGGCGCTCCGCCAAGTCCTTTCCAACAATGCTTCATCAGTCATCGAAATGCTGATGCTACAAAAGACTCGGATCGTCAATTTACTAAAATACTATCCGGAATTTAAGTAAGCCGGGTGCAAAAATACGTAGAATTTTTCTAGATCCAAAATCCTATCTCCTCTACTTTCTAAGATCAACGCATTGCTGATAGCAGCGGAAAACTGGCGTGGCATTGATGGAGATCTCTGGGTATTCTAAAAAACTTCAGGATCAAGAACCCGTGAAAATCTAGGCGCCCGCAAATTCGACAATATTGCCCTGGGGTGGCCTTGGGAATAATATGACTCTACCACCGCTAAATGGTACCAAAAACTGGCAGGTAAGGCTGTACTAGCAAGCTAAACCTAAATTCAAGAATTCCACTCGCAATAATCTCCGCAAAATCCTGGAAAATGCGCTGGGGACGAATTTCACGGATGCGCAATGGGTAAGTGATCCTAAAAAATCAGTTCTAACAATATTCTTCTAGCAAAATATTTCCGGCCTGCTTAACGGTGGCTTCAGAAAGGGCGGAAATCAGACGACTACCCAGAAACAACTCGAAAAGGTTGGTGTGCTACTAGAAAAACTAAAACAGCTAATTTAGCTCGTTTCCGGCGGGAAGATCGGGGATTTGAAGCGGATATTCGGGGGCGGCGATATAATGCAGAATCTGAAGGAGGCGCTAGGAGTACAAGCGCAGGTAGGAACTAAAAGATGAAAGAAATATAAGCGAAATTGCCAGGCAAACGGGAATCAAATGGGTGGGCTTGTCGAGCAGGCATTAGAGGCGTTCAAGAAGCTACAAAATGGCACGGTCGGGCAGGTATATTTCTAGGAGCTATAAGACTCAACAAAATTCCCCCTAGGCGACGGCAGCAACTACAAATACACAAAACATAGCGAGCGGTGCGATGAATTCTCTGTTCGGCGGAATGCAGCAATGGCTTTCACAACTTCAAGGATAGTGAAATCAGTTGTAAATAACTGCAATAAACTCTGCAACCATGTCGTGTGACTAAAACCGTAATTTTTATTCCCTCAAAGCTCCGGGACTTTTAGAAATCAAAATTGGTCAAATGGCAAGCCATCAGAAGGCACAATCCAAGTAGGGGATACCAGTAGGAGAGAAGCGGTATTCGATAAAGTTAATTTTCGAAAGAGAATAGTTTTTGCTAAAAGGAGGACCAGTATGCCAGAATCATCAGAGGGAAGAGGAGGAAACGTAGCGCTAAGTGAGTGATAAACTTGTTCGCAACGTGAGAAAGTGATAAAGAGAAAATCGCAGATACAGGGGGGGAGTGCATGGAACAGTGAGGAACAGATGAGGATCACAAGCAGTTGTCATGCTCAAGCAATAAATAGGCAATATTTAAAAAGCGAGAAAGACAAGGGCACTTTTTGGTTTTGATATTTCGTAGTCGTAGATCGTCGATGCATTGAACAGTAGTGGAAGCAGTGAATTGAGGGAGGGCGGGCTAGAGCCGAGACGATACCCGCGGGCTTGTTCTCTAAAAAAATAAAAATAGCTTTAAAAACGGGGAATAAAGCTTACCAGCGGATCCTTATGTAAAAGTGTGGCCGAGAGGTAGGAGGGGTTTCGTTGCGCTGTGGCCGCTGATGGTGGGGGTGGCGCTTCACGATGAATCGGAATTGAACGCCATGTTGGAGGGAAAGCTGAAACAAATAAAAATAGATATGTCCAAATATTTGTTTTTATTTGTTTTTGAAATCCTGAAATTCGTCTTAATTAAAACGATGAGCCTTTTAATACAGTTTTGCTAAAGAGTTCATTTAAGCTACATTTCAAGCAAAACTATTCCAAAACTCCTCAAAAAATTTTGAAAATGTCGATATTTTACTCAAAAACCGCCCTTTTAGACAGAAAAATCCATATTTTTCATATTTTATAGATAAATAATAAAAGTAAGTTACCATTTAACGGAGCATCCACGTATTCCGACTGAACGGCTCGGCGTTGCTGGCGCTTCTTGGCGCGCAGCGAGAGGCGTTGCTGGGGGTTGTTAGAAATGGGAGAACCAGCTGTCCGGGGCTCTTGCTGGCTGTGCCTGAGACGGACGAAACTGTCCAGCGAAATACGGGGCGTCTAAAAAAAAAGAAAAATAGATTTTTTGTAAACCAAATTCATACCTGAATAAATTGGCTGTCCTGAAGGCGGCGGGAGGGGGAAGACGTGGGGTTGTTGTTGATGATGTTGTGCTGTGGCGGGGTCGATTGGTGCTGCGAAATCGGTCGTGGCATAGGGGGACGCCCGGGACCAAGATGCCTGAAAAAACAAACAGAATTATTATATCTATTAAAAATAAAGCGTGAAAATACCTGGTTGGGGAATGCAGAATGACGTTGGAAGTCGTGATTTGCGGCGCGGACGGCTGGCGGTTGATTGAGCGGAGCACGCGTTCGGGCGTTGGGTTTAGGAGAAGCGGGTGGGCGCATCCCTCCAACGAAAGCGGCCTGAAAAAACGGAGGTTGGCATAGAAATATATGCTTTGCTATTTTGGAAGTTAGGACTAAATCTGACGCTTCCTAAACGCTCTAAAGGGCCCGGCAAGACAGGGCTCGGATTTTGACACGTCCGCCGTACGCAATCGATTTCCGCACGCATGCGGCGCGCTACGCATACGCCCGGATTTCCCGTGCGTAGCCAAACGTATCCAAGCCAGGCGCGTTGCGCAGAGCGGCGATGAAATCTCTTCATTAGGACACACATTTGACACTGACGCATTTAAAGGGACGGGCACGGCTCGGCTGCTGAATTTGTGACGCACGCGACACGTAACGCACACTTCGGGCGTTTCCTAGCACATCCTCCAGCCAAAAACAGCATGATAGCCACGCAGTGCGTGCGTTACGTGCCGCGCGCGTACCAAAACTTTCAGTACCACCAAATGTCAAATTTTTGCTCACCTGGACACTTGGTCTTGCTCCAAACGCTCCTCCGCCCGAGTACGCGAACCATGCGTTGAATGCGTCATAGTAGGTGGGTGCCGGCGGTCGATTGCTCGGTGGTGGTGCTGGTTGTCGTTCGCCGCGTCTTGATGGTGCTTCTGATCCCATCGCGGGCTGTTGTGCGGCGTGTTGTGCGCGTGAATAATTCCCCCGGCCGTCTCCCTGGTAGGCGTACGAACTAAAAAGTAGGAAATCAAAAATATCGATACTTTTTGATACCTGGAAACTGCGTAATAAGGTGGTGGGGATGGGCGTTTGGCGTAGTTTCCTTTGGCGGTGTCCGGGACCCCACTCCAGCGATTCGTTTGTTGTGTGGTGGGGGAGGTGGCGCCATAGTCCTGAAAATTACAACATATTATATTTTAATTTAGTACTCACTTTGGTAAACGAAATAAATGAAATTTAGTCGTTACCTGAGAGAGATATGGGCGCCAGCGATGTTGCTCATAGTTGTCGGCAATTTGCTCGGGGTAGCTGGGGCCGGGCCGTTGGCGGTGGTCGAATCTCTAAAATCGCAGAATATAACTTTTCCCTAGTTTTAAAAATCCAAAAAAGGTAAGAAAAAAGCAAGCAGAACATGCACAACATGCAAAAAGCGGGGGAGAATCTGGCGGGGAAGATTTCAATCCGATTTCCAAGGCTGCTGATACCTAGCATGCATATAGAACGTCGAGTTGGCCACTTTGAAGCCAGACTTCGTCGGAGAGGTTATTGTTTGGGGCTGCAAATTATTAGTCGAGCACTACAGACATCAGAAATTAGTATAATGAGGCAACTAAGTGATATTACAAAATATTATAAAACTGAGAATCGTTACAACCGTCACCTCAACCAAATTAGTAGTTACAAGCAAACAAGGAATCGCTCAGCATTTTACCTCAGCAAATACAGGATCGTATTCCGATTGCACTTTGTCCCGGCGGAAATCTCGTCGATTCAGCGGGGTGCTTGTGAGTACAGATTCGTAGTCCTGTCCTGGTTGAGCCAAGAAGTGAGGGTGCGCAGGTTCCTTCTCAGGAGATTGTTCCCGAGACCGAGCCCCGATCCGCAGCCAGCTTTTCATCGTACTAAAAAAGGAAATATTAGATCTATATAGAAATGATGCCACATACCTGCCGATGCTTTTCCTTCTCTGCTGTTTATCCGATGTTCGTGCCGCTCCAAATCGTTGAGCAATGACGGGAGAGAGGTCTTGCGAGGGTCCAATTTCACCAGCCACTGCATGTTTGAAGGAAGGGTTCTTGAAGCCGGTCGACAACGAGGTGGGCAGCATTTGTGGGGCTTGTGGGTCATCTGGGCGCATTTGAGAAGTGGCCAGATTCGCGTCAACACTTTTCGAGCGTCGACGGGCAGTCGTGGCACCTAAAGATCGACATTTTAAAGTTTATTTACTTCAATAATTTAGATGAAGCTGAACTAAATAAAAATCAGGGAAAAACAAAAGCAAAAGCGCACCAGGGCCAACATCAAGATAATCAATAGCCGGGTCTCGAGGAGGGTTCGTGTCTGTTCTTTCGCCATCAGTGGGTGCTGTCGGTCTTGGATGTACAGAAACAGAACGGGCTTTTGCTGCTGCTCTTGTCGAAGCTGATCGATTCTGGCGGAACGAACGAGAAGCCGAAGATGTTGGGGCTAAAGCAGGAAAATAGGGTCGTTAGCCAATGTTGCACGATTCGCACGGTTGCAATAACAAAGTTTTTGGAAACTGTTTAACTAAATTACCTATAAAGAACGTTCTGATCGTTTAGATTACTATATTAAAAATTAGTCTAACTTCTCTCGCTTGTTTACACTTCTCATATATAACTTATCTGTCTTATTATTATTTTACAAAGTTACTTAGCAAACATTCCCGTGCGAAAAGTCCCAAATTTGCTAATAGCCAAAATCAGGCATAAAAAGCGCAAAACTCATACACAGAAATGAATCCCAACGCCTCAACAGATGCTATTTCAACTCACCACTAGTTTGCCGTTGGTGCTTGATTTTCTGATACGTCGTAGAATTGATCGGATCAATCGTAGCGCCCATTCCTCTCTTCTCGCTCATCGACTAAACCATTTTGAGCATGAGTTTTGTGCTTGAGCTTTACCTTCCGCCCAGGAGCCTCCCGATCGAAAGCGCCTGCATCAGGCTGCAAGTCCTCCTCCACCTCGCTGCGCCGTGTTGATGTGCTCGCGTAGCTGGCGTCTCTTTCGTGATGCTAAACACGATTTTGATTGTTCAAAATCGTTGAACTACATTGTTGATTGAGAAAAAGCCGCTTTGAGGCGTGGATGGGCCGCCGATGAGAATGGTAGAATCTGGGCCGTCTATCGTAACGCGAGTCGAGCCATCAGAAGAAACATCCGACGAGAGGACGACGATTTGTCGCAACACTCGCAATCTAAAAAGACAAATTTCAGTACGAGTTATAATAAACTCTTTACCGAACATGACTCGTCGTATGCCCAATCCTTTTCAATTCCTTTGTCACCGCTTCGCTGGCATCAGCGTTCTTTTCGAACTTTCGAAGATCAATGTCCTAAAATTTCAATACAAAAAAAATAAAAAACGCCGTTTTACTTCAATCGAAATCAGCTGATCATCAACCAAAAGTCGCCCGTCTTTCCACGCCGCGCCTCCAACCAGTAACTGAGAACATAATTGAAGTATTCGAAAACTAAAGTTACTTTTTTGATGAAAATTCCACAATCGCGCCGAGACCCGTCATCCTTGATCGAGACACGAGCTTTCAGTGAAAGACCAAGCCCGGCAGACCCAGTATCATTCAGCGGAATGTCGAACGAATACTCCTAAGATCATAAAATTACAGTCACAGGTATTTTTTTACCTTGATATCATTGGAAGTGTTGACTAGTCGGGCTTTGTGAATCGATCTCGGTGCTGGTGGTGTTCCTTCTTCTTTCTTTTCGTCGATTTCCGCTTCTTTTTCAGCAACTTCTATCGCTGCAGTGCTTGTCGATGCCGGGGGTTGATTTTCGTCGTTCGTTTCCGCCAACTAAAAAGCGTAATTTGCAGTTTATTGTGAGAACTTACTCTAGAGATTTCCAAAGTGACGCTTTCGCCAACAGGCGTTTCCTTCAATCTGCGAACAATATCCGCTTGTTGAAGTTCAACCGTAGGCACGCCATTAACCTTAAAATCGTTAAATACTAGCTGCAAATCGTTGAGCAGACCTTGATCAGCCTATCACCAGAGCGTAATTGGCCAAAAGCCGGGCCATCCGGTTTCACATTCCCGATATAACACAATCGTTCTCCTTTTGTCGTTTCTCGGCCGGTGACCGTCAAGCCGAAACCGTTTGGCTCTAAAAATAGAGGTTTTTAACGAGGGATTGTGCCTACTTCGGACAATAGTGATGGTGAATGTTTGGCCGACAGCTTGACTATTGGCTTGTTGAAGGGCAGAGAGTGCCATCTTCTTTTGGGAAATCACCTTCGCTTCGGCCCTAAAAATTCTCTTTATAATACTGGTAAAGCGGCGAAACTTACTCATGAAACGATTGAATCGTCCGATCAATCGTCAATGTGGGCGCGGGGCGAGTTCGGAGCTCGTAAAGAAGAGCACGAGCTTTCAGAAGGGTTAACTGAAGAGAAGAAAACATTTATTACAACTCTATTTTGCTCACCCCATTAGCAGAATGCCCATCAATAGCAACAATCATATCCCCAGTTCGTATTCGTCCATCTTTGCCCACTCGGCCATCAGAATCAATCTAAAAAATGAAAAATAAAAGCAAAAAGGCTGTTGAAAACCTTTGTGATTTGAAAAGCCGAAGAGGGAGTCGCTCGGGGAGTGTCAAATTCGTCGGTAATCTGGAAATAGGGCGAGTTTTAAAGTTTGGTTTCGAAAAACCTCAATCCCGACGTCCAATTCCTCGGTATTGGCCAATATCACGATTGTGTGGAAAGGATTTTCGATGGATTGGATGAGTGAAGGTTTCTTGACAAAACCATCTAAGAAAAAGATAAAATAAAACATTGGAACGCTTACTAGAATCAGAGACCGATCTTGGGATCCCTGGTTGAGATCCTGACGACATGCTATCACGCAGCTTTTCCTAGAAAAAAAAGATTTTTGGCAACCAAGTTTTGCTAAAACCTGGGCATCCCAAAATTTATCCGAAATTCGTGATTTTCGTGCAGAAATTCGTTCCAACGCGTTCCGGTGTTCTGTTTGTATGAGACGTCGTTCGACTTCTAGAAAAAAAGGCATCAAACGCTAGATCAAAGCTAAAACCTGGACTAAGCGTAACGGTCCTGGGGGCCGAATTGTGTTCCCGTTTGTCGGAACGAAGGGATGAGCGTAGCGGGGCAGCCTAAGCGATCGAATTAGGTAAATTGTATTCGAAAAATGTAGTACCTCCGCCATCAGTAACTCGTTCCCAAAATGGGCCTTGGTTTTAGAGCTCCGGACGTGAAGAGCTAGGAAATGAGTGTCAGAAACTTTATTGGAGAAATACTTGGTGTAGAGTCAAAGGCCTTGATCTCAACAAAAGCTTCTGACGAGGCGCTCGTGCTCGGAATGGCCGTCTTGTCACGAGTGTCTTAAAAAGAAATATAGAGCATGAATTCGGGATTCTTACCTGCTGGGTAGTAACTGCTGGATTCGGAGGGTATACTCGGATCGTCGTCACTGATCGCGAGCACCTAAGCAGTTTTCTATTTACTCGGGTCAAGCTTCCTGGGGGCACGCCTAGCTTTGGCAAATATCCGGAAGAGATGAAAAACACGGCTTTTTGAGGGCGGGCAAGCCGAATGGCTGAGCTGCCGTAAATCTTGGTTTAATTTGGGCACCTCCTCGGTCTCGTAATTTAGGACATCATCAACGATGTCGTCTGGGTCGAGGATACCGCCGTTTTCAAGCTCGAGTCGTTGGATGCGGGATGCCGACTAAAAATCGCAAATTACCCACCGTCACGAAATCCTTTGGAGGTCTCTGCATGGTTGTCATGGGAAATGGCCAACATATACCCCTGGAATTGATGAGCATGAAAAAGAAGGACAAGAAGATGAAGATTAAAGAGGGCGATTAGAAAATGGGAAAATGGGGGAAAAGCTGGAGATTAACGGAAGTTGATTTCGGGGGTGAAATGGAATGGATTTGGAAATGTGGGGGACCGGATGTGGCGGCTTTTACTGAAAAGACAACAGAGAAGTCGAGGGGAAGGGCAGGGCTATAAAATCAAAAGTTTGGAACTCATTTTTATAGCTTAATTCGAAAGGGATTATCTCTTCCATCAGTTTTCGATGACAAGGCTCAGCAAATAAATATTTCAGCGAAGAAAGCGATCAATCGAGAAAAAAAAATGCATTTTCCGTTTCTTTGTAAGCCAAATCTCTACAACAAAAAGTTTAGAGCTCATTTCGGCAGCGTAATTCGTAAACAACTAGATTCCTAAAAGCTATCGATTTCAAAAGCTTGCTAAATCCAAACTTTTAGCGAGAAAAAGCTCTGCATCTAGAAAACGAGGTTGTTTTATAGGATTTTTCGTCTAAAACAGCTCCAAACGAAGGCAGAAAAGCAAGAAAACGCGTTAGGAAACCGAGAGAAGCAAGAAAATGACAAGTTGACAAGACGTTTTGGCCAAATTTGGGGGCGAGTGATTCACCGCAGAGCAATTCAGCAGGCAACAAGTGATAGCAACTTCGATCGTTAGGTCACAAACGCAGAAAAAATGGACAAAATAAGCAAATTAGTGAACGCCTAGGCATCTTTGAGCTGCGAATAAAATGTCGTGTATGCCCGGGCGCTTATGTGGTGGTATTCGGGGGGTGTTGGTAGATTTTGGGCATGTTGGATGGTTGTGTGTGGGGGGTTGGGGCGGTGGAAAGGTGAAAGAATGAAAAGGATGATGGATGAGGGTTTAGAAGGAGGGGTTAGAGTGGGAAGCGAGAGAGATAGAGAGACAGAGAAAGCGGGAGAGAGAGTGAGTGTTCACTCGCGGCGGCCTGTGGGGGTGGTTGTCCCGTTCGCGCATCCATCTATCCAACCCGGCACAACCCCTCTTTTTGGTGCTAGCGATATAGGAGGAAGGAGACATGAAAAAATAGACAGATAAACAGTGATAAACAGCGCTTGTCTTTAGGTCTAGGCGATTAATCTATTCATCAATCATAAAGGTTTTTTCTGGGCGTCTGGCTTTTGATTTTCGCGAGTTTCTAACTTTTGTTAGGTAAATCTTTATCCGCCGATTTATCTAGATCATAATTATAAGCCTAAATAGCCAGCAATATCGTTCTAAGGCCGTTGCCAAGCGGAAATAAGAGTTTCACAGCATCTGATTGTCGATTTTCTGAAGTTCTAAATCTTTCTAGAGAAAGCGGAAACCGTGAATTTATCTAGATCATAATTTTGAACCTAAAAACTCGAAAATATTGTTCTAAATCCGTTGCACAGCGGAAATATGAGGGCAGCAAAACGGGGAGAAAGTGCAGCGAGTGGACACGAGGCCCTTATCAATGAGGAAAGGTAGAAGTCGATGCCAGGAACATTCCCCTAACACCCCGTATTAGCTTAGGGGCTAGTAAGCAAGGGCAGGGCCGGAAATGGTCTTTGCAAATCGATAGAACTACGTATAAATCCCACACTTTTTCGAAAACCTCGTAAATTACGAACTCGTCTAAAATCTCCAATTTTCGATAGGGGTGAGTAAATTTTATTAACTTAGGAGCTAGTAGAAGCGTTGTGAAGGCCTGAAATGCTATTTAAAATAGATAGCTCTCTCAGAAACCTCAAAGAACGATAGAAAATGCAAAAGAGAAATTCCACGAAAAATGCCGAAAATCTCATTTCACTACGTTTAAGAAAAATATGATTAGCTTAGCAGTAGAAGAAGCGGTGGGAGGGCCGGAAATGCGGTTCTAAAACATAGCTAACTTAGAAACCTCAAAAACCCATTTTTTGAAAAAAAGTAAAACCAGAAATCTGACTAAATCCCCAAATTTTAATAGGTCAATGATGAGCGCCGGAATCGAGGCCAAATCTGGCGCGCGTGGCAGTAAATCCAGCACACAGCAGCCCATTATTGCGTGCTCGGAACCGGAGGCCATGGGGGTGTTGAGCTAGGCAAAAACGGTGCAGGCGGCTGACCTTCCACACGAGGGACGCGAGGTCGCATATGCAAATTGGTTATTGACGGAACCCGGGTGGGTCCCATGCCCGGATGGGAACAAAAATTTTTCAGGGTGGTTGGGCGGCTTCAAATTTTGGGCGGGGGTCAGAAGAAAGATGCCAGCTGGCTGGAAAAGTCAAAGAAGAACGGTTCTTTTGCGTTATCGGGGGGGGGGTCCAGAGGATGGCGTTTTCGATATAAAAAGCAGACATGTTCCTAGACGTAAAAAATTTGCAAAAATTTGTTGAAAACGCAAAAATTGCGATTTTTCAGCGAAGCTTTCAAAATTTTAAAAAGTTCTTAAACAGTTTTTGCCGTTCAAAAATATGGCTAAACTTACTTTTAGCATGAAAAGATGTTTCTAAGCCGTTCCGAAATCCAAGAAAACCTCCCCCCTGATAATGCGAAAGCCCCGGAATAGCAGAAGAGCATAGAGGGTAAAGGCCGGCCATTTCCCACGTTGACAAACCATGACCTGCAAAAATCACCTAAAACTTAAAACCCACAATCCCTGTTGCTTTCTGGAAACGAAGAGACGCCGCGTCGATCAGTTCTTGAATTGTAGCACCGTCTCGATTCAACGGGACGACTATTCGGAGCCCTGGAAAACGAAATTAGAGCGTTAAAAATAGGCTTGAAGGGGAGAAGATGGATGTATTTGGGGGATGGCGGGGGTATGTGTAATATAACGTTTACCATCAATTCGAACGGTGACACGACGGGGCCGCATATCGGGGCAGCGCTCTGGCACCTCGCTGCGATCCCTGGAAGAAACAAATGTGTCATCGGCTGGTTGAGATGGGAACCAACACGAAAAGAGATGTGTGAAAAAGGGTAAGAAAAAGAGAAAGGAACACCAAAGATAAAGTGGGAACGATTTTGAAAAGTTAAAAAGGAAAAGCTTGGCTCTGGGTTTTTGAAAAGGCCAGAAAAAATAAAAAAATGGCTTTTTTGCGCAGACACGGCGTCAAGAAACCATAAAAGCAAAGAAGTTAACTCAGTGAGCGAATTGTTAACATGAAAAACGAAAGAAAAAAGGGTAAAGACCACCTAAAAGTCAAAATTTTGAAGCTTTTAAAAGAAAAAAGTTAACGTTGTGACTAAAAACAAGAAAAGCAGGGCTTTCGGCAGCAGTAATAGATTCAGGAAACTTTAAAAGCGAAGCACGAGCGTTAGAAAGGGATAGAATAGAAATACTAAAGCTAGAAAAGCAGAAGCTAACAACGCAGAGACATTTCTAGACTTCTAAAAGAAGAAATTGCGTAAATCTCAAAGTTTTTAACGATTTCCGACTCTTCTAAACAAAACAAAATGGGGAGCACGCACATGCTTCTAGAAGAAAACTAATGAAATCTCGAAAATCCCTACGTTTTAGCGCATTCCCAAGATCTAGAAACAAGCCTGAGGCTTTTGCATAGCGCCGGCTGCAGCTAGAACGCCCTCGATTGGCATGTGGAGCCGCTTTTCTAAACAAGCGCGTGATGGCTGGCGGCCTCTCGAAAAACTGTCGAGAGATCCACTCAACATAATCAACGTTGAGAAGCACTAAGAAGAAGCCTAAGAAGAAGGAAAGCCGCCGTTCGTTCGCAGATTGCGGTGGCCAAAAGCAAAAACAATGAGTGTCGGCGGATGGCTGATGGGAAGGGGTTGACTTTTGGGCGAATGGCAAAAGATGAAGCGCTGGGCGCGTGCCCTAGGAGTTCTAGTTTAGTTTACACTACTCGATAAAAGTAAGAATCGTTGAAAAAAAGTTATAAACACAGAAAAAGTAAAAAAAACTCGAGAGCTTTAAAAAACCCGAATCGGGTACCTCAAACTTGGGTAATTGAACCGAAAAGGGCGGAGCTTCGAGTGACCCCAAACGGCAACAGAGCCAGATGAGCCACTTTTGCTTTGGCACGAAGGTTATCATCGGGAAGAACGAAGCAGATCGAAAAATACATAAATGGACGTGGAATTTACTGATGTTGTACGAATTATAAAACTTTTCCTAGACTTTAAACTACAAACTACAACAGTCGAAAATCATCCAAACGTGTGGGAAACGTTTCCGGCACCGAAATTTTGCGGTTTTTTAGTCTACAGTGAAATTTTTGTAGTGTAAAAACGTGAAAATTCGCACACGGCGTTCAAAACTAGTCCGGAAAAACGATTTACCGGTCACTAAAACGTGCGTAAGAAGTTTCCGGCGTCGAATTTTTGTAGTCTAAAATAATGTTTTTGTAGTTTAAAAACGCGTAAATTGGAACACGGCGTACAAAACTAGCCTAATAAATTGCCTATTAGGCTGATCACAGCGGAAACAGCTAAACAACGAAGGTCGGCCGGCTACGGCATAATTCAAATGACGGAGGAACGTAACGAGTAGCATAACGTACCGTCTCGTTTGTCTAATCAATTTATTTAACTGGGTAAAAGCCAAATGCTTAGCAAACTAAAGTTTTTAACTTTTCATTTATATTTTATCGTTTTCAGCGTACTTTTGTACCCATGTCCCGAAATTTTGTTGCTTCCCGGATGAATTTCACCAAAATTAGCGTTTACCTCGAAAATATGAGCTCGGACGGAAAAACAAAACTAATATTCAGAATCTACGCACAAAACTACCTTAATTCTAGATCTTTTATGCCGGAAACGGGCCTGAAGTTCACTTAAATACATAACTTTTAACCTCGACAACTTTCGACCCCCATGAACCCTAAAAAATCGATGGGAGATTTCTATGATTTTGTGCTCAAAAGACGCGCCGTGAGTTCTTCTACATTTCTACCAAAGCATATTCGCCAATAACGTCGGAACTTCTTGAAATCGGCTTTTTACCGCAAGCCCCCAGCTTATTTTCGCGGGCCGGGGGCCCCTTCTCTCCGCCAGCCTTCGCCGCAATGTGGTGACCTAACCACCGTAGCCAGATCAGCCCAGCCCCATTTTCCCCCACGTAATCGGTCCAAAAAAATAATACGACACAATCCGTTTACGAATTCCGTAATTAGTGTACTTGTACTTCGTTGCAGTTTTAAGTAAGGCTGTATCCGCTGTGCTGATAGAACGAAAAATAAAGCTCCAAAAACCTGGCCAGCCGCCAAATCTTGACATTCCAGGGCGAAAAGCCAAATCCTCGCCGGGGTGAAAGGCTACGAACCGGAGCGAGGTGATAGCGATGAGATCAGCATAATGGCCCTGAGGCAGAGGAGAAGGAGAAGGAGCACGAGGAAATGAAGGCTCAAGGCGTATCTCGCGTGCCCTCTAGTGGTGCTCTAATCCTTCAAATCGCTTCGATGTCTCCTTCAATCTTCATTCGTCCTCACCTCAATGCTATAATGCTGAGTGAGCATCACCTAATTGGCGCATCGATCATGGGGAATTGGAAATGATTGAGGGTAATTGGGGGTGTGGGTGGGGTTGATTTCCGGTGGAATGAAGATTAAAAGGTAGAAACAGAAAAAATAGACTTTCGATCGGAAATGGCCAATCTTCGACGAAAATGTCACTTAAAAATTGGCTCCTAATTTTTAAAAAATTGTTGTTCCATTGTAAAATTGTAAAATGGTCAAATATCGCTAAAACACTTACTATTGAGTTAATAGACTTATAGCAAAAAATTTAGTCCCCACGATAATGCAAAAGAACCGGATTTTTGTTTCGGCCGCTAGAAAACTGAAAGAAATCCGGAAAAATTTAGGGTTCAAAAGCTCTGGAAAAGGAGAATCAGGCGTAATAGTACGTTTTGCACGAAACTAAAAGCATTGCATGCCCTGTCACCACCTATTTAGTATTCAAGCCAATCTTCTCCCCCAAAAAGCTTATGAAATAAATGATGATGACTCAAGTAAAAAGGGACCAGAAAAAGACAAGCGGAAAAACGAGCGGCGGTCGCTAACACAAAAATTGATTAGACGCTCGTGCAGGGAGGAGGCGCAATTTTTTGGAGCCACAAAAACGTGGGCGATGGACTGTTTATTTGGAGGGGAAAAGAAGGACACGAAAAGGGAGGAAGAAAAAGTGGAAGAAAAAGAAGGAAGATGGGTCATATTGATGGGGGGAACGCTATCAGCCTAAAAACCCTCGATCGAGAGCTCGAATTTTCGCTAAAAATGTTCAAAAACGGGGTAAGCCTAGCGTTTAGAAGTCTCTAATTGGCTTTAAAAGAGTTTTTCTAATGTTTAAAAACTGATAGTGAGCGAATTACGCGATCTCCTCGGGGAGCTCGGAAAATAACACTAAAATTGTTGGTTTTAGTTTTTTAGTGCGTCCGATTCTATTCCAAACGACTTGGAAAAAGCGTATTCAAACGGAAAATTTGCTAGTGAAAGAGCGCGAAAAAGTACACCAAAAATGATCAGTTATAGATTTTTACGCTTCCGGATCACCAGAAAACAAGTTAGAAAAATAAAATACAAACCGGAAATGGATTTAATTTCTTTAATACGTCAAATTTCCCAAAAAATTTTTTTAACTTATTTCTATTTCTTTTCCAGCGCAGTTTTTAGTTGATCAGCGTATTTTCAAGGTCTATAAATGAAAAAACTTTATTTACGACTTCAAATCAACCCAAATCGTTCAGTGGAAGCAATCGTAGCTTTCCTTATCCCACGTTCTCGACAGTTCAATAATTCCAACATCAAAGATGCCGGTCGGGGTGGTCGATCCATGGGTCACGGCTTCCACGGGCAGGTCAATCTTTAGTTTTCTGGCGCACCACTGAAAGTTGATAAGTTTTAGGTTTAATTTGGGTTGAAGTCGATGCCAATTAAGTTTTTAAAAAGTTTAAAAGTAAAATTTAGAATTATTTCTAGTTTCTGTGCTAATTTTGAAGTGGCTTTTGGCTGTTAGAACTCTCTATGATAATTTTTGAGGCTTTTCCAAGCTGCTGGAAGTTTTTATAATAGTTTTTCAAGCTTTAGCACGCTTCTAAAAATTTGTATGTTAGTTTTTAAGGTATTTCTAGGCTTCTAGTAGCCTTTATGGTAGTTTTTCAAGTTGTTCCAGGAGTCTACAAGTTTTTATAGTACTTTTTCAAGCGTTTCCAGCTTTCTAAAAGCTTTATGATACTTTTTGAAGCTTTTCAAGGCCTTTAAACGTTGTAAAATCCCATTTTTGAAAGCTACTTACCCCATTATAGTTACATTTATGATAAATGGCCACATAGGGCTCGATATTGGACCATTCCTTCGTCCATCCTCTCAGCATAAACCCTCCGCGCATATCGCTCTGGCTTTGGTCCATTTTGTCGTCAGGGTCGACTAAATATAGAGTTTTTAAAGTCGTTATTTTGATTTTAATTTTTGTTAATTAGATAATTAATTTTGAATACTTAAACTCACCCAAATCCCAATCCTTCATCTTCACCAAAACCCCCGGAATGGGCCGCCCATTGCAGAGAAGTCGTCCCGTCGCCGCCGCTGACTAAATAGACCCCAAATTTTGAGGGGAATTTTCCATTTCCCCCCTTTATTTGAGGGAACGGTAGCTGGTGGCAGCAAGAATTTTGGGATCAAAAAAATAAATATGGGAAAAAGGGCGATGATGGGTCAGGCGTTCCGGATGGAATCCAAAACTTTTCGTGGGCTACAGTAGGTGCAAAAATTGTGAACTTTGACCCCGAATTTTGGCTAACAAATGTTGTTTTTAAACTTTAAATGGCTCAGCGGGTTTTATTAAGCAAAAAATATGTTTGAAAATAGGGAAAAAAATTTATTTCTGTTTGCGGCCTTGTGCATTTTTCTAGGACCAAAAAAACTTAAAAAGGAATAAAAATTATTTTAATATCGCTTTTGACCCCTTGGCCATATTTAAAGTTAAAACCAGCCTTGAACTCTGCACCGAAAATTTTTTTTAATCGGAATTTTGGTCGAAAACCTATATTTTATGCAATTTCTAGCAAAAATTTGTCTGTTTTTATGTTTAGAAATTGTAGAAAATGTGTAGAAAATGTTCTTTTAAATATTTCAGAAAAATTGGACCTCCGGTAATGCAAAAGATCCAATTTCTGATTCAATCGTTCTCACCTGTATATGCCCAGGCCAAATTCCAGCCGACACCACCGAAAGTATCGCTGTAAAGAGGAGCAATGCGGAATGCATGTTTGCAAGTAGAAAGTAGGTATGAATGCGCAATCCACACCCAGTTTACCTATTTTCAGGGGATTTTCAAGGAGGCTCCGCGAGGCTCCGCCCACCCCAAATTTGCATGTGGTGATTCAGAGGGGTTTCTTGTCCCTCTTCGCCCAACTGGTACCCAACAATGTTTTCCGTCTGTCAAAAGAGACATTTTGGGGGTTTAACAAAAAACCTCAAGGTGAATTGGGCATTTTGAAATGGGGAGGGGTAATGATAGGTCAGCTGGGAGAGAGAGAGAGAGAGAGAGAGAGAGAGAGAGAGAGAGAGAGAGAGCGCGAGTGAGAGAGCGAAAGAGAGAGCGAGAGTGTGAGTGAGAGAGAGTGAGAGAGAGTGAGAGAGATGGATTAAGGTTTAGAGAAGCGGTAAGCATGGTAAATGGTGGTGAGTAAGGATGCATCGCAGAAAAAAGAGTTTGGAAGGCGAGCTGTTTATTTTCTTGGAAGGATTTGTGGGAACCGGTTTTGGATGACGAATTTTTGTAGTGGAGGCTGTTGGTAACTGAGAAGAAACGCTAAAAATACCGACAGTAAAAATTCCGAAAGCTGAAATTCCGACAGCGCAATGAGAGCATTCAAAATGCCGACACGATCTTTGTGAGTCCAGCTGTCGGCATTTTGCTTTCTCGGCTTTGTCGGCATTTGCCTCAATTTTTCGGTATCCCGACTTTCGAAAGTCTTCCGAAAAACCTACATGGCGGATTTTTAACGGGAATTTTTGACCGTAAGTCGATTTTCAAGCAATTCAAGTCCAGCAATTCAAGGATTCTGACCATTTCCGAGTCTCTAATAGCCAGGAACGCGCAGGGGATCTATTTTACCCCGTCGGCATTTTTTTCGTCGGTATTCCGAACGGAAATACTATTTTTGAAGCCGAAATGTGATGAAAGGAATGTGATGTTGAGGATAATGGTTAGTGGCAACTCAATTTTCCCTCCATTTCCGCTGCAAACCTCGCAAAATCTGACCATTTCCGAAACGCTCCATCTCTCCGGAATGCAACCCGGTTCTTTTTTTGGGCGCCCAGATGAAGGCGTGAAGGGCAATATGGAAGTGGCGATTGAGTATTTGTATTAGCATAGCTGCAGTAAGCCGTGAATTCACCCCAATTGAATGCGTTCCCCTCTACTCACCCCTCCTCATTCTATCAGATTGGCGCCTGGGAGAATGGTGAGACACATCATCATCATTTTCGCGAGTTTCGCCACGGTTTTTGGCAGTAAGCTTCTTTTTTAAAAGGTTATTTTAATTTTATAATTTAGCCTACGATCCGGACTGCTCGGCGGGACGTGAGTTTTCTTTATTTTGCTTGTTTTTATGTATTAAAGGAGCCATCAAGTGGAAAAATAGATTTACGGCATGAAAAAATGGGGGTAGAGTACGTTGGAGGGCTCTGTACACCTGGACCGCGGCGGAAAGCCCATAATATTGACATTTAATAAATTTCTCGCCCGTTTTTGGCCAATGTCGATGGTTTAAAAAAGTTAAAAGATGTAAAATTTTCCGAGAATTGTGAAAACTGATTAAATTTACAAAATTATGATGTTTTCGCGAAGAAATCGAGCAAAAACGCCGGAAAACCAAGCTCCTATCCGTTTCATAGCCATTTTCGATGTTTAAAAAAATATATTTAAGTGTAAAATTTAGTGCAGATTCCGAAAAGGTGGTTAGAATTACAAAATTTAATGTTTTTACAAAGAACTCATTAAAGAACGCGCTATAAAACTTTATTTCTAGCATCTTTCGACGGTACTTGTGACGCTAGCCAAGTCTACGATGCGGATACGGCAGAATGTTATTCCCTTGAATGTCTATATCCATCGACAACAACCGAAGAACAAACTACACAAGCCAACACTGGGGTAATAATTTTTTTTGAATTTTTATAAGTGAATTTTATAAAGTAATGTTTTTTATAAAAACCAATCCAGACCCCTGGTACGGGCTCCACAACCACCGGGCCGACTACAGTACCCCAAACTACCGTACCACCTACGACTACTGTACCCAAGACTACGCAACCCGTCACTACGCCAGCGCCTTGTGTCGACACTAATGCAAAGTAAATAGAATTGTTGCATTTTTTAGGTTTTTACTCTTACTAGGTATAGTTTTTATAGCTTTAAAGTAACTAGATTTTCTATTTTTTAGCCTTTAGGTTTTCGAATTTGATAAATAATTGAATTTTTATTTTTCAACGCTTTTACGTGTTTTAGCTGCCCGACCTGGATCAAAAACGGTTTCTGCAAGAGCACCTTCTACACTGATGCCCAAAAATTGGCATATTGTGGAAAGGGATGCGGGCTGTGTACGGTACCCGCGTGTTCTGATATTGATCCGGAGTAGGTTTTGAAATGTTTTGAGAGAGCAAGAGAGAGAGAGAGAGAGAGCAAGAGAGAGAGAGAGAGAGAGAGAGAGAGAGAGAGAGAGAGAGAGAGAGAGAGAGAGAGAGAGAGAGAGAGAGAGAGAGAGAGAAGAGGGAGAGAGAGAGCAAGAGAGAGAGAGAGAGAGAGAGAGAGAGAGAGAGAGAGAGAGAGAGAGAGAGAGAGAGAGAGAGAGAGAGAGAGAGAGAGAGAGAGAGAGAGAGAGAGAGAGCAAGAGAGAGAGAGAGAGAGAGAGAGAGAGAGAGAGAGAGAGAGAGAGAGAGAGAGAGAGAGAGAGAGAGCAAGAGAGAGAGAGAGAGAGAGAGAGAGAGAGAGAGAGAGAGAGAGAGAGAGAGAGAGAGAGAGAGAGAGAGAGAGAGAGAGAGAGAGAGAGAGAGAGAGAGAGAGAGAGAGAGAGAGAGAGAGAGAGAGAGAGAGAGAGAGAGAGAGAGAGAGAGAGAGAGAGAGAGAGAGAGAGAGAGAGAGAGAGAGAGAGAGAGAGAGAGAGAGAGAGAGAGAGAGAGAGAGAGAGAGAGAGAGAGAGAGAGAGAGAGAGAGAGAGAGAGAGAGAGAGAGAGAGAGAGAGAGAGAGAGAGAGAGAGAGAGAGAGAGAGAGAGAGAGAGAGAGAGAGAGAGAGAGAGAGAGAGAGAGAGAGAGAGAGAGAGAGAGAGAGAGAGAGAGAGAGAGAGAGAGAGAGAGAGAGAGAGAGAGAGAGAGAGAGAGAGAGAGAGAGAGAGAGAGAGAGAGAGAGAGAGAGAGAGAGAGAGAGAGAGAGAGAGAGAGAGAGAGAGAGAGAGAGAGAGAGAGAGAGAGAGAGAGAGAGAGAGAGAGAGAGAGAGAGAGAGAGAGAGAGAGAGAGAGAGAGAGAGAGAGAGAGAGAGAGAGAGAGAGAGAGAGAGAGAGAGAGAGAGAGAGAGAGAGAGAGAGAGAGAGAGAGAGAGAGAGAGAGAGAGAGAGAGAGAGCGAGAGAGAGAAAGACAGAGCGCGAGAGAGAGAGAGAGATGGAGAGTGCTGTCCCAAGACACACGACGCGCACCGTTTTGCCGCTATAAAACTCTGTAATCAATTACGCAATCGCGAAATTGTAGAGCTACTAACACCGCGACACGAAACGCACCTTTCGCTACATCGTCACGAGCGCGTTGCGTATCGCGTTATGTGTCAATCTGCATGTCGCGTTGCGTGTCGCGTTGCGTGTCCCGTTACGTGTCGCGTTACGTGTGGCGTTCGCGGCAAAAACTGTAAGAAATCTATCCGTCTATTTTTTTAGTTGCGGTACCTACGTGAAAAACGGTTTCTGCAATTCGACACGATACACCCTAGAACAGGTAGGTGGCCCTAGCTCAAGCCTAAGCTAAGCCAAAGCTAAGCATAAGCCCAAGCCTAAGGTTAGCCTAAGCCTAAGCGAAGCCTGCGCCTAGCCTCAGTTAAGCTCAAGCTAAGCCTAAGCTAAGCCTAAGCCTAAGCGTATGCCAAGCCTATGCCTAAATGATTTGAATCCAAACTTTAGAAACAAGGTCTTTGCCCCTATTCGTGCAACATTTGCCCGGCATCTACAACTGTCCCAAGTGGCCCTGGCAGTTGCAGTGACTCGGATTCTCAGTAGGTTTTTGCCCAAAAAAAATTCGAAAATCGATAACATCAAATTTTTTTACCAAAAAAACATGATTTCAGCTGCCCGAATTGGGTGAAGAACGGCTTCTGCTCCTCCTCTGGCTATACTGCTGCTCAAGTAAGCTGAAAATGAGCTCCAAGAACATTCTAAACTCTAGAAACAACTCTTCTGCGCCGCCAGTTGCAATCTGTGCTCGGGAGGTGGAGGTGGCACGACATCCAGCACATGTCTTCAAGACCAAAATACAAAGTACAATTTTTTTCGATCTTTGATACCCATATTTTTAGCTGCGCCGCCTGGGCCGCCAACGGATTCTGCACCAACACCGCCTACACCCCCGAACAAATCGCGTCTTATTGCTGCAAGACTTGCGCCTGAACCGGAAATCCGCATTTGCGACTGCTAATAAAATTAATAAGTGTTTGCTGGTATCTGAAAAACACAAAATTTTAATAAATTCAGGTAAAAGATTATTTAGGAAGGAGAGAGCGAGAGAGATAGAGAGCGAGTGAGCGAGAGGGAGAGGGAGCGAGAGAGAAGGAGCGAGAGAGAACGAGAACAAAATAACATCACCCATCGACAAATTCATACCTATACAAAATTTTCGTTTACAAGCTACAAATAGGAGAGAGAGAGAGAGAGAGCGACAGAGAGAGGGAGAGAGGGTGAGAGGGAGAGGGTGAGAGCGGGAGAGAGGGAGAGGGAGAGGGAGAGAGAGAAAGCGAGAGAGAAAGAGAGATAAAGAGGATTTTCAAACGATGACCTGACGCGCCAATGCAGTCCCCCATCTTGCGACTTTAATGCTCGGCTCAGGTTGATCCAAGCAGAACCGTTGCCATTTTATGTAAAAGAAATTTTTGTTCGGCGGAAATTCCATATCAATCTTGCTGCGTTATTTTATTCACTCAATTTCAGGGCTCAATTCAGAGACGAAAATGGTGGATTGGCGCGGATTCATCGAAAGAGAGGCCCCATTCTTGTATATTTTCGCCTTTGGTTTTATGTTCTTGTGCATACTTACTTGTTCTGCTGGCAGGTAAGGTTATTTTTAGCGTCATAACGAGTGAAACTTTTTTCAGCTCAGTACATTAGTTTTCGAATGAAATTTATTTGGTTGATTTGAAAAAATTCGAATTTTCAGGGGTGAAGGCAGGAGACGAGGGCGGCTAAAATTAACAAAAGCTACACCGATTGTGAATGGATTCTGCTTCAAGAACACCAACACTTCAGAACAAATCGCGCCTTATTGCTGCAAGACTTGTGCCTGAATGGGAAATCCGATTTCCAACTGCTAATAAAATCAAAAATTAATTAAAATAAGTATTTGATGGCTTTTGAAAAAAATTCCAGCGCTTTGGGACACCCGATATTATTCTGCAGCCCCTTTCCGAAAGCCAATTTCCAATGCCATATTGAAAAACGACGTGCGTTCCGTCCACGTTGTGCTGAATTAATGACCATTTTTCGTTTGAGATCTCATCTCGCGAGCACCCGAATTCAGCGCTTTTTCTTTTTCTATAGGTTTTATAGTTAGAGCAAGTGATACAGAGAGAGTGAGAGAGATGTAGAAAGAGCGTGCGAAAAGTCTGCGAGAGAAACAAATAGAGCGATAGAGACAAATTTATAGCGAGAGAGCGAGCGAGAGAGAGATAGAGGAGAAAGAAAGAGAGAGAAGAGAAGTGAGAGAGAGAGAGGAGAGAGAGAAAGCGAAGGAAAGCTAGAGAGAGCGAGAGTGAGAGAGAGGGGGCAGTGAATGCGCGTGCGAGAGAGCGAGAGAGACAAAGGTAGAGCGAGAGAAAGGTGGAGCGAGAGCGTGTTTGTAACCTAACAGAGCGGAGAATTATAGAGAGACATCGAGCGAGCGAGGGAGAGAAAGATTTTCTTTTTTTTGAGAGAGACTGACAATTTCTTGAATAGAACATCTAAAACCATGCTAGAATTTTTCATTTTCACTCTAAATCCTGTTAAATCAAATAGCCATCGCAAAAAACAGCAAGAAAATTGTTGAAACCTTTTAATAACCCTCTTAATTTTCTCAATTTTAATATTTACAGCATTTTTTCCAAATTCTCTGTAAACCGAACGGCTGTTCCCCAATTTCATTGGTGTTCTCTCTCCCCCTCTCTCGGCACTGCGTCTCTTCCCTCCCATTCCCCCTTCTTTCCAGTGTCAACTGGAGCGTTTCGTAGTCGCCGGGGGATACTGATTTGAATGTGGTGTGGGAGGGAGGAGCCTTTAGCCCCACAGAGGTCCCAGGGAAATTCGCTTTGCTCTAATTAGACCTGAAAATATCACCATGGGTAACGCCCTAATACTCTGATTTCTCTCTCAAATATCTGTATCTCTCGCTTATTATAAAATCAAGACACGAATTCGCGCAAATTTGTAGTATTTAATTAATGGTGAAGGGGCTGGGGTTTTTTCCTTTTTGTGGTGTCTGGATTTTGCTTGGTTTTCTTTAATGAAAAATATATTACGAAGTGTATTTCTGGTATTTTAGTAACTTGATTGCAAAAACGATTTATGTAGTAAATTTTATGAGAAATACACCATTTTTTAAGGAATTCTGGATTATCCCGCGTTTTTCTCTATTTAGTAATTTACATCTAAAATGGGTGCTTGTTATATTTGTTAAACAATTGTGTGAAAAACCATTTTTCTGGAAAAGATGAAGCCTATTTGTAGTTTGTAAACGAAATCTCGTCTCAGTGTGAATTTGTCGATGCTTGATGTTATTTTGTTCTTGTTCCCTCTCCCTCTCTCTTCTCTCGCATTCTGTCTCTCTCTCTCTCTCATGTTCACTTTTTCCAGATGACGGAACCTGGGCCTCCCCAGGTCCAAAATTCCAACTCGGGTCCGACACATTTCCTCGTTCAATCAACCCAAATTGAACCGAAACACATCATCACATCCACTGTTTCAACGCCCACCGGAAATGGAGGACCACAACGTAGGTTTTTGTTGTTTAAAAGTTTAAAAGTAGATCAGATCTTGGCCTAAGCCTAAGTCTAAGGCAGGCCAAAGCTAAGCTAAACCTAAGCCTAAACCCCCGTTTTTTTCAGAAATCACTTATTCGATCCCAGCCTCAAGTGCAGCCGGTCCAGCGCCAAGACATCAGAGTAGGTTTTTGGGGACTATTTAGTAATTATAGATCTTATTTAGGGGTTAAAACTAAGCTAAACCTAAGCATGAACCAAAGCCTAAGCTGGGCTAAGCCTAAATTATCGAAAATTTGGTAAAAATTGTCATTTATACTCTTTTCAGTTGTTGTAACCGGTGCCCATTCTCAACATGCTCAAGGCCCTATCCAACGGACGTACGGCGTACATCGGCGTAAGTTTGCTTCCAATCTTTCGCGTCATTTTTGAGCATGCGGCTGCGAAAAAATTGCCTTTTTTCAGAAGTCCCAAATTCGATGAACGCCAATCACGGACAGCCCGTTTCGGTGACGGTATTACCGCGTGGAAGGCAAAATGTTAGTTATCTTTAATTCACAACATTTTCAGCTTATAGACTTGATTTTATTAGCTTTTATTAAACACGATTTACAAATTCCGTCGAATTTGCCGTTTTAGGGCCAAGGCCAAGCAACCGTCCACACGGTCTCGACGATGCCGAGCGCCCAACAAGGCGCCTACCAAAATTCCGGACAACAACCGGGGCAGCAAACAATTACAACAAAGGTAGATTTACAATCAATATATACTTCTAGTTTGAAAATAAATTAATAATAAACATCATAAAATTGAGTTTTAGGTTGTAAAAGCTCCGGCAAATCGTCAGGGCGCCCGACAAAATTCGAAGGCACCGCAGGAATCGGCGAGTAGTCATCAGCGGATTTTGGAAATTGTCAGTTTACTTGCTATTTTATTGTATTTTCTATTTATCTTTGATTATGGCTATATACCTTTTGATTTAGATTATTGGGTTTATTGAGATACGAATTTTAGCTCCAATCCTCGACCCATCAACAACCACCTGAGCAGCACCAGCAAGGACCGTTGATCGTCAATCAACGGCAGCAAAAGGTAGATTTTAATTTTTAAAAAAATACTTAAACTATGAATATAATAGAACATAAATAAATATAACCTGTGTAATTCGGTTTAGCGAGCGTCCTTGCCAAACATCAGGGTCGAGCCCTCGCCGGCGATGCAGCAGCAAATGCAGCAAAATGTAAGTCTAAGCCAAGCCTAGGCCTAAGCCAAGCCAAGTCTAAACCAAGCCGAAGTCCAAGTCGAAGCCTAAGCCAAGCCCAATCCATGCCTAAGTCAAGCTAAGCCACTTTTTCAGCATGGTGTTCAGCGACAATCCCCTTCAAATGCTCATATCCAATCCCCTGGCACGGCGCCATCGACTTCAGCGTATCAGGTATTTTTCTTATAAGTTTCCTTCTAAATTTGTTATTATTATATGTAATGTTAATGTGTTTTAGTCGCACTCAATGCCCCCTCCCTCATCCGGTCATAACGGCCAGCCGGCTGTCGTTTCCCGATCGAATTCCGTCCCACATTCTGTCCTCCAGCAGCAGCTTCAGCAAACGGTAGTTATCTGACTTATCCCACTTCCGGCCTTTTTCTGGCATTTTGAAGGTTTTTACTACTCCTAAACGTAAAAACTTTAGAAATTATCCGAAAAACCACTAAAAAATGTAGATTTTCGACCCAAACTTCGAGTTAAAAGTTTTTAAAGTTTTTTTAGATAGGTTTTCCACGTTAAATCGCGCTAAAAATTTTAGTAAAATACTTACTGTTACGTTCGTAAAAGTTTCTGGACTTACACAAAAAAATTTCAGATGAATCCACCACAACCACAACAACGCCCGATGCATTCTCCACACCAAAATTCTCAGGCGGCACATCAAAATGTTGGTTTTTAGAGCTAAATATACACTTATATATTTATTTTCGAATATTGATATTATTGATATATTTATTTATCTATTTTATTGCAATTTTATAATTTTTCTTTTGTTTTAGGCCCAACAGCAACACAGCCAACACCAAAACGCTCAACACCGGATGCAACAATCCCCGGCGGGCCATGAAGCGGGTCCTGTACAGTCACCACGACCGGCTTCTCAGCCTTCTATTCTTCAACAGCAACTACAGCAACCGGTAAGTCTATAAAAATCGCCTTAAATTGTATATTTTAGCCAATGTCCCATCAAAATGCGTCCCAACAGCATTCGGCCCTACAACAGCAGCTTCAACAAAACGTAAGCAAATTTTTAAAAGATTTTTACGCGTATTTCTATCCTTAGATGCACCCTCAAAACCAGCCCCAACTTGCTGGTCATCAACAGCAACAATTCCAACATGGTCAACATCAAAATGTAGGCAGAAAATCGATAATTCAAGACGTTTTTAGGCCTATCAACAATCCCAACATCAACAACAGCAGCAGCACCACCAAAATCAACACCAAAATCAGCACCAAATGCACCAAGCTGCCCAGAATCAACACCACCAACCCCAACAATTTCAACAGCAACAGCAACAGCAACATCAGACGATACATCAGCAGCTTCAACGCCAGCATGCTGCACAGCAGCAGCAGCAACAACAGCAGCAGCAACAACAACAGCAAAATGTAAGAATTAGCATGAGAAAATGTGTTGTGAAAGTAATGGAAAAAATTTTATTTACGACCATTTACAGATGCAACAACACCAACAGGTCGTCGAAACAAACGGCCCGACGCGAGAAACCCCCCAAATGCAGGGCCCCGTCACGCAACAGCACCAGGTTCAGCAGCAAAATGTTCGTTTTTACAATTTTCTTCCTGATTCTTTTGAATTCTTAGATGCATCAACAGCAATTGCCACAACCGACAGTCACTATCGTCACAACACAACAAAATGCAAGAGGAGGCCCAGTTGTTGCGCCGGCCAAAAAGAAACCGGCTCCAAGGTGAGAGCGAAAAAGCTTAATAATTCGTAAAAAGGTGTCAACATCTAAATGAATTTCAAGCAACTCCGAATTTTTATATGGTATTATGTTATCTAGATTTTAGTATATATTCAAAGCTAATTAGAAAATTAAGTCGATATTTTTAGACGCCCTAACCAAGCAGCGCCACAAATCCAAGTCCGCACCATCAGCCAACCGGATCGAGTTATCCAAGTTGGCAGTGTGCAGCCGGCAAGAGCAAATGTTCAACTTGGTATAAAATGTAACTTTATCTCTTAAAAAATTCTATTCTAGCTCCACCTCACCTCTCTGAAGCTCATCTACAGCAACAACGATATGCTCAGCAACAACAGCAACAACAACAACAGCAGCAGCAGCAACAGACGACTAGCAATCAGAGAATACACCAATCAATCGAACAAGTGGTAAGTTTCTCAAAAATTTCCTTAAAAGTTCGGTTTTTGCCAAAAACTTGCCTTTTTCGGATGATGCTCCGGTTTTTGCGTGTTTTCGTCCGCGAATTCGGAATTAACGCAAAAATGGGTCCGGAAAGTGGTATCGATGTTGGAGTTTTGGAAAATGCGCCCTAAGGCCAGGGAAGCAGGGGAGACCTGGGTCCCTTTCGAAAACCTCTTTTCTGCGACCCACCTTTCTAGGTCAATTTTTGCGGGGATTCCGTTTCTGAGGTCCGTTTTTCTGTAAAAAGTAGTCTAGTGTTGAAAAAAGCAGATATCTCAACTTTTTCCAGATTTTTAAGAGTTTTTCGAAATTTTGATTAAATAAGAAGAAAAGTTAAAAAGTACCTTGCATTATATTTACTAAGTAATAATGAAAAGAGTAAGTTCAAAACTTAAAATTGCGTTTTGAAAAATAAATTTTGCTGGAGGGTAGTTTCGATTTGGTCCAGAATTCGAAGCTCAAAAAACGGGTCCGGGAAGTGGTATCGATGTTGGGGTTTTGGCGAAATCGCGGCTCTAAAGGTGCAGGGACAGCAGGGGCAGCTTCGTCACTTCCTGGGTGTCGCTGTCCCTTGAGTCGGAATATTGCTGTCTCTTTCCCATAGTGTGGCACCAAGTTCCGGGCTCATTTTTTGCGGGGATTCCGTTTTTGATGTCCGTTTTTCCGGAAAAAGTCGTCTAGTGCTAAAAAAAGCAGGTTTTCGACTTTTTCATGATGTTTAAGGGGTTTTTTCGAGAATTTCGAGTAAATAAAAAGAATAGCTTAAAAACAGTACACTCTAAATGATACTTTACTAAGTTTTTACTACTTTCAGGTCCGAAATCCACCCCCGGTCACTCAGTCTCAAAGCTCCGGCTCCTCCCAATTGAGCCAACTCCCCGGCCCATCCACGCAACAACAACAACCTTTGGTAAGAAACAACTTCCTGAAATAAGCCCATTTTTAGCCGGTCCAACAAATTCGCTTCGTCCAGCGCCCCTCCCATCAGCGCCCACCTCAACATCAAGGAGTACAGCTGGCGCAGGCTTCGAATTCTGCCCTTCAACAGCAGGGGGTCACGATAGTTCAGGTAAGGCCACGCGCTACAAATTTATTTTTTTTTTTTTTTTAGCAAAATGCTGCTCCAAAAGCTCCTACACAAATTATTCGCACTCAGCCTTTGCCGCAAGTTCAACTACAGGTAATTTTTTGTAATTATTTTTATCTTGTTCTATTTTTTGGAATTCAAAAGAATTAATATGATAATTTCTATAAATCCCTGAACCCCCGCTTTTTCAGCAACAACAACAACCCGGCCCGTCAGCGAGCAGTTCAGCGTCCATCCAAATTGTTCAGCCACTCCCTCCCCAATCCCAGCAACAAGTTCATCAACAGCCGATGTCGCAGGCTCAGCAACAACTCCCTCATCAACAGTCTCGGCCATCCTCTGGGACTCAGCAACCGAGCACAAGCCAACAATCTCAGCAGGTTCACCCGGATCAGCAGCAACCGAGCACCAGTCAACAGCATCAACCGTATGTTTTTTTGGGTTTTGATCGGTTCTCGGCGAGTTAACGACGGGGATTATCAGGTGGAGCACGGCCTCCCTGCTAATGAATCAGAACCTTCTGATGCGGATCTAAATTACCACTTTTTAGATTGCAAGGCGGCTATGGTCACTCTCTTCCCGGCCCAATACCTTCGCAAGCGACATTGGTATGCAGATTATTTTCTTAAATTTAAAAACCTAGATTTTCTGGAATAAAAATTAATAAAAATTGGTATTTTATTTTAATTCCGTTTAGCAATTAGCGGCCCTATTTGCTCCCGATTCTGATTCAACCGCCGGACTAAGCTCCAAACAAATGTATCGAGGCTTGAAGCGGAAGTTCAGACTCCTCATTTTTGTAAGAATTTTTGGCAAAAACTAGAATTTTTCCGTCTTTTAGGAAAATGAATGCTATCAAGATCAACTCCGGGCGATGCAGAGGAAGCTTTTAAAGGTATGGAAAAATTTTTGAAGCTTTTAATCTTATTTTTAAGCTCTCCCGCGATAAAAATTTCCTCCTCGATCGGTTGATGCACTATGAAAATCTGTCGTCTTCGGAGGAGTCGGACTCTGATTCGTCGATAATAACTGTTATGGATGATGTGCCGCAGCCACCACCACCAAGACCTGTTCAAAAGTAAGTCAAATTGTCGAAAATTGGAAGGAAAATGCCGACATACCGACAGCAAAATGCCGACAGGGAAAATAAAAAGAAAGTTGAAGTCTAAATCTGGTCACGAAAGTACGAAAATTAGGGGGAAATCGCGAAATACCGAGATGCAAAATCGGCGTTGTCGGGATTTTGGCTATCGGTTCGATCTGTCGGCATTTTTGCCTCTTTAGTCCTGTCGAAATTTCCCCGGAAGTTTGGCTGTCGGTATTTTTCCTGTTGATATTTTTGCTGTCGGCATTCAGTCCGAATGCAAATTTTATTATTACTTTATTTTAGAAAAAAAGCCCCAGTCCGCAAGAAGTCTACCCAACAACCCTCCACTTCCGGAACGGCCCAACAGCGCCCATCCGTCTCCGGATCTGCCTCCCAAAAACGTGCTGCAGCCGCCGCTTCAGCTGCTCAACGCCCATCCACCTCCGGTGCAAATCTAGGCCCTAAACCCCCGATGCCCGACAAAAGGGCGCTGAATAGTGCACAGCAAAAGCCATCAACTTCTGGCAGTTCACAGCAGCGGCCTTCTACTTCCGGGGCTTCACAGCAGAGACCATCCACCTCTGGAACTCAACAATTCCAAGGTGCCTCCACTTCCGGTATGCCGCAATCCCCGGTTTTTGCTGTTCCTCAACTTCCTGCTCCTTCGCAGCAAAGGGCTGCTGCTGCAGCGGCGGCCGCGGCTGCTGCTTCATCGAGAGGGGATGCAAGTAAGTTCTGAGGCTCTGGTGTGTGAGCGGAGGGCATGGATTTTTTCCAAAGACTCCTTTTTACCTATTTTTCGCAGTAAACGATTAAATATCCAAATTATGACACCCATTCTCGGCGTTTTTAGCACTTTTCAGCCTAGAAAAGTTTTTAAATGCCGAAATTGGCGTAAAATTCATTGAAATTGATCAAATTAGACCGGTTACGACAGGTATTCTGCTAACAGAGCGCGAAAAAAATATTTTATCGTTCTAGAGGTCGTTTTTCTCGATTTTCGCGAGCATTTTTTACTTTAAAAAAACTAAAAATATTTGCAGAAGAGTTCCCATATTTTCCGACATTTTTTGAGATGTATAATGAAGCAAAAATGACGGGAAAAATCTAAAATAATTTAAAAAATAATTTAGGGAACCCCTCAATGGACGATGGCCCAAGTATCGGCTCCGTTTTGGGCGTAAAACGGCCGACAGCCTCCGCAAATCCGACGTCACGTTCTTCACAACACCCCGCTGATCAACCATCAACCTCTGGAACCAATCAAAGAATAAATTCAAGTAAGATTTACATTATTATTTCTGTATATCGTCTTTAGCAAGCCCGACAAAAGTTTCCCCACCAAATAAGAAAGCTCGTTTCGCGGTCACCCGGGCGAAAACTTCGCCAAAAACGAAAGCGGCTGCCGGGCAGGGTGAAGTGAGGAATAATACGCAGGTACGGTATATAAGTAGCTTAATACTAAGTATTTTTGCGTTTTTAGTATATTCAACGCTAAAAAACTACCTAAAAACGCAGAAAACATCAAAAAAAATCTGAAGTCTGGTCAAAAATCGTTAACTTCGGTTTATAGAAAACATTGGATAGTAATAAAAAGTCCCTCCCCCCGATAATGCAAAAGCACCTAATGTATCAATATTTAATCTTTAACAATTACTATATTTAAAAAATTACAGCAAAATCCACAACCCGGCCCTTCTAACCAACCACCACCAGCTTCAACGTCAGCCAGTCCCAAATCGACAGCTAAAAGGTATGAAAAATCACGAAATTGTTTTCGATAATTTCGCAAATTTTGTAACACCATTCAATAGAGCGTCGTAAAATATACTACCAGTTTTAATTTCAGCTCAAAATAATCGAAAATAAAAAAGTTATGGCCGAAACAAAATAGGATTTTTGAATTTTACAGTTTTCGACATTGTCGAGGTCAAAATGTTATTAAAGTGTATAACAAACGCTAAGCAAAACAACTTTCAGCCACGCGGCCCACTCTGCTCAACCAACAAAACCCAAGGAACAATAATAAAATATTACAAAATTCGTTTGTCATTTCGTGCCAAAACCCTGTTACTTGTATGCTTGCCGCCTTCTTTCTCGCCAAAAACCACCCCACTTTCCATGGTATCTCAACCCTCCTTGTGATTTCGGTTTCATTTATTTCGTTACGGGCTACCAGTTTTTGAAAAATCTTTTTTCTTAGTCTCTAAATAGTGGCTAAAAGCATAAATTCCACATACAAAAACAAAGCGCGGTAAACTCTCAGCTTTAGAATACCCCCAGTGTTGCTTTTACCAGAAATTATGATGCGGTGGCCATTTTGCGTAGCTTTTTCTATTCTTTCGAACCCTAGGAAACAAACGTTTTTTCCGATATGCTGGTTCTCCCCCTTTTCTTGGCTTCAGGGAATGTGCATTTTCAAAAAGTTTTTAACGGCATCTCACCGCTTTATATTAAATCCTTCGTCTCATTCCGCTGTCATCTTTTTAGAACATATCATTTTATTGTAATCTACGCCTAATAAATGGTTTTTTGGCTTATGCAGCTTTTACAGGAGCTCTACTAGATATTAGCACTGAAAAAGTATATTACAAGGCACCCAGATAAACCGTTGCTAAACCTATTACTTATTTTACCTTCTTTTTGCTCCATTTTTGAAGTTTTTAACACATTTTTGTCAAAAAGCTTGATAAATTTACCATTAGGCCAGGTTTCTATGGATGCCGAAAGCCGTCGCGGTCTGTACGTTGTTTGTATTGCCGTGTTAGTCGTGACGCGTTCTAAATCCTAAATCTAGTTGCGTGGAGATTTCCTTATTTCCGGTTTCTTTAGGGCTATATTAAGTTTTAATAATCTTTTTCTTTTCAGGTAAAGATGGCTGCCTGGCCGTCGACGCAAAACACTCTTCATGCGGGCACGACGTCTGGATGGAACGATCCGCCGACGATGGACAACAATAAAGGTAATTTGGTGCTAATCCATTTACGGTGGGGCAGTCCGAACTGGGTAGTAAGGGCTTATGAGGCGCTCCGCTTAGGCTACTTGGTTTCAGCTTAAGCCTAGGCTTGACTTAGCTTTAACTAGGCCTTGCTTAGGCTAAGCCCAAGCCCAAGCTAACCTTATCTTGAGCTTCAAATTGCCTTACGAGGCCAAAATCTGGTCATTTAGGGGGTAGCTTAGAGCTAAGCTTAGCTTGGCTCAAGCGAAGCCCAGGCTTGGTTTCTTTGAAGCTAAGCCTAGGCTTAGACTGGCTTAGCTTTTCCAGGGGCTTCAGGTTGGAAAAACGTCATTTGGAGCGTCTTGTAGTCAAAATTCGGATTGCCCCCCCCAAGTGCATTAGCACCGGTATTTTTGTAGCTTTAACTTGTCAATTACTCTCGTTTAGCCCCCATCAACTCCGGCCTCAATCGCCGACAGCGGCTCGTCGATCCCTCCATCACGGTAGGCGCTATACTATACCAGAATTGCAAGCTTTATCGGAACAGCTATGTCACAACGCAAAACTCCAAAAGAACCCAAAACCATACCTTGTAAGAAGATCAGGGCTTGGTTGAGCTTTACGGTTCTGCTCAAGAAACTGAGCTTTCAGGCTGCCCCTGGCACCGAATTTACTCATTTTTAAGGGAGTCGGCTCTCAAGGCGGCTACACGTCGGCGCCAGCGTCTCATTTCCCGGCAAGTGTACGTTTGATGCGCTTTTTCACCACTTTTTTTTAACCAGGAAAACTAGCTGCTTCCTAAGTGGATTATGATTATACCAGTAACTTTTTCCACGTCAATCGACAACAAACGGTTTTTTACCCTCTAAATGTCATTTTTCCGTTCTCGTTTTTATGAATTTAGATTCAGCAGATGCGAATTGGACTAGATCATCGAGAACGAATTTTCTATTCGAGTAGTTCGGTTTCTGAGCAGACAAAAACAAAAATTACTTCCAGAAACACCGAAAATTTGTATTAATTATGCTAAATTGATTATTTATTTATAACTAACTGGTTTTCAGGCGGCCGGTTACAACACGCCTTCGTTCGCCCCGCAACCCGGCCAGCAGCAGCCAACTTATGGAGCACCCAGCCAGCACACATGCAGCCGATGGGCCAGCCAGCACCCCAGCAGTACCCCACCCAACCGCAACACTACCAGTCTTCCGGGCCGGTGGGGATTTTTTAATCTAAAAAACGTCGTCTAAAAATGAGGATATTTCTAGTATACCGCTTTTTAGAAAACCGCCTCTCGGAATCCCGCTTTTCAGAGTGACGGCTTTTTTTTGGAAATGCCCCTTTTTCATAATACCGCCATTTCACAATGCCTCTTTTTCAAAATACCGCTCTTCCAAATTTCATTCACAAATTTTCAGTTCATGGCAAGGAAGGGGGAACTCATTTTTTCCTATGGTCCTCGGCTGCCCTATTCATTAGCTATCGTACGGAAGTGTTTGCCAATTTGCCTCAAAAATTTCGATCTTCAAACCTAAGAACCTATGATCTTGGTTAAGATTTGTAAAGCTATTACAAACCATTCTCTGACTACGAAAACTACGATATTTTAAAAATGTGCTCTGCTGACGCCTATCCCGGTAAAAAGCGGCATTTTGACAGAGCCGTAATCTAACAAAACGGCATTGTGGTACGCGGCAGTATAAAAAAAGCACCATTATGAAAAGCGGGATTCTGAGAACCGGTATCTTATCAAAATGTGCCGAAAATAACATGAATATTGATTTATGCCAACAAAATAGCACTTTTTAGGCATTTTTTAGCCTTTTCTAAAATTTCTGTCGTTTAAAATTTAGCTACATTTTAAATTTGACCATTTATACTATGAAAGTTGAACGAGTTAATTGACTAGGTATAACTGGAGTTAAAGCAAAAAACGTTCCTCTTTTGGATTTAGGGTTTGTAAACTTTAGAAATCGACATAAACACAAAAAACAAGCATACGAAATTACCATTTACCTTTGAGGTTCCGCAGTACGGTCAGCAACCGCAGCAGTACGTTGATCATCATCAGCCTCAGCCCCAGGGTGGCGTCGGACAGATGTCGGCCGGCACTGGAACACAACATCAACCGCAGCCACACCAGCAATCCTATCAAATGTAATCACATTGCATTTCGTTAGTTTATCCCAGTACTTCCGGATATTAATGTGATATCGCTCTTTGTAACCTATTTATTGCGCGCCCCCGGAAACAGTGCCGGCTATAAATTGAGCTTCTCGTGATTCGTGTTCTCCGAAGATCTTTTCGAAGGGCCCCTGAATGCGCCCAAAATGTTCGTCCAAAAGCAAATCTAAAAAGTACAACGTTTTTGCCATTTGACATGGACAAATCTGAAAAATAGTTAGAACAGCTGACATGTTTTCCGGGGTATGAGCCAGCTTGACTTTTGTTTTCTATGATGTTCTGAATAAAAGCTGTTTTTCCTAACATTTCGCTTTTGATACGCGTTGTTTCTGGCGGTGTGTTGAGCGTATTTGGCGGATTCTCCTGAGATTTGAGACTGCGTTTTTCCGCGAGAAGTGATCCCATTGGGGCGTTTTCCAGGTCGATTTGAAAAGAGTTTGCATCTGATAGCTATCGCGTTTTCTATTAAAATCAACATTTTTGAGTTTATGCAATGTTTCTAGACTACTTTTTTAGAACGCGCGCGTTTTGGAACTTTGCTTGAAGAGGCTGAGCCGTTTTAGGGGTCGATATAACCTGATTTTTTTCAAAAGAAGCTAACCGGGCAGACTTGACAGGAAAACCGATGGAACTCGTTCTGATGCGATTGCGCGCGTTGTCATTGTCTCCGGAGATCCTTGCACACAGATCGTAGATGTTCAGCGGGCGTATGGCTGTCCGGTCGATCCGATGTAGGGCCCATTTCTTTAGAAACGTTGTTATTGCCCTGAAAGTTCATTTTGAGACGAGACAACTGAAATGCATAAGTCCTCGTCATCCGGCGTTGCGCTTGATACAAGAAGGACAGCCGATCCACCATCATCAAATCGCGTAGCCGACCGTAGTCGCTCAGTAAACATCAGAAACGAAAGAGACGAGTAGAAAAAGTAGGATGCACCGACTTCAAGAACGTTTTTATACGCCGGAAACCGGAAACGCACGCAAATAGCTAATTTTAAGTATATCGTCGCCCCGTCTGCGATTCTTCTTTTGTAACTTTTGTCGATATTAAGCGACCCCGGTCCCGAATCTCGTAAAGTGATGGTTTCTGACTTAACGACAATGATAGCTTCTAGACTCTACTGGGTGATGTCGCGCCGTCGGTGGAAAATTGAGTAATGCATCGCCCGATTAGCACGTTGGCGAGCACAGAGGGATAATCCCAGATGAGCAACAATATTCGAGAAAATGGGAAAAACGACGTTTGAGCAGCATCGTCTTCCCGCGTTTACTAAGAGCGCATTTTTGCTCAAACGCCGCCTTCCCCGCGTTCTCAAACATCGTTGCTCACCTGTCATCGTTGTGGCCCCAGCACGGATAGTTTCCTTTTTCGTAAATTGACTCCTTTGATCGCCTGCTCATTGCTTTGACATCGCGAATTGCAGCCCGGCCCTAAGTGAAAGGTATCAAAACCAAATAAACCTGGCTAATAGCCCATGCCGCTGGAGCGAAGGACGGAATCAGCAACGTCGTGCCCTATCGTCATTTCATCCGGCAACGAACGCAGAAGTTAACTAAAAGATTCCTATCACAAGATGTGATAAGGGGAATAGAACAAACCTTTGCCGCTTTTTGTCAGAGACATCGGCAACGTCCAGCAGTTGAAGGAAGATGTCCTTAAATTGTAATGACTCAATCAATATACCGGTTATATCCTCGTCTTGATAGTGATGATGTTGCTGTTAGATCCATAGCAGCCTGGCACTCAGTCGTAGAAGAGTATTACCTAAACTCGGGCGGGGAAGTAAAGCGAAAACGACTAACCGCGTTACTACAACAGCAGGAAGGTGATGATCTCGCCTTCTTGTGTCGATTTTCGTCGTTGTCGCCACCTCAGCCCCTAAAAATAAGTATAAAATTACATAGAAAGAGCGTGCAAGCAATGAAAGCTACGGGCTGAATCGCACAGAAATACAATAATCAATGATACACGACTTGTAATTCCATTCGCGTTTCCCCGTTTTCGTTCTAGGTTTTCGTTTTATGTTCTAGCTGAACAGTTTTTTGATTTCACAACGACTAAGCGTTTTACAAAAGCTGGTATTCGAAACCAAGGTCAGGAGGAACTTATAGCCGAAACTACGAAAAGAAATTCTTCAACAAACTATCTTTCTTCTCACAATTGCTGACAAACATGTGAAGTTGTAAATTACGAAAACAAAATAAAGTTCCGTTGCAATACACCATACACTTGTTCGTAAATAGGCAGGAAAGTACTGGAAGTTTGCTAAAGCGCGCTCCGTACTCGCGGGCCCAGAGAGAAAAACCGGCCCGTATTTCTATACTCCGCATACAATTTAGTTATTTCTAAAAACAAAACCCTTTTTATCGCTAACTTTTCTAACTTTTTATCGGCTCTTATCGGCAAACCAGTGGAAAATGACCGCTTCGCGGCCCTTTTCCACTGGCCCCCGTCTAGGAACCATATAATCCCCTTCCGTTTTTCAAGCCTGCGGCGCAAGAGCCTGTCTCTAGGAACCATTCTCTGGCCTGCGGCGCTAGCTACTGGTTTTTCTTCAGCATTTGGCCTGCGGCGCGAGAGCCCAGGCCAAGGACCTTTTCTTTGGCCTGCGGCGCTAGAACCCGGGCCAAGGGCCTATTCTTTGGCCTGCGGCGCTAGAGCGAGGGATTGGCCTAATTTCGGATACCGAGAGCCTCGAAATATGCTTTGTTGTTGAACTATCAAAAAGCAAAAAGGTACATTTGCTGAGGATCCGAACCCTGGACCATGTGCGTGGTAGACCGGGCGTCAAGCCACTATACCAAAGGGGGCATGGGGACGGGAGGCGGAAAGGCCTCTTCGGTCCTGGGGGCGGGGTTCAACCCGGGCGGGAGGACTTCTAGTAATTTCGCAAAATCGCTTTTTTTAGTTTGAATGCGCCGAAAATTTGTAAAAATAATAAGATGCGCGTGATCCCCACTATCGAATACATAAGTGATCCAAATTTCAGCCCGAAATTCCATCAGGCCTTCGAGTTATGGCCCGGACACCATGGCTCGTAGCCCATTTTGTTAAGGATTTTCACCATTTTGCTTGTAAAATTGTTAAATGAAGGAATTTCGAAAAACAAAAAAATGCGTGTCTGGCAAATGCGTTTCTCCACCTCCATGCCAAAAATCAGCGCGAAATTCGGCCTGACGGCCGAGAAATCGTCATTACAGAAAACAAACATACTTTTCTCGCTTATAGGATAGGATGGATGATATGAGACTTGCCATTAGCTAATTCGCAACTTACCGATGTAGTTACAAAGTTATTAGGTAATTTCGTCGTTTTCCGCGTTAATCTAGGACTTTTACTCATTTCCCGGTACATTTCATGCCATCCGTCCCCCACAAAAACCTTTTATTTCAAGCCTTTCTCTGCGGCCGCCCATCCGGCGTGAGCACCCCTCGCAGTACTCTACACCAAACAACAGATTCCGCTTTATTTTGGCTTTCTCTTTCGGTTTTCGGGCCTAGTTTTCCAAAATTAAATCTTTTAACTTCCAAAACTTCTTCAAAATCGCTATTTGTCATTGCTAAATTCGCTAAATTACATTATTTTTCTTTGTTTATATTTCTTATTTACGCCTCAACTTAGTTTCAACTTTTCGAGATGTTTTTCTAGCTTTCAAACACTAAGAAATCAGCCAAGCCAAGTTGGATGATAAACCCATGAAGGGCCCGTTTTTGCCGCCCGTAGAGCAAACTAATTTTAAGCTAAGCCAAGTTTTTAAACTTGGGCTTAACACTGAGACACGAAAAACAGACTTGCTCTCACAATTAATTTCATCAAGCTTTGGTCTTGTATATACTGGGCTTCATTTGGTTCTTAGGCCGGCTACTTACAAAAGTTTATAAAAGTGGTTTTTTTTAGTATTTGTAGTGCCTACTTGTCGGGTTTCGATATCTGGGAAGGTTTAGCGTCTGCAGATTCGATTTAATTCGGGGGGTTTAATGCAATTAATTCTTCTTTTTTGTTTTCCTATTTTTCCATTCGTCTCAGCTTGAGAATTGTCTTCCTAAATTTTGCTCCTTTTTCAGGGTACTTTCCTTCCTTTTCTTTCGGCTCCTGCTAACTTGAGAGATGAGTCTGCCGAGGTACCCCAAGCTGATCACCTTCGTCGGGCTCCCGGATTACGGAGTGAGTGTTTTTAATGGGACTTGGGGCATATTTTATACTGTAAACTGCGGCTTATTTTCCAAAAGTTCTCTGGGTGGTTCCGTGAGATTTGTTCATGGAAAAATTCGAAATATTCAACTTTCGACATTATCAGTTTCGTGTGCTTTTGCAATTATAGGTCTAATATAGCGGGGTGGGCGATTAATTCAGAAACTGTCAAAAAGACAGATGTTTGTCAGTTTTTAGGAAATCAGTCACGTTTTCCGAAAAACAAATTTTCAACGCTTCGAAATTCTACTTTATAGCTTGTGAAAATTGGAAATCTCGACGGACGTTCGTTACTTTAGCATTTATATCAGATTTTTGTGACTAAACTCTACTTTTTAATATTGTTTAATATAAAAACTTTTCAATTGTTAATTTTGGGATATAAAAACACTTTAAATACAATTAGGCAACACAGAATTTTCAGTCTTTTGGTCAAAAACGTTTGAAAAATGACCAAAAAATGGTCAAAACTTGCTTTTTGGGAATGTTTTAATAAAATTTTCCTAATGTTTTGGTGATCGGATACCCGTAATTCGGCGCTACGAAAATTTCGAATTATGACAATAACTCATGGGGGGGACTGGATACTTATAAATTGGTTTCTCTTTCTAGGAGGGCGTCGGTAGCAACGACCATGACGGACGAGGCTCGAGGAGAAGCCGCTCGGCGCCAGCCATTAGTATCAAGTCGGCTTCGCACCCGTTCAATGATGGAGGCTTCAAGGTGAGATACAGGGTTTTCGAATTAATTTTTTCAAAAAGTCATATTTTCGGAGGTGACCTGAATGAAAAAAGGGGGTAAAAATACCAGGCGGCCTTCAAACTGTCTCGTCAAAATTAATCTGAGTCTAAGTACGATTTGGTGCTCTGGCAATATCAGGGGGTTGGGGATAACCGAATTTTTCGACAAGTGTGTAGCCTAATAACTTGATATGAGCAATTTAATAATGTTTTTAGCAAATTTTTTATTTTTAATATAATTTTTTTAAATAGGCTAATTTTGGGATATAAAAACTTGGTCTTTTTTTGGTGATCGGAAACTCGTAATTAGGCGCTACCGAGATTTGGAATTATGACAATAACTCATGGGGGGAATGGATACTTATAAATTGGTTTCTCTTTCTAGGAAGTCAGTCAAGATCTGAACAACAACGACTTCGAGGACTTTTACGACAAGCTCAAGAAGAACGACGTCGAGAAGGCCCAAAGTAGCATCTCGGACACGTCCATCAAGGGAGGCGAGGTGGGATACAGGGTTTTCGAATTAATTTTTTCAAAAAGTCATATTTTACGAAGGTCACAAAAATAATAAGGGGGAAGCAAAATTTTTATTTGTTATTATAATTGTTTAAAATATGTTAATTTTGGGATATTTCTCTGGTTCTTCTTGTTCTGGGAATCTTGGTCTTTTTGGTCAAAACCTCTGAAAAATGACAAAAAATGGTCAAAACTTGCTTTTTGGGAATGTTCTAATAAAGTTTTCATAATGTTTTCGTGATCGGATATTCGTAATTCGGCATTACGAAAATTTGGAAATTATGGCAATAACTCATGGAGGGACTGGATACTTATAAATTGGTTTCTCTTTCTAGGAAATCGTCATCAAGCAGGACTACGACATCGAAGAGGCCAGGCTGGACGACACGTTGCAGATGAGCCTGTTTGATGCTTCGATTGACCGCGAGGTGAGATACAGGATTTTCGAATTAATTTTTTAAGGGGGTGGCTAAGATTTTTAATTTTTTTTAATATAAATTTTTTAAATAGGTTAATTTTGGGGTATAAAAACTTGGTCTTTTTGGTCAAAAACGTTTGAAAAATGACTAAAAAATGGTCAAAACTTGCGTTTTGGGAATGTTCTAATAAAATTTTCATAATGTTTTGGTGATCAGAAACTCGTAATTGGGCGCTACCGAAATTTGGAATTATGACAATAACTCATGGGGGGACTGGATACTTATAAATTGGTTTCTCTTTCTAGGTAATCATCAAGGAGAGAAACGTACCGACGGCGTCAAGGGCGCTTCCAACATCGGCAAGGACACTTCTGAAGATAGCGGCTCGGCGTTGTCGACAGAGAACAAGGTATGATACAAGATTTTCGAATTAATTTTTTCAAAAAGTCATTGTTTGGAAGGTCACATAAATAATAAGGAGGTTGCAAAAGTTTATTTTTTTTAGTATGTTAATTTTGGGATATCAAAATCTTGGTTCAAAAACGTTTGAAAAATGACAAAAAAATGGTCAAAACTTGCTTTTTGAGAATGTTCTAATAAAATTTTCATAATGTTTTCGTGAGCGGAAACTCGTAATTAGGCGCTACCGAAATTGGGAATTATGACAACAACTCTTGGGGGGACTTGATACTTATAAATTGGTTTCTCTTTCTAGGAGGACGTCATCAAGCAGAACTACAACACCATCAACCACGACAACAAAAGCGCTGGCGGCGGACCCGCCGAAATCCCGATGCAGGCTGAAAAGTTTCAGGTGAGATACAGGATTTTGGAATTAATTTTTTAAGGGGGCGGCAAAATTTTCCCTATTTTTAATAGAAAATTTTTTCAATATTTTAGTTTTGGGATATAAAAATCTTGGTTCAAAAACCTCTGAAAAATGACAAAAAATGGTCAAAACTTGCCTTTTGGGAATGTTCTATTAAAGTTTTCATGATGTTTTGGTGATCGGAAACTCGTTATTACTCGTAAATAACTCGCTACCGAAATTTTGGAATTATGACAATAACTCAGGGGGGAATGGATAATTATGAATTGGTTTTTTCATTTTAGATGGCCGTCGTGAGCCCGAACGTCGACAATGTTGATGTGATCGACCTTTCGCACGAGGCCGAAGTGCAAATTGAGGTGAGATACAGGATTTTGGATTTAATTTTTTCAAAAGTGATTGTTTCGAAGTTAAAATAATAAGCAAAATTACTTACTTCTATTACTACATAACTTGATATGGATGATTTAATAGTGTTTATAGCAAAATTTAGCTATATTTCGGGTGGAAAACTATAAAAAAACCTAGAAAAAAAATTTGGATCGAAAAATGACCATTTTTGGCCGAAATCGATTTTTTTTGTAATTGGCAATAGAAATTTGTGCAGTACGTTTAGACATATGCAAAAAAAAACGGCTTAGAAAAATTTCGTTATTTATGTTGGAAAAATTGAATCCCAAGAAAAAAGTTGGCTCTCCTGATAATGCCCCCCCCCCCCCCGATATTGGGAAAGCACCGAATTTCGAGATTCTGATAGCAAAGCGTAGACTGCGGATATTGTGCACTAATAGCAGGATCCCGCAATCCTTTAGTTCTCGAAATTTTCAAAGAAATTTCTTTCGGTTATGGTTATGTATAACTCGTTTTTTAGCTGAACGCCCGCACCGGCCACAAGATGCTGACTCGCGCGGCCCGCCGAAAGCAGGTAATCAATTTAATTGATGCTTTTGCTTGCATCTTCTTGTTATGGGCTTCTTCATGATATGCATTGAAAGCAACTAACTGTATTTTCCAGACCTCGGCCGAACGTAATTCCTTCGCGAGTCTTCCCCGTCGTAGACGCCAGGTTATCAATTTATTCTGCTTTATACGCTTTTTCTAGGCGAAGCAAGCCGCCGGCAACAAGTCCGCCTCCACCGCCAGGCCGCGCTCGCTAAGCCTCGACGATTTGCCAGCCGCCACCTTCGACCCGGAATGCAAGGGCCGGCTGCAACTGGACAATCTGATCCCTCCGGTACTTTTTATTTCATATTAGCCACTAATTCCTTTTGCTTATTTTGGTGCTTCCCGTTTAGCAGGACGGACCTATCTTTTATTTCCCGACCCACAGCTCTTCTTTTAGTAATATGTAATGTATTTTTAGTCGTTTTTGTGTATTCGCTAGTAAGTTCGTAAAATATGTGAAAAGTTTTTCAAATTTTGAAAATATCGGCATTTTTAGCGCGGAAGAATTCAGAATTTCCGAAAATTTTTAGTGTTTTTGAGCTTTTTATATTCAAAAATTGCGTAAAAATGTTACAAAGTTGATTGGTATTTCGTTATAGGGGTGTACGTGATTAGTGAGGAGAGAATTACCCCCCCCCCCGCTAGACGGCAAGCACGCTTATTTCATTGGGAATTCGTTTGATAAATATTTCGATTCCAGGAGCCCGTCGTGCCGATCGTGGGGCAGCCCCGCACACCGCCAGTGGACAATTTGATCGAACGCCTGTCGCAAATCTCCTTGCAAGTCGGCCATTCGCCTCGACAGCCCGCAATGGTAAGCTTTTCAGTATTTTAAATAAAATGTTTCCCCCAAAAAACCGAGTCACTTTTTGCTGAAACGCCCTTCCCGTTTAAATAGTAGCCCAAACACATACTCTATTTTGGGTCTTTCTTTAACTTACAACTCTATGGCACCTATATTTGAACGGTTGTTGAGTTATGCGTTTTTTTGCAGTTCAAGCTGAACACCCTGCTTGCTGACCTGGAAGATATCGAGAGAGAGGAGAAGTTGAAAGAAGAGAAGAAAGCGCCCAGCCAGCACTAAATCAGGCAAAGTTAAATATATTAATTATACAATTAATCGAAAATGTGTGTTTTTTTAAATTCTTGTGTTCTAATATATTTTTACGGCGATGTATTGTGATTCCTGTGAATATCTGAGCTTTTTTCTGTTCGATTGTGTCGTATTAAATATCTACGTTATATTGCCATCTAAAGTCATTGCGTAACTCGTACAAGATACCAAGATTTATTTGCAAAGTCTTCAGTCACATACATTTGGCGCTTTTACTATGCTTTTAGATGGTGTCAACCTATTAGGCTATTCTTTATTAGCTCACGCGTTTTCGTCGGAATTTTATTGGCAGCATTAGGCTATTTACTAGACGCACTATTTACAAAAACTATGCAAGGCTTTTTCGAAACTTTTGCAACTGACTTTCCAGGGATGATGTGGGCTGGCAAAGCGTGTGTTTACGGTTGATATCGTGTCTCTGGGCGTTCCGCGGCGGTTGTTCGTTAAAATAGGCAGAATTTTCTCTTCGTTTTTGATAAGGCAGCGTAGCGAGTCGAGCTTATTCTTGCTCTTTTGGCTTCAGTAACTTTTGTCACGGATTTTCCATGCTGCAAAAAGTAGGTTGAGAACTTGTTCATCGGCTTTGACTTTTCTTGCAACATTTAGGGCGGTTTTAATTTGTCTTGGCTATTTAGAAAAGCTCGCACGTTTTATTCTAGCTTTTCTTGATGGGATTAGTCATTTATCAGTTTTTTTTGAAGACCATTGAGCTTCTTTAATGAAGAACAACAAATCGAGTTTATTCTCGAGATTCTTATATCTTTTACAGCTGATTTTCCAGGCATTATAGTTGTCCGAAAACACTAGGTTTTGGATTGCTATTGCGTTTACTAACGGCTTTTGCTCGTCAAAAGCAGCGTTTTCAGTTTTTACACTTTTTCTAGGCCGCATTCGAGAACACGCGCATCCTTTTTTTTTGGGACTTTGCTTGAGGGCGCCAAGCTTTTTAAACGTCGATTAACGTTGTTCTTCTTTATCAATGATTTTCCAGGCAAGATCGATGCTGGAAAAGCATTGGCGTCTCGGATCTATGGCGGCTTTTCCGGTGTGGGGCGCGGGTGGTGGGGACCGTTAATTAAGCCTGGGCCTTGGTGACTGTGGCTCTCCTCTCTTTCTTCCCATCACCGGTTATTTTGGCGGAATGGCCAGCCAGAACGTGTCGCGGCGACCGCCATCTCTGACAAACACCTGCCTTATTTTTTAGATTCGATTCAGGAGAACGCCCAGCGCAAAGCCCTCATCCTCGAATTTTCGATTTGAATTTGATTAAAACTCGGAGCATTCGTCTTGAAGTGTGTTCTTTGAAACTTTTTTATTCTTTAACCCTATTCTTTCCGGTTCATCAAGGGCTTTTTAGGGGTGAAAGCGGGTAATTGCTTTTTAGCGGAACAGATGGGCTTTTGAAGTCTTTTTTTTGGTGGTTTTAGGCAGATTATCGACTTTTTAGGCAGTCTCTTTATCGATCCTCGTTTCATTTTTCGATAATTGTCCAGCTTCTACGCCCGATTCCACAAACTTGTAAATTCTCCAGTTTTAAGGTGATTTTTAGACGTTGCTACCCTCACATTTGCGCCATTGCTGCGCTGTTTATGCAGTTTTCTCCCCGTAAACCTCTCCATGCAGTTCCTGTTTTGGCACTAGATATTACCGATTATTCCTAGCCTTAGAAAAGTCAATTTGTTAAAATGCTTTCCGTAAGGGTTAAGCTGAATAGCGCCGAGCCGGCTGATTGCCCTTTTGGTTGGCATGGTTGCCTTTCTTCATTTTTGACAAAAAGCACCTCCAGGCTGGCCGGTCGATTTCATCAACCAACAAGGCTTCCATTTCTAGATTTTCAGGTTTGCTAAGGGTTTTCCGGGAAGTAGGTATTGCGTTGGAGAAGGGCGGGTTGACGGGAAGCTTCGGCGATGGTGATTCGACGCTGAAAAAGGGTAGTTGAGAATGCAGAGAAATCTCAGTATTCGGGTCCCTTTCATTCGAATCGGTCTTGTTTTGTTTCACGAATTGATTATTTCTACTTCTACTTGCATTTTACTTCCATTTTCGGTCTAAAATGGGGGTCGTGAGAACCCGGGATCGTGGTATATCACTCTTTTTCGTGGAAAAATCGCGTTTAGCAGTCGACTCTCTATACCTGAGAGGCTTGTTATTCCCTATTTTTTTAGGTTTAAAATCGCAGAGTTTGGTTCTCCAAGTCTTGCGTGATTTTAGGTAGATTTTAGCTAGCTATAGCCGCGCCATAGTCCGGATGCGTCGATCCGGAAAATATTTTGCTGGCTGGAGAGACGCGAGGATTAGAGAAATCTAGAAATAGCTGTCTGTTTGTCTGTGTGTGTGTGAATCGCTAACGAGAGGATGTCGCGGCTCACAATTTTCGGGATCTCTCGTAATTACAACCTTGCCAGCCGACGGTGTTTTATGGGCGGCTTCGTTGCGTGGGTGTTTCCAGAATTTGTATACATTTCTCGTTGTCCTTATAGCTTTTTTCAGGCGATTTTTCCGGTTTCCGGATGGCAATATAGGTAGAAAAAGTGTTTTTGCGTTTTAAGTGTATTCGTGCAGGTTTATCGATTCCCCTCCCCCCTGTTTATTACATCCATGGCGTTTGGGTGCTTCCGAAATTTTTAGACTGTTTCTCGGGATTCTGCTAGCCTATTTGTCCTGTGTTTGGTTTTTGTAGATCCTAATTTAGCTCATAAGCAGATTGCAAAATTTGTCAGGGTTTCGACATTTCCCGGTGTCTCTGACGGCCTATTTCCAGTTATTGTGATATGTCCTTTAAGTAATTTTAAACTTTTCTGAATGCCAGCCTACTTTTTGAAGTGATATTCAGATGTTAGAATTGATTTTCCAGATTTTGAAAGATAAATACCGTATAACGCGCTACGACATTCTGCTTGCGATTGAGCCGTTTTTTGGTTTCTCGATGACAGTTTGGGCATATTAGCGTTATTCAGGTTTCTACGCCTATTTCTTCCAGGGTTTGGCATGCTTTTCAGAGTCGTCAGGGATTCTTGTGCATTTCTGGCACTATTAAAGCTTATTTGACCTCTTTTTTGGTTATTTTGGATGTCATTTTAGTGTATAAATTGGCATTCAGACCTTAGAAGTAATTTTCGCGATTTGGAAAACTGAATATCGTGCATCCGTTTCAGTTTCTGTGCATTCTGATAGCGTATTCGAGCCTTTTTCTTTACGTTTCTCGATTTATTTTTTGACAAATAAGGTATTTTCAGGGTTTTGAAATTTTAGCCTGCGATTCATGTGATTTATCGACCTCCCCAATCCTAATACCCCATTCAGGATTTCTTCATGGATTCTTGTGCATTTCCGGCTACCCTTATATTTATTTGAGCTGCTTTTTTAGTTTGTCGATGGTTGAACGAATTGTTCGCCTTTTTGGAATGAGATTTAGAGACTTTATAGCTCCCCTTTCCACTACCTCGATGGCATGGGGTGATTCCAGCATTTCCACACTTTTTTTTCTTCTGAAAGCTTATGTGGGGTGTTTTTAGTTTTATGGATGCGAGTTTCGGTGTAAAAAAGTAATTTTCAGGTTTCTAGTTTTTGGAATGATTTTTTGAGATTTAAAAGGTTGTTCCTATTTTACTTTATCTTATACGGCGGGCGGGTCTTCAGGAATTGTTATGGATTTCTGGTTAATAGCTGTTATGCGAATGCGAATGCTGATTTAATGTAATAGCTTTTTTTAGCTTATTTTAGCTGTTTTTAGCTCCCCGGATTGATTTTTCAGTTTTTAGAAGCTAAATATCGATCGCCCGATTTTACTACCGCCGTTTTTCACGCTCAGTTCTCGGCTCACCGCATCGCCGATTGGATTCAATTCCATCTTGCCATACACGCAGATTGTCAAGAGAACAATTATCGGGCTTTTGTGTGCGTGCCCCCCCATCGACTCTCTTTCTTTTCATTCCATCCACTTGGCTAAGCCAATTCAATATCACCCACTATGTCTTGGGCCACCCTTTTTTCCAGGTTCTATCCCGCGCCCTATTTACAACTAAAGTTAGAAAATTGGCTATAAAACTTCGTTTTTAGCAATTATGGGTTGGCAAGCCCGTCGGAGATTTTTGGGACTTGAAAGCGGGCATGGCTTTACTAATTTTTCTGGCTTTTAATTGCCCCGTTTTGGCGAATCCGGCCAAACTTTTGAAATCATTGATTCTAGATATCAAAGATCCTCATCAAAATCTTCAACGTTTTTTTACAAATCTCAGCCAAATCAATAAGCCCCCACCCCTTTCCACCCCTTCAATTTCCCGTTAATTTTATGTGAAAAATCGAGACATTCGTCGG